AAAATAAGGCGTTGGTTCAAAAAGAATGTCGTTATTGCAGTTCTCTGTTATTGTGGTTCCATATATCGTCGTTAGATGCCACATACTTACTTCCAACCGGCCATTTTGTTACTTGTTTGTTTTGATCATTTGTCAATTTTTACAATAGTTTGAAATTTTACATCATTTTCTTATGAAGATTTAAAGGTAAGCAAAAATAAAATACTATTAATATTGTTATTATCGAACCAGCTTTCCTACAACTGCTCCATTTCCATCCTTAGTCGGAGAATATTCCTAACTTACAAGAGATTGTGACGATAGTGTATTTTTGGTTAACTAAATACATACCTACGTTGAAAAAAATAAAAATAAATATATGTATAAGGCAAATATTTAAAATAAACAGTTTAAATCTAAATTTGTGAAGTGTTTTCTGTGTCAAGGTTATAGAAATTACAAGTTAAAAAAGACAATTTTTTTTGCATCGTAGTGAGTGGAATGAGGGGACTTATTCATTTTAATTTTTTTGTCTGCAGGAATTCAGACTATGGATGAGGATGCAAGCGATAGATCAAGCTTGTCATCAAGAGGCTCTCCTCCTGATGTACAAGATTGCATTCCTTTTTGTCACGAGCATCCAGTAATAACATTTCAGAAATGGGTGTATCAACAATTAGATATGAAAAAAAGCGGTAATTCTTATGAAGATTATGTTACAAATGTAATTCTAGCGACTGTTACAACTCCCGATACTGTTCTTTTTTATATGCACCGAGAGAAAGAATGTGACTGCTATTTCTTTAGAAAATCAAAAAAATGCTTTCACGTTTTAAGTCCAGTAAATCAAGAAAATTTCGAGACAATTACAAATAAACTGAGATCTGAAAACCTTCGTTCGTTACTTCTTTGCGATAAAAGCGATGCAGAAACATTGTCTGGTTTGTTGAAACAGATCTCTGTGATTGGCCAGGGTGAAGAAAAAGATGTACGGCCGGCTTATAAGTGTAAAAGGTGCAAGTTTGTTGTTTCAGCAGCAAGGAAACATCAGTGTTCAAATACAAATGAGATCTATTCTGTGCACAGTTGGAGATATAAACTTCCATTTGTAAGCAAAGATGGTCGAGATATTATTTTTCGGACAAATTATATACCTCTGCGTTCTGCTGAACTACATCATTTGATACCCGTTGTGTCTAAAGTTTATGAGAGACTTGAAGTTTTGGAAATACGCACAAGTCTTGTCCAGTTATTGGCTCAGGATCCACTGTATCAAGAAACTTTGGACGTCTTTGAATATCAAAAGAAGGACAATGATTATATTACTTATCATCTATATCTCTACTTAGTTCATCGGCTTTTACCTCTCCTTGAAAAACTATCTTTGCAAGATGTTGATAGAAAACTTCTTCCAGTTTATACACTTATTAGAACCAAGGAAATAGACGTACTACGAGACATAATTGGCTCAGATGAAGATGCAGAAATCAATATCAGATTAAATTCGTGTCCGGAAGAATGTCGGGACCGCGTCCGAGATCTTTTAAACGATATCCTCAAAAAAGAAAAGGAAACCAATTCAGATGAAGCTAACAAACACTTTGCATTTGATTACAACAAGATGTGCGAAAACATGATAGTTGATGGTCTTGATACAAGTTCAATGAAGGAAGAATTCGCATATCTTGTTCGATGTTTAGATGTAAAAATGCCGACTTATAAATATATAAGAGCTTTTATAGCCCTGAAATTTGCAAGAGGCGAAAGTAATGATTGGAAATTCCACAACGACTTTTGCTACAGTGATTCACCAAAAGGGCAGATCATAACAAATATTTTTGGTGTTATTCCAAGAACAAGAGTTTCGGGGAAGTTACTTATGAACGCGGTATTGCTATCAAGGGGACATTTTAATTACAAAAATAATGAACCATGGAGGCATGGGGTGAAAAGGCCGTTCAAGTCAATTGAAATCTAAGGCATGGTGTTTGAAAGCATTGAAGATTCAAGTTCTGTGAATTTAAATCTTCGAAGAAAAAGGAGAAAAGAGCGAGAAGCTGTTTAGAAAAACAGCGAAATTAATAAGAGTGTACAATTTACGAAATGTCTAATTTCTAACTCTATTGTGATCCCAAGATATAATTTGTAAATATACGATATATAAATAAATAAATCTATAATGTATTTTTTATTTATCAAATTGAATTTGAATAAATCGATTTAATGGTTTTTTAACTACCAATAAAATACGATGATACGAATATATTTTGAATCGAAGCTCAAACATTATCTACTTTGCATGACGATATATTTAAATGATCTAGTTCTTAGGGTTTTTTCGGGTATTCCATTCGAATAATAAGCAGGCAAGTTTAGGAGCGGTCATCAATTTTATTGTTTTGTTTATATAAACCGCAAAGTACTATCTTGTTTTGAGTTGGCGGTTTAGATTAATTTTTCCTGTTTTATCGTTTTCTTGTAATTTTTTATTTTCTGTGTACAAAATGCTAAATCACTATTCTCTGATGTATAAAAGAAGTAAAACATTATATTGCTTCCAATAAATCACAAAGAAAATTGCTTCAAATTTCAACGGGAAATTTTTTTGAAAAAAATATGATTCATCTGGATAACCATATTTATTATATGATTCTAGAAAAGGCACAGACTGACACATTTGCAATCAAGCAATTAAATTATAATTAACATTAACTAGACAATACATACGTATCAGAAATAAGCAATTTATTCGCATAACAATGCTTTAATAATGTAAAGTAATTATTATTAATTACAACTGGAATCTAGTCGGCCTCTCTTCTTTGATTGATGCAGCAATTACTTGGGATTTCTACTCTTGTTGCAGGAACTGTGTAGCTTGTAGCAGACTGGATTATATCTATATGTAAATGATAAGAGTTCAAGTTCGGCGACTTGCTTGCGTCATTATTGATTGCATCGTTCGGAAATTCTGTGACGTTAAAGTAATTTTGATGACGTTTCATGTAGGTAAGTACCCTTTTTTAATATAAAACAGTCAATCTAAATATATTAATGTGCCCAATGACATCGCAAATGTTTGGACGAAATGAAATCTTGTCAACTTGTTTTTGTTGGATAAAAAACCGTCAAGGTTGATCTTGTTGATTTCGGTCGCTTTATGAATTCGAATGTTTTGTAATGAAACCACAATGCCGTATTAGTTTTTTAAAATTATGCTTCTTTAGTGGTGAAATTGAAAAAGTTGGGGTTTTCCCTAGCTTCGATTTATCGCGGTGTCCGAGAAACACCCGAGGCGATGATTTCTCGTATTCTACGAATGTGATACATAAATACGAACACGAAGAACTAAGCTACATTCTTGTGCTGATCCTCGTGCCGTGTGCTTCATACAATTATTGGTACCAAAGCCACATAAAATGGTAAGTAAACACATACCTCATTTCTGTTTTCACCTTTGTGGTCATTTTTGACCAAAAAGCTTTTTTACCTCATTTTTTAAACTTGTCGAGTTCACCAGATCAGAGTTTATCGCGTTATCAAAGATCACTCATGTTTTTTTTTTATTTCAGAAATTCTTCGTAGTTTTCGTTGCCCTTATCGCGGCCACAGTTGCTCAACGTCCAACTTATGCAGGGAGTCGGCCTATAGGACGCCCTGATTTAGCAAGTCGTTTCAAAGATCCTGAAGAACAATCTACAGTGGCTGTTTACAACAGAGTTGGTGAAGATGGTGGTACCACAGCTCGAATTCCTGTCGATGCTCGTGGTGATGGTCAACTAGTGGACAGACTGAACCAGTGGCCAAGAGAACACAGACCTTTTTGGCTTCTCAATGCTGATCACATTGAAGCTTCCAGAAACCAACAAAATGTCGAAACAAGATCTGGATTTAATATCAATAGCGAGGGTGCCAGACCTATAAGACCAGCCGAACAAAGATCGTCATTTTTGGGGCCGCTGAACTCAACTTCGAAATGATTCTGTGATACTTAATGACTGTTAACATAAATATTCCAATAATTATGTATGAGTTTTGTTGTTTTTTTAAATGTTCATATTGATAATGACAATAAAAAAATCATGTACACAAAAATTGAGTTTCTTTATCATATAATTTGAAAACGCAAAAATTATTTTAAAATTTAGTAGTAAATAGTAGTAACCAGAATTGGGTACGTATAGTTTATTATTATTATTTTTTTGTCTGTGTGAAAAATAATAGATCGTTATACACGTTGTCGTAACTATTTCCTTTAAGTAAACGCAACAGATTAGATTATGAATGAACCAAGGTTTACCACCGACAGTACTACTATGAATCATGATCGTAACAATTATAAGAAAATTATTCATTAGTCATATGTATATTTTTTGCAACTATTAGTTATTATTTATAAACAAGCGTGTTCGATCTAGATAACTTAAATAAATTTTTTATTGCTTTGGCTTAGTTTTATTTTTGCCTGGCGCCGTGATACTTCATGTGTTGACATCTGTTGTTGCCAAAAGAATTAATTATGTTGAGGTTATTGACCTTGTTTAAATAAAATAGCTTTTAAAAATTATATTTTTTTAATTTACATAGTATGATACAATTTTGGTATGGCTTTGCAAAAGCGATAATGCATTAAGAAAACTTAAGTAATGAACAACGATGGCACAATGAAAGGATGGCAAAAGCACTTCCACACTAAATAAATTTTCTCTTTTCATACCGTTAAATAAGTTCGACATGTCTGCTCTCTATTCGCAAATGAAATGAAAAAAAAATAGTAATAATGGCGGTGCGGTAATGCTTCGAGAGTCGTCGAGGAAGTAGTTGGCATAGAATCGTTTCAGAAATATCGCGGAGATGTTAAACTGAGGATGCTTCGACCTTTCAGAAAGGGTTCTATGCCGGGCCACCCCCTATCCGATCGCCGCGTGATATAAAACACTAATATTATTTATACACAACATATGATACATAAGTACATATTCTCTCGGAGCAAGTCGTTCGTTTTAATAGCGTTAATAGCGTAGTCAGAGCTATAGTTCTCCGGGTGGAACAACATTAAGAGAAAAGGCCGCGAAAGTTTCCCCTTTCTTTCCGATGGCTTTGGCTTGATATTGTCCAATGTCGTTGGAGTCGCATGATACGATCTGTAGAGTATAGCGTTTTCCGTCGGCGGTGAACTTGTATTTGGCACTGCTCTCCTTGATGGGTTTGCCGTCCTTGAGCCAGTTGATTTGCAAGACGTCATCTTCTGTTTCTGCTTCGAATGTGGCAGACTCGCCTTCTGATACCGTGGCGGAAACCGGGAATGTTTTGAACACGGGGCTCTTGGGCTGCTCGCCGGGGACTATCACGTTCAAAGTACAACTGCTGAAACTCTCTCCGGCATCGTTGAAGGCTTCGCAAGTGTATGCACCGGAGTCTTCAGGGAAGATTTCAGCAATGATTAGTTTGTAAATGTTGGCTTCGTTGGTGTATTGGAAATCTTTGCTTGGCTTGATTTCTTTGTTGTTGTGCAACCAGATTACGTCGAATTTGTTTGCTCCGATGATACGGCATGAGATAGTCACTGGTTCTCCGTCTTTGACGAAAGCAGATTGTAAATGACTCACGATTCGTGGTGCCTTATCGTCAGAATCTTTCTTGGCTTTTCCATTGGTCGCATTAGTCATTGCTAAAATAGAATTAAACGTTCCGAAAAATTTGTAATTGCAACTACTTACGTTTAATTGTGAGACGACATTTAGTTTCTGATGTTCCCATCGAGTTAGTGGCCTTGCATACATACTCTCCTTCATCTTCTGGATAAACTTCATTGATCTGGAGCTTGGCAATTCCGTTCTTGTACTTCAAATCTATTACTTCTGAAGAAGTCAAAATTTTGTTATTCTTGGTCCAGACTATTTGAGGTTCTGGATCTCCTTTCACATGAGCAGTCAGATTTAAACTGTCACCATCATTAACAGTCAAGTCGGACAAATTTTTAGTAAATTTAGGGGCACACATTGTTGAATCATCGGGTGGTACTGAAACAAAGAATTATTTCTATTTTTACTAAACTTACCTTAAATACATACATGCTAGTTCTTTAGTAGCACTTCTGGATCTATTTGGACTTCCCGTCGAGTCTAATCGTCCATACTTCTTCGGTGTTCTTTTTTCACTATCACCTACACTTAAAGTCGATCCTGAATGGTTCAAACTGTTCGTCACGGGTTGAGAACTTGTAATTGGTTTTCTGATTGTGACTTGTAAAGGTGCAGATTTAATTGGTTGTTCGATGTATTTTCTGTCACCGGAATGCAAAAATTTCTCTGCTAGTCTTGTTTGCTCTTCAGTGCTCGTCTCGCCTTCAACAATAACCACACAAGAAGTTTCGTCTGTTCCATGAACATTTGTAGCAACACATGTGTATTTTCCTGAATCTGAAGGTCTGCATCCGACAATTTCCATTGTAATGACACCATCAGACGTAGACATCGAATATTCGTATTTGCTAAGTTCGCGTTTATCTTTGTACCATTTAACAGTCGGGAATGGTTTGCCGCTAAGACAACACAATAATTTACAAGTGTCGCGTTCTTGCATGACACGAGGGCGGAGTAAGAATGTGAAACTTGGGGCACACTCGTGTTCTTCAGACCAGAAGGTGTAAGGTAACGGTTGGCGTCTACGAACAGGTTGTACTTCGGATGGTTTGTAGTCTGACACAACTTTCGGGAGAGCTGGAAGAATTTTGTTATTTAAAAAAAGTTAAATATTGCGAAATTCTTACGTTGGACGTTAAGGAATACTACTTCTTCACGAGATCCGTAATGATTTTCAGCTCGAATAATGTATTCACCGCGATCTTCTAATTTAGCTCTGTTAATAATAAAGTAATAGTCGTCTCCGACGTAGCGTTTCATGTATTTAACACTCTGTCTTAATTCAGTATTGTTGTGGTACCAACTGAGGGTTGCAGCAGCACAACCGATGACTCTGCAGTAGAATTTGACACTTTGGCCTTCGTAGCAGAACGCACTTTGAGGCTTGATGACAAATCTTGGGGCGGCTTGGCGGCGATCTAAACAAAATTTCATAATATTAAGAAATTGCTACTTAAGCATTTTGTGTTCTTACGTACCAAAGAAGGTGTCATGAATCTTGTACTTATCGATCAGCAATTTACGTAGTGAAGAATATTCAGAAAGTCGACCAAGTGGGAGAATGAATGAATCCCAATTGTCATATTTGGCACGAATCTTGTCACGAATTTTAATATATTTTGATTGACTGATGACTTGAGTTTTGTCGCTGTGGTCACCACTTAGCCAAGCATGCAAAAGACATTCTTCCGCAGTCATGCGTTTTCTGTAACAATTTGTAAAATAAACTGTAGTCAAAAGAAAATAAACTCACTCTTTATTCTTTAATAGTAGTCTTCTTATGAAATCTTTCCCTTCTTCTGATACATTCGCGAAAGCTTCCTCATCGAAGTCCCAGTCGCACGCTTTGACATTCTTCAAAGTCTCGATATCATTTTCACCGGCAAATGGCGACAAACCACTCAATCTAGAGCAACTCATTAGAAAATTTTAAACAAACAATTTAAATAACTTACAGTACGTAAGCTAAGACTCCAACTGCCCACATGTCGGTATAGAAACCTACAGGTTCTCGTTCTACGATTTCCGGTGCTGCGAATTCAGCTGTTCCAGTTGAAATTTTAACAACTTCATTAGGATCAAGTTTTGTGGCAAGTCCGAAATCTATCAGTTTGATATTTGTACCCTTACGGGTTTGGCACATGATATTTTCCGGTTTGATATCCAGATGAATTATGTTACGTTCGTGCATGTGTTTGATTGCCTCACAAATCTGTCTCATGTAGTTGATAACTTCAGCCTCCGACATTTGATAACCTTCTGCTGTGATTCGTTCGAATAATTCACCTCCTGAGAGGAATTCGTAGATGAGGACCATCTCGTCATCATCTTCAAATGCATCATGCAAGTTGATAAGTTTGGGGTGGTGGAGATGGTTCATGATATCGATTTCTTTACGAATAAGTTCTTTCTCCATAGCATGTGATACTGGGATGAACTTAGCGGCGAAGATGTTACCAGTTTTACGTTCACGGCAACGATGGACCACACCAAAGGCTCCAGTTCCGATCTCCTCAAGAATGTCGTAATCGTCGTAGACACTTCGGGTTTTTATTTCGACAGGTTGAGGAACGTATTTAGAATAAATGTCGAAGACGTATTGATCGTAGTCTTTGACTGGTTCTTTATGAGATTCTCTGATCTTCTTTCCGTTTTCGTCAACTTCGTATTTCTTCTTCTGCACTGCTTTTTTGCCTGTGTCTTTGGTCGTTACTAAGGTGCTCACTTCTGAAGCATCGGAACGGCCGTAAATATTCTCAGCGTAAATTCTGAATTCGTATTGGTGGCCAGGAGTTAATCCACTGACTGCCATTGTAGTCAAACGTGTGTTTCCAACTCGAATCCAAGTACTGAGTGGATGTTCGCGTCTTTCGACTAGGTAGTTAGTGATATTGCTGCCACCATCCCATACTGGTGCTTTCCAAGAAAGGGCCAATGAATCGGTCCCAATATTGTCAACGACAGGGAATCGTGGAGGATCTGGACGATCCGAAATTTGGATCTTGATAATAGCAGAGTCTTGTCCTAGATTGTTTTCTGCGGTGATTCTATATGGTCCACTGTCTAATTTGCTGCCATCGCGAATAGTAAGAATAGCGTGTCTGTCTTTGACTTCTACGTGGTAATGACCACCGGATTCTATAACTTCACCTTCCCTCACCCAAGTGATCTTTGGTTTTGGATGTCCAGTGAATGGAATTTTAATAACAACATTTTCACCCTTGTCGAAGTACGCGGTATCACGGAAACGAGGAGGAATGTTTAGTTTTGGTGCAGCTGAAAAAATTTAATTATTAAATTATTACTAAAAATCGCATTTGACTTACTCATTATAACAAGTTCGGCACGGGTGGACTTGACTCCGGCTTTGTTGACAGCTCGGCAGACATATTCATCAGCGTCTTCACCAAATACGTCATTAATAATCAAGTAGTGGTCATCATCTTCACTGTAGATATTGTATCTAGAGCCACTGCAAATCTCGCGAGCTCCTTTATACCAAGTGATAGTCGGTTTAGGCACACCTGTGATCGTGCATTGGAATTGAGCGTTGTGATTTTGAATACAGTTAGCATTCTTCAGTGGTTTGACAATTTCTGGTGGAGTTGCCGCCATTGGATCTTTAATAACGACCGAAGTCGAAGCAGAGGATGGTTCGGAGATTCCAGCTACATTTTGAGCAAACACTCTAAATTCGTATTTACGGCCCTCAATAAGGTTTGAGATGTTAATTTGAGTCGGGAGACAAAGCGATACGTTGACTCTTTGCCAAGTTGAACTACCAGCTTCACGTTTATCAATCCAGTAGCCTTGAATACGGGCTCCACCATCATTTTCTGGTCTTTCCCATTCGAGATTTACAAAATCGCCACCAACTTGCGTAACTTTGGGTATTCCAGGTGGCGAGGGTGGGTCGAAGGGAGCTTTAGCTCGGATCGGGTTAACGCCTTCGAGTGGCGGTCCCATTCCGTTATCGTTAACGGCCATCACTCGGAAGAGATATTCCTGGTTTTCTGTGAGACCTTGAACTGTGAAACTGGTGTCTTTACAGTGGCTATTTATTGTAATCCAGTGTAATCCAGTCACGTCTTTCCTTTCGACGACATAGTGGGTGATGCGTAGTCCACCATCGTAGCTTGGAGGTTTCCAGTTAAGGGTACAAGTATGCTTGGTAATGTCGGTGGTTTCCAAAGGACCAGTTGGAGGTCCAGGAAGACCAGTTATGTAGACAGTAAAACTACCAGAAGCACTTCCACTGTCATTCTTTACAGTCAGATTGTAATTACCAGCATCATCTTTGTTAATACCTTTGATAAATATAATAATATAATCATCAAAGATTGTGTATTTGATATGAGCGGATTCATCGATTTTAGTTCCGTTTTTAGTAAGGGTAACATCGAGAGGTTGGTCGCCGGAATAGTAGATTTTGATTTTGGTGTTATCGTTTTCGGGCAAATATAAATCGCCAGGCAAACGTTCGATACGTGGTGGTGCTGCAAAAAATTAAGATAAATTAATATGAAGGTGTTAAGGAACACAAGTATATGTCTTACTTCCAATCTTCAGACGCGCGGTGGTCGTAACCGACCCAAGTGAATTACTAGCCTCACAAGTGTAATCTCCATCATCAATATCCAAAAGATCTGAGATGTGTAACCACGCGACTCCTCCTTTAGTTTCGGTTCTAAATCTTCCACTGATTTTAATTTCACGTCCATTTCTCAACCAGCGGAACGTCGGTGGTGGTTTACCGGACGCTTCGCATGATAAAGATACAGATTTTCCAAGAGGAGCAGTTTGGTTGCCAAGTGGTCGTATCCATTCAGGTTTTTCGCCACCAAGGACTTCGCATACTTTGACTGGAGTTGTGCAAGCACTTGGTTCGCTCTTTCCGGCCGAATTAACAGCGTAGATTCTGAATTCATAATCTGAGCGTTCGGTCAGGTTCAAAGCTGTATAGTTAGTATCAGTAACGTTATATTCATTGCATTTGTGCCAGAGCGGACTTCCAATTTCACGTTTTTCGATAATGTAGCCGGTGATTTTAGCACCACCGTCGTTGGTTGGAGGTTCCCAAGTAAGGTCAACGTAGCTCTTACCAACTTTGACGACTTTCGGATTTTGAGGTGGTGATGGTACGTTGAATTTACCTTTGAGTTTGAATTTGCTGGATGATTGTGAGGGTTTGCTTAATCCAGCGGCATTCTTAGCACGTACGCGGAATTCGTATTCGTGGCCACTAGTCATATTGTAAAGATCGAAATGAGTTTCTTTAATAAGATAGTCGCTAGCGCTTTGCCAGTGGGTGTCGTGGGCAACATCGCGATATTCGAGTTTGTAGCCTTGAATACGTGAACCACCATCATTGGCTGGTCTGTCCCAACTCAATGAGATGGTATTTGTGGTCCAGTCTGTAACACGTGGTGCACCAGGAGCATCCGGTACTGTAAACGGATACTTAGCAGTGACAGGTTCTGTACTTTCAAGAGGTTCACTAATGCCATATTGATTTTCAGCGCGGATTCGGAAACTGTATTTCTTGTTTGGTTCTAATCCCATCACGTCGTAGTGAGTGTTACGAACAAAACTGCTCACTTTGACCCAAATTCCGTTGGTGTCCAATTTCTCAACAATGTAATTAGTGATTGGAGAACCACCATCATCGGCTGGGGCTCTCCAAGCTAATGAGCAGTTATCAGGAGTGACGTCAGAGATATCAAGTGGTCCTTGAGGTGGTTGTGGTTTGTCTACAACCAAGACTCTGCACGTGGCCGAATCAGAACCAACTGTGTTTGTCAATTTTATTGTATAGCTTCCAGTATCATTTCTCTTAGAACATTTGTTTGTGAAAATCGACGCAATATCTGTAGTTTCAAACTTAATTCTACTGTCGGACAAAACTTCGTTGCCGTTAATAGTCCAAGAGGCTTTTGGTTTAGGAGTGGCAACGTATGGTACTGTAATTTTGAATTCTTCCCCTGCAATCACAACCATGTCTCTGATACTCAAGTCAGATGTAATTCTCGGAGCTGATGGTGGTGCTCTTGCCGCGATAGCATCAGACGAAGAGCTCCATGGACCCTGTCCTGCGGCGTTAATGGCTGCTACTCTGAATTCGTATTCGTGGTTTTCGATCAAATTGATGACTTTATGGGAAAGATCGGGGACGATAGCATGTGAGGCCTTGGTCCATTTGTCTTCCGAGATGAGTCGCTTTTCTATCACGTAACCAGTAATGGGAGATCCACCATCGTGTCTAGGTTTGGTCCATTGAATTGTGATGGAGTCTTCGGTTGTTTCAATGCCTCGAGGAGCCCCAGGAGCACCGGGAGGATCGAATGGATGTCTGGCACGAATTGGTTCTGCGGTTACTGCCGGTTCTGATTGGCCGTATTGATTTTCAGCCATTACGCGGAACTCGTAATCTCTTCCAAGTGTCAAATTACGAATACGAATGAACGGAACAGTGACATAGCTACTGACTTTAGACCAAGTTGGGGATTTAGCTTCTTTCTTTTCGACAACGTAATTGGTAATGTCACCGCCACCGTTATCTTTCGGTGGTTGCCAATAGAGTGTGAGAGCATCTCCGGCAAATTCATCAGCACGGAGATTTTCTGGTTTTCCAGGCCGGTCCAAGACACGGACATTGATTGTTGCCGTGTCAAAACCTGATGGGTTCTTGAGTTGCAACCTGTACTGGCCACTGTCACTACGTTTCGAATTCTTGACAATAATACTAGCAGCATCGTCGGTCAGTTTCGGGAATACGCGACTATCAGACTCGTCAAGGATTCTATCGTTCGCAAACCAAGATGCTGTTGGTTTCGGGAAACCAACATATGGCACATGAATACTGAAATCTTCTCCAGCACGGACGGTAATATCTCGAACTCCTCCCAGATCCATGCAAGGTTTGTTGGGTTGTTCTTCGATGAGAATATTGTTACTTGGTCGACTCGGTTCAGATTTGCCAACCTCATTTACAGCAATTACTCTGAATTGGTATTCTTCACCTTCTTTCAGTTTTGGAACCGTGTACACGTTTTCATTGATTGGAACGGAATTAACGTCGCTCCAGTCATCATCACCCTTTGCGCGTTTTTGCAAGAGATAGCCTTTGAGTTTGGAGCCACCATCGCTTCGAGGTGGTCTCCAAGACAAAGTGACACTATCTTTAGTAATGCGATCTGCTTTAGGAGGCTCAGGAGCATCTGGTTTAACTGTAACAACAAATACATTAATTCCAATACTGCAGTGTCTAATCGAAAACTTACATCTTTGGTGTTGTGCTACTATAGGTTCAGTCGGTTTGCTCGGTTTGCCAGGCCCGGCTTCATTAACAGCAATAACGCGGAACTCGTATTTGTTTCCCTCTCTCAAATCTTGTACTGTATATTGCGTATTAGGTGTTGGATAATTGTTAACTTTCATCCATTCGCCACCACGTTCTCTCTTTTCGACATAGTAGCCGGTGATCGGTTTACCACCAGTGATGGTTGGTGGATTCCATTTCAACGAGCAAGACGATGGAGTATATCCAGTGACTTCCGGTTGACTTGGCGCATCTGGTGGATCGAACGGACTCTTAGCCACGACAGGTTTACCTTCCAAAGGTTCGGAAACACCGTAAATGTTTTCGGCTCGTACGCGGAACACGTATTTTTTGCCTTCGGTTAAACCGCGCGCTGTAAACGAAGGTCGAGGACAGAAACCTGGGCATGGACGCCAACTATCAGTTCCAAATTCGCTAACTTCAACAATATAACCGCTGATTTCACCACCACCATCGTCAGTTGGTGGGTTCCAGGATAACGAGACGCTATCTTGTGTGGTTTCGGTGTATTGGAGAGGACCTCTTGGAATTCCGGGTTTGTCGACGACAATGACTTCAATGTCAGCTTCGTCTGAGCCGTACTCGTTTTTGGCTTTGACGGTGTATTTGCCAGCGTCGTCGCGGTTGGAGACTTCCACTCGGAGAGCAGTGTGCTCACTTGTGGTCTCAGTCTGAAATACTCAATCAATTTTGATCATTATTGTATATATTATACGTACATAAACTCTGTTTGTTTCTGGTATGGCGATACCCTTCTTCGACCATTCAATCTTAGGTGTCGGTGCACCAGTTAAAGGAATATCAATATTGATAGGCTCGCCGGCTCGGACCTTGATTTTACGACCGATGATTCCGTCGAGCCATAATTTCGGTTTTTCTGTAAACAAAAATTATAACACGGTACAATTAGGATGAAAATAAGAACCTTTCATTGGTTTAGCGATGAATACGTTAGATGTATCGCTAGGTTTGCCAGCCCCAGCGGCATTAACAGCCGACACTCTGTATTCGTATTGGTGTCCTTCTTGTACTCTATCGTCGTAATATTCTAAATGACGTGTAGGTTCTTTGTTGAGTTTAACCCATCGTCCTGTTGCACGATCTCTTCTTTCGACGTCATAGCCAATAATAGGAGAGCCACCGTTGCTAATAGGTGCCGACCATTTGATTTTAATATGGTCTTTGTCGCTATCCACAAGTTCTGGTTTTCCAGGTTTTCCAGGAACATCTAGAACATACAAAAACATGGTCAGAACAAATAAAAAACATATTTTGCCCAAAATATCCACCGTATTGATTTTTTGCAACTACTGGTTTCTCCGTATCGAGAGGATCGGAGCGTCCTTGGAGATTTTCAGCAAAAACTCTAAACTCATATTTAGTGCCTTCGATCAGTCTTGGAACAACAGCATGTGTGTTTTTAGGATTTACATAACTAACAGCAGGGACCCAGCCACCGCCATGAGTCAAATCTCGCTTTTCAATAACGTATCCCCTGTAATTAAGATTTTGTATTTTTATTTTTATTGTATTTATTTACTTGATTGCAACTTACGTTAATTCGCTGCCGCCATTGTCTTTTGGTGGTTTCCAAGAAAGCGTGACGCTTTGCGCCGTAACTTCTTCGTATTCGAGAGGACCTTGTGGGGGTCCAGGACGATCTAAAACAATGTATTCAGCAATGCTTACCTTTCATTTCTTGATAACCTACCCAAGACGATAACTTGGAATGAACCTTCATCTATACCAGAATTATTTTTAATCAAAAGATGATACAAGCCACTGTCTGAACGTTTAGCATTGACTGTATGGATGATCGTGTGGTAGCCGATAGAAGTAACGGTAGTGCGATCATCCGCTGTCAAAGCTTTACTGCCAACAGTCCAAGTGGCTTCAGGACATGGTTCACCAATAAAATCGATGTCAACATGAAGAATGAGACCAGCTTTAATGCGAATATCATTAAGCGGGGTTTTGATTTTGGGAGCCACTGAAAAAACAAAGTTACTTTATTCAAATTGATAATCGTGACTTACAAAATCTGGCTTTAGCGGTGACAAGATCGGAAGGTTCAGATGGTTCACTTTGTCCAGCGGTATTAGTCGCGATTACTCTAAATTCGTATTCTTGTCCTTCTGTTAAATCAGGTACAGTAGCTGTATTTTTATTAGCAGGTACATGAGCAGCATTTGTCCAGTAGGGACTTCCTTTTTCTTTCTTTTGAATGATATAGCCTGTAATTGGAGAACCGCCATCGCTTTTTGGCGGGGTCCATTCAAGGTCGACATGATCTTTATCCCAGTCTGTGACAGCTGGTTTACCGGGAGCACTTGGTTCATCTGAAATTAATCATAAAAAAAAATTGAATTTTAAATCGTGAAGATTTACCAAATTCATTTTTAGCAATAATACTCTTGGGTGTTTCAAGCGGTTCGGATTCTCCGACCGCATTGACGGCTTTGACTCTAAAGAAGTATTCTTTACGATGAATGAGTCTTGTGATATCATGGGATGTAATTGTTGCCATTCCGGCGTCTGACCATGTTCCACGAGACACGTCCATTTTTTCAACTACGTAATGCAAAATAGGCGAACCACCGTCATCCAGTGGTGGTTTCCATTGAATTCGGGCGCTTTCTTTAGTGACATTGCTGACATTAAGGGGTGGTTGTGGAGGTCCTGGTTTGTCTAAGACTGTGACATTTGCAGAAGCAGTAATGCTTCCTAAATCATTAGTCAGAGTTACGCTATATCGTCCCGCGTCAGATCGAAGTGAGGACGATACGTCAAATGACATTTTATTGTTATAAACAGCGATGTCAATTCTGTCACTTGATTTAATTTCTTTGCCATTGACCGTCCATTTGACCGTCGGCTTGGGCGATGCTTCAATTGGGATAGTCCATCCGAAGCGTTGGCCGGCTTTGACGGTGATATCTTCGAGAAGAGTCTTGTCAAAGGTTGGAGCTTGGAATCTAGGTTTGGCAATAACAGGCACTGAGGCTTCACTAGGCTCACTTTGGCCGCCCTTATTCACGGCAATTACCCTGAATTCGTATTCTTCGCCTTCAGTCAGATTTGGTACAGTACCTTTTGTGATGTTTCCAGGAATTTCAACAGCCTTTTCCCAAGTGCTACACAATGATTTAATTTTGCTTTGCAAATTTTATTAATAAATAAATTAACTTACCCGTGTTTTGGTCTCTTTTCGATGATATAAGACGTAATGGGTGAACCTCCATCTTTCCTAGGTGGAGTCCATTCAAGATCGACATGATCTTTGTCCCAGTCTGTGGGTGTAGGTGCTCCTGGCCTGTCAGGTTTAGTGAATGGATCTTTAGCTGTGATACTTTCAGCAGTTGTTAAAGGAGCAGATTCTCCCAGTTTGTTTACAGCACAAACTCGGAAGTTGTAGTCGTGTCCTTCAGTTAAGTTAGGAACTCGCATTGAAGTTCCGACAGCTTCACCCACGGGTACCCATCGCATATTTTCAGTGTCTTGTTTTTCAACTGTGTAATGAGTAATTTCGGAACCACCGTCATCTTTAGGTGGCTTCCAGCGAAGTGTGAGAGAATTCTTAGAAACATTGTCGGCTTTGAGTGGCCCTTCAGGCGGAGTAGGTACATCTAAGACTGTAACGTTAACTGTCGCAACATCTCTGCCGTTGATGTTTTTGGCAGTGAGTTGGTATACTCCGCTGTCGCCACGTTTAGCATCGGTGACTTTGAGGTTTGTTTTGTAGTCTTCGTTGACGATTTTGAGTCTATCGGTGTTGAATAGGGTGTTTCCTTTGAGTTCCCATTCTTTAGTCGGTGGTGGTTCACCGATGACAGGGACATTAAATTCAAATGATTGTCCAACGCGCACTTTGATGTCGAGTAGTGCATTTCTGTCGATTTTAGGTGCAACTGAAATAGAATAATTAATTGCTTTTCTTGACATTTTTGTGGAAACTTACGATTCTTTGGTCTTGCGACATGAATCTTTGAAGCATCGCTAGGTTCTCCAGGACCGGCTTTATTAACAGCACGGATGCGGAACTCATACGGTGTTCCTTCAATGAGATCATTGACTTTTCCTTGTGTGACGTCTCCTTCAACTTCGGCACACTTCTCCCAGTTAGGATTAAACTTGTCGCGTTTTTCAATAACATACCCAGTGATGGGTGACCCACCATCGGATTCTGGTCTCTCCCATTTGAGTTCGACAAAGTCGCTATCGTAATCAATAATTTCAGGCGTTCCAGTTTTACCGGGTTCGTCAAACGGATTTTTGGCTTCTATCGCCTGTGCGGTGGTCAGTGGTTCAGATTTGCCTTGTTTATTGACGGCACGTACTCTAAATTTGTATTTTTTTCCGGGCACAAGTCCATCAACGTCAAGTGAAGTTTCAGGACCGTCAGTTTCCCCAGCCGGAACCCAACGTCCGGTAGCTTCGTCCATTTTTTCTACAATATATCTATCGACAGGCTGGCCACCGTCGTCCGCTGGCGGACGCCAGTTGAGTTTACAGCCATTGGCATGGACGTCAGACACTTTAAGTGGGCCTCCAGGGGGACTGGGCACATCCAAGACAATCACTTCGACTTCTGCGATATCTTTTCCGTTGGCATTTTCAGCAGTTACAGTATAAGTGCCAGATTCGGCACGAGTGGCATTACGGACCGCAATCTTTGTGTTATAATCACTATGTTGGACTTTGGTTCTCTCACCAGATTTGATTTCCTTGCCTTTCATCAGCCATTTGGTCGTCGGCATTGGCTCGCCTGAAACTTTAACATCGAAGCTGAAGGGCTGTCCTGCTTTAATTCGGACTTCAATAAGATTAGTTCGGTCGATTTTAGGTGCTTGGTTTCTGGGTTTGGCAATAATTGTGGGTGTTTCATTACTTGGGTCACCGGGTCCCGCAGCATTGACAGCACGGACGCGGAATTCGTAAGGTTGTCCTTCAATTAAGTCACCAACAGTGGCTTTGGTTTGGTCTGCTGGTACTTCAAATGCACGTTCCCATTCACCAAATTTGTCTTTCTTTTCGACGATGTAGCCGGTGATTGGAGAACCGCCGTCGTCTTTTGGCGGGGTCCATTGTAAGTCAACGTGATCTTTATCCCAGTCGGTGGCTTTCAAATGTCCTGGTGGTCCAGGTTCGTCGAATGGATTCTTGGCAAGGATTGCTTGTTCGGTTTCTAGGGGTTTAGATTCACCTTCCGCATTAACAGCAGCTACTCTGAACTTGTATTCTTTACCAGGGGTTAAACCAGTTACCTCAAAATCTGTAAATAAATAGTTAGTGACTGTTAGAGAAGGTTACATTAAAAAATAGTACTTGGTTCGTTCGCCCGTCCGCATGGTACCCAGGTTCCAGTTTCCGGATCCATTTTTTCGACTTGATAGTATTCAATTGGAGTACCACCATCATCTTTTGGTCTCTTCCATTTAAGTTTACATCCATTTTTGTTGACGTCTGATACTTGAAGTGGCCCTTCGGGACTGGATGGTTTATCAGTAACAGTGACGTTTATAGTATGAGTGTCTCGTCCGGAAGAGTTGGTAGCAGTCACAGTGTATTCACCAGTATCGTCACGTTTAACTGGTCTAATAGCAATTTTGGTGTTATAATCAACATTTTCAATTAATGTGCGGTTGTCATTCTTTAAGGTCATTCCATTGAAACGCCATTCCACTGTCGGTGGAGGTTCGCCGATAATGTTGGCGTCAAATTTGAGCGGAGAGCCAGCAGAAATGGTAACATCATGAAGATGTCTTCTGTCGATTCTTGGAGCCACTGTAAAAAATTATTAATGAAGTAATACCACTAAAATACGTTACGTACAAAATCTGGGTTTGGCAATGAAGGTTTTACTGGAGTCTGAAGCCGGACTTTGTCCAGCTTTATTGACAGCAATTACACGGAACTGATATTCGTTTCCTTCAATCAAACCATGTACCACAGCAGTTGGTGTAGGGGAAGTTGTTTCTAGAGCTTTTTCCCACAGAGGACTGTATTTATCTTTCATTTCAACAATATATCCGGTAATCGGAGAACCACCATCAGATGGAGGTTCAGTCCATTTGAGTTCAACGTGTTGAGCGGTCCAGTCAACAGGTTCTGGAGCTCCTGGTTTGCTTGGTGTCGCTATAAATTGTTCATTATATTGCGCCAGCTTTGATTTTACAAAAACTTACTAAATGGATCTTTGGCGGTGATGGTTCCGGCAGTTTCCAAAGGTTCAGATTCGCCTTCTTTATTCACAGCTTTCACTCTGAACTTATATTCGTGTCCAGGAATAAGACCATCAACTTTCATTTCGGGTACATCACCAGTTGTTTTTCCAACAGGTAACCAAATTCCAGTTTCGGGGTCTAATTTTTCGACGACATATCCTTCGATTGGTTCACCACCGTCGTCTTTAGGTCTCTTCCATTTAAGATTGCATCCATCTTTGTGGATATCAGTGACTTCTAATGGGCCTTCAGGCTGTCCAGGTTTGGCTAGAAATATTTTGTTACCTTCGAATTTTATCTAAGTCTGAAGTTACTTACCGACAACAGTAATTTCAATTTCTGCAGTATCTTGGCCGTATCTGTTCGAAGCAACAATTTTATAAACTCCAGTGTCCTTTCTTTCGGGTTTATCGTTGAAGAACTTGGAGTTATAAGGAACATTATCAACACGACGATGTGCTGTCTGAGTAACTGTTTTGTTATCTTGGTACCAGACAACTTCGGGAGCAGGTTCACCGCTAACTTTAACATCAATATAAATCGGTTCACCTTCCTTCACGGTCAAGTTATGCAAAGTACGGCGATCGATCTTAGGAGCCACTGAAAATATGTCTCATAATTATCATACTTAAAAAAAAATAAAAACAAAAAATACTTACACTTTCTAGGCTTTGTGATGACTGATTTAGATGCTTGGCTAGGTTCACCAGGTCCTGCCGCATTAACTGCTCTTACTCTAAACTCGTATTCCACACCTTCATCTAAGTGATCAGCAGTTCCTTTAGTATCATGAGGACCAACTTCTCCAGCTTTGGTCCATTTCGGTGACCCTTTTTCCCGTTTTTCGATAATATATCCGGTGATTGGAGATCCACCATCATTAGCGGGTGGAGTCCATCGTAAGTCGACATGATCCTTGTCCCAGTCAGTAACCTCAGGTGTCCCGGGTGCGCCAGGTTCGTCTAAAAACTTGAATAAAAAAAATTGCGATATTTACTAGGGCACTTACCAAATGGATTTTTAGCTACGATAGTCTGATCGGCTACCAAAGGTTCTGATTCACCCTCAGCATTCACAGCTGACACTCTAAATTTATATTCTTGACCAGGCTCAAGGTTATTCAATTCGATTTTGGCTTCTTTGGCACGTCCTGCTGGTACCCAACGGCCAGTTGCAGTGTCAAGTTTTTCTACAGCGTAATATTCAATTGGTACACCACCATCGTCTTGTGGTGGGTTCCATTTAAGGGTACAGCCTTCTTTGTGTACGTCACTGATTTTGAGTGGACCTTCTGGTTTTCCTGGTTTGTCGACGACTTTGATTTCAATACTGGCTTCGTCTTTTCCTGAACTGTTTTCGGCTTTGAGGGTTAATGTACCGGTGTGGCCTCGTTCAGCCGAAGAAATTACCAATTTGGTTCTGTAATCTTCAAGATCGACAGTGATATCGTCACGTTTCTCAATACGTGCTTTGTTTAAGAACCATGTTTTGGTCGGTGGAGGTTCTCCAGAGACTTTGACGTCTAAGCGGATGAGTTGTCCTGCTTTAACGGTAATGTCTCTAAGGGTACTACGATCGATTTTCGGTGGTACGAATCTATCTTTGGCTGTAATGGTTTCTGACGGAGGTGATGGTTTACTTTCGCCACCCTTGTTAACAGCTTTGACTCGGAATTGGTATTTTTGTCCTTCTTGCAGGTCTGGTACTTTAGCTTCTGTTTTATGTCCTGGTACTTCAACAGCTTTTTGCCATTTTCCAGTAATAGGATCTTTCTTTTCAATTATATATTTTTCTATTGGTGCACCACCATCTTCTTTTGGAGGTGCCCATTTAAGATCAGCGTGATTTTTAGACCAATCTTTGATTTCTGGTTTTCCTGGAGTATCTGGTTCTGAGTATGGATTCTTAGCTGTAATTGGAACTTCTGTTTCCAGTGGCTCTGATTCACCTTCGGAATTAATAGCTTTGACTCTAAACAAATAGTCTTTGCCTTCGTTAAGACCAGTAACGTCAGCTTCAGGTGTTTTGGTTGTTGTTACAGGAATCCATCTGCCTGATTCCACATCCATTCTTTCTACGACGTAACCACTCACTGGCTCTCCACCATCATCTTCTGGTGGTTCCCATTTGAGTTTGCAACCGTCTGCTTTGACATCAGAAACATTAAGAGGACCTTTAGGTTTAGAAGGTTTGCTCAAAACTTGAATTTCAACATCGACAGTGTCTACACCAGAGTCGTTTTTAGCTGTGACTGTATAAACACCAGTATCAGAGCGTTGGACTTTCTGTAAAGTGAAAGATGTGTGATAATCCTCGTTTTCGATTTTAAGCCTGTCGGTATTTTTAAGAACTTTTTCTTTAAGCGTCCATGTTACTACAGGAGCAGGTTCACCCTTCACATCAGCCTCTATACGAAGCAATTGTCCGGTACGCAAAACCTTCTTTTGGAGATTTTTGCGGTCAATATGAGGCGCCACTATAAAAATATTTATTAAGAAACAAAAAACGATTGTTATGAAAATTCTTACAAAATCTGGGTTTAGCAATAACTGATTTAGATGGGTCACTAGGTTCACTTGGTCCAGCTTTATTAACTGCAACAATTCGAAATTCGTACTCGTGTCCTTCTTCAACTGTATTCACGCGACCCGTAGTTCTGTCTCCAGGAACTGTAGCTGCATCAACCCAGCCACGTCCAGCTTTGTCATGCATTTGAATAATGTATTTTTCTATGGGAGCGCCACCGTCGCTCTTTGGCGGCGCCCAAGCCAATTCTACAAAGTCTTTATCCCAATTTTTGGGATCGGGACGTCCAGGTTTTCCAGGTTCGTCTGAAATAAAACGAAATTACAAAATTTTAATGTTTGTGCAAAACTTACCGAATGGATTTTTGGCGATTATAGATTTTTCTGTTTCTAATGGTTCTGACTCTCCCTCTTTGTTGACTGCTTTAACTCTGAATTTGTACGGTTTACCTTCTTGAAGTCCAGTAATATTGGCTTCGGGTTCAGTACTTCTACCACATGGAAGCCATTGTCCAGTTAGAGGATCAAGTTTTTCAATTTCATAATGATCGATTGGACTTCCACCATCGTCTTCAGGTTTCTTCCATTTGAGTTTGCAGCCGTGTTTCGTGACGTCAGTGACGTCAAGCGGACCTTTGGGTGAGGATGGTTTGGCAAGGACGGAAATTTCGATATCTGCGGTGTCTTCACCGACTTCATTTTTGGCAATGATGGTGTATTTGCCAGATTGTTTGCGTTTTGCCTTAAGTACAAAGAATTTGGTATTGTAGTCTACATTGTCAATTCTTATTTCATCTGATGAGACAATTTCTTTTCCTTCATACAACCAAGTGACTTTCGGTGGAGGTTCACCAGCTATATTGATGTCCAAACTGATTGAAAGACCGGCCTTGATTGTAAGCGGCTTGACATTAGTGCGATCAATTAATGGTTTCACTGAAACACAAATGCAAATAATTTTTAATTGTAACCACAAACAAAACTTACAGAATCTAGGTTTGGCTGTATGCCAATTGGTTTGTTCGGATGGATCAGAAGTTCCTGCTTTATTTACAGCACGAACGCGAAATTTATATTGGTTACCCTCTTCGAGTTTATTGACAGTTCCGTTACATTGAGGTCCTACCTCAGCAACTTTGACAAATTGTCCACTGAATTTATCCATAGCTTCAATGATGTAGCCGGTTATAGGAGCTCCGCCGTCTCTGACAGGTGGTTCCCACTTGAGTTTAACCGAATGTTCGTCATAATCAACAATTTCTGGCAACCCTGGTGGAGCAGAAATATCGTATGGATTCTTAGCGATAATAGAAGTATCGCTTTCCAAAGGTTCTGATTCGCCTTCTTCATTGACAGCTTTGACGCGGAAACTGTATTTTTTATTGGGTTCAAGTCCGGTAACTTCATGTTCAGTTTTGTCCGGATCGATAAATCCAGCAGGTACCCAACGGCCGGTACTAGCGTCTTGTTTTTCAACAACATATCCGGTGATGGGAAGGCCACCATCATCTTTCGGTTTCTCCCATTTCAATTTGCAACCTTCTTTGTGAACGCCGGTAATATCGAGCGGTCCTTCTGGTTTGCCTGGTTTGTCTAAGATAATAACTTCGACTGGAGCTTCGTCAAAGCCGGACTCATTTTCTGCTTTGATTGTGTAAGTTCCGGTGTGTTTGCGTACAGTGTCTGTTAGAGTGAATTTAGTGTTGTAATCTTCGTTTTCGATTTTAAGATTGCCACCGGATTCCAAAGGTTTGTTGGCAAAGCTCCAAGTAATTTTCGGTGGAGGTTCACCTTTCACATCAACATCGAATTTGACAACTTGGCCTGCACGTACTTTGACAGTATGTAGTTTTTCGCGATTGATAAGTGGACGCACTGAAAAGCCAAATAAGAAAAACAAAAATAGAAAAAACAATTAGTTTACAGTGTCTAGCTTTGGCAACATGTTGTCCTGTGGCATCCGACGGTTCTCCTGGACCAGCCTTATTGACAGCACGGACCCGGAATTGATACGTATTGCCTTCTTTGAGTCCGGGTACTTGTGCATCCGTTGCTGGAGAATCTGTTGTGAGAATTTCATCCCAAGAAGTAGAAAATTTCTCTTTTTTCTCGATGACATATCCGGTGATTGGTGCACCTCCGTTGTTTTTGGGTGCGGTCCATTTGAGATCGACACGGTCCGCGTCCCAATCAGTGATTTCAGGAGTTCCCGGTTTTCCTGGAATATCGTAAGGATTCTTTGCTACTATAGACTTATCTGTTTCAAGAGGTTCGGATTCTCCCTCATCGTTGACAGCTCTGACTCTAAAGTCGTATTCGTGTCCTTCAACTAATCCTTTTACATCCATTTCTGTATCGTTTGTGCGTCCGACGGGAGCCCAGCGACCTGTTTGTTTATCTAATTTTTCGACGACGTATCCGGTTATTGGTTTGCCACCGTCATCTTCGGGTTTCTCCCACTTCAGTTTGCAGCCATTCTTGACGACGTCGGTGACTTGCAGTGGTCCTTTAGGTTTGGATGGTGATGCTATGGAGGGTAGTTAGTACACTAATTCTACGAAGCAAAGCGGTTAAATACTCACAAAGTACAGTAACTTCAACTTCAGCTTCATCAGAGCCGTGCTCATTAACAGCTTTTATTTTATAAATACCAGTGTTTTTACGAACAGAGTTATTAATTGTAATTTTAGTGTTATAATCTACATTGACAATCTCAATGTTGCCTTCAGATTTAACTTCTTTGTCATTTTGGAACCAAGTGATTGTCGGTGGAGGTTCACCTCTAACATCAATATCGTATTTGATAATTTTACCAGCTCGAACACAAATCGGCTTAAGATTCGTCCTATCGATTCTCGGTTTGACTAAAAATTGACAATAAATCATAATCGTAACAATTGTTTAAAACTTACGAGATCTGTGTTTGATAATCTGCATTTTTGAGGCATCAGACGGCTCTCCAGGACCAGCTTTATTAACAGCAATAATACGGAATTGATATTCTCCACGTTCTTTTAAATCTTCTACTCTAGCTTCTGTTAAGTCTCCAGAAACTTCAGCAGCTTTTTCCCAATCTGGCTTGTACTTATCTTTCTTTTGAATGATGTACTTCTCAATTGGAGCCCCGCCGTCACTGGTAGGTTTCTCCCATTTGAGATTAACACCTTTGTTGTCATAGTCCACAATTTCTGGAGTACCAGGTTTGCCAGGTTCATCTAAATGTTACAATTTTAGGGAAAATAACAATTAACTAGATATTTTTGAGTCTTACCAAATGGATTCTTGGCAATAATACTACGATCTGAAACTAGAGGTTCTGAGTCTCCTTCATTGTTAACAGCAGTAACGCGGAATTTGTATTCTGATCCAGGATTTAGTCCAGTTACTTCATATTCAAGTTTTCCGTCAGGTCCTACTTTATCGCCGGGCACACGACCAACACGTACCCATTTGCCTGTTGCCATGTCCATTTTTTCAATTTCGTATTCTTTGATTGGACTACCGCCATCGTCTTCTGGTTTTTGCCATCCAAGTTTAGCTTTTTCCGCAGTGATATCAGAAACTTTCAATGGTCCCTCAGGGGAACTAGGTTTGCCCAAAACGGTCAGTTCTACAGTTTCTGTATCTTTGCCGTTTACATTCTCAACAGTTAAAGTATATTTTCCAGTATCTCTACGAGCTGCATTTACAATAGTAAAATCGGTGTGGTAGTCAGTGTTTTCGATTTTAATTCTTTCGCTATTTGTTAAGGGAATATTATCTCTCCAGACCCATTTCTTTTCCGGTGGCGGTTCACCAGTTATATCAACTGACCATTTATGTGTACGACCGGCTTTGATAATGACCGATTTAAATGTCTCGCGATCGATACGGGGTTTCACTGGAAACAATTGCTATTTCTCTCGACTTGATTCTAGAAAAATACTTACAGTTCCTGTGTTTGCAGAGATGATTATCTGTCGGCTCGGACGGTACCGAAGGGCCAGCTTTATTATGTGCACGCACCCTAAATTGATAAACCATGTTTTCTTTCAGATTTTGGACTACACATTCGGGGTTGCTATCCTCAGTTTTGGCAACTTCGGACCAATCAGGCGAGAATTTGTCTTTCATTTCGATGGTGTAGTGAGTGATAGGACGACCGCCATCATTGTCAGGCTTCGCCCATTTAAGTGTGACACTCTTATTATCATAGTCGATAATTTCTGGTTTGCCAGGTGCTCCGGGTTCGTCATAGGGGTTTTTGGCAAGGATCGCATCATCGGTTTCAAGAGGTTCAGACTCTCCTTCCTTATTCTTAGCTCTAACTCTGAACTTGTATTTCTTTTTAGGTGTAAGTCCTTTGAAAGTGAAGGAATTTTCATCAGGGCCAACTTCGCCGGCTGGTATCCATCTGCCAGTTTCCATGTCCATTTTTTCAAGAATATAACCGGTAAGTTCGGTGCCTCCACTGTCTTCTGGTTTTTGCCACGCGACTTTAACGTGAGTCGCACGGACTTCTTCGACTTTGAGTGGACCTTTTGGAGGTGTTGGTTTGTCTAAAACGATAACTTCGGCTGAGCCTTCACAAGTGCCTGAACTATTGGTGAGGACAAGGCGGTATTTGCCACTGTCCAGTCTGGTACATCTTCTGACGGTTATGACAGTGTTTCGTTCGTATTTATCAATAGTTATTCTTTCTTCTACGTCTTGTTTAATTTCGGTATTGTCTAACATCCATTTGACTTCTGGTTCGGGTTCGCCGCCGTATTTTATGTCATATTTGACGGTTTGTCCCTTTTTGATGATTATGGGATTTAGGTCGTTGCCAATAATGAACGGTTTGACGAATCTACATTTGGCAATGATTGGTTTTGTACTATCACTTGGTTCTCCAGGGCCGGCTTTATTGATAGCTCGAACTCTGAACTCGTATTGGCTGTTTTCTTTGAGTCCTGGAACCGTTCCGGAAAGTTGGTCTCCAGGTACTTCGATACCTTTAGACCAGTCTTTTGCGAATTTTTCTTTGAATTCAATTACGTAACCAGTAATTGGTGCACCACCGTCGCTGTCCGGTTTAGACCATTTAAGATCAGCATGATCTTTATCCCAATCAACAACTTCAACATCTTTAGGTTTACTTGGTTCATCTGGAATAAACAAGTTGATATTAGATTTGTTGAAATTGTATTGTCTCGATCCTGAAAATATAAATTAATTGTCGCAATTGTCGACGTTTTGACGTTTTAAAAAATATGTGCTGACGTTTCGATTTTATAAATTCTTCCTCTTAAGCCTATTCTTGTGTAAAAACAAAAATCAATGTGTAAAAATCTGTTTCAGCACTGAATCAACACTGTGAATTAATTCGCATAATTAATATAAAATCAGTCAGTAAAACACATGAAAAACCTAGAGAAAGCAAAAAAATATTAGAAAAGTTAATTTTATGTTACCCCATGGATCTTTTGCAAGTACAGGTTTGGCGAAAAGTGCCGGTTCACTACTGCCGAGTTTGTTGACAGCACGAATACGGAATTTGTACTCTTTCTTAGGTGTGAGCCCTTCGACTTTGTACGTGGTTTTATCTTTTGGTGAAACTTCACCAACGTTTTCCCAACCAGCCTTCAAGCTGAGATCTTGTCTTTCCACCACGTAATGGAGAAGAGGAGAACCACCATCATCTTTGCATGGTTTCCATGATACTTGACACGATGTTTGAAAAACATCAGTAACATTAACATCCAGTGGAGGAGACGGTACGTCTTGCATTATGAAGTTAACATCTTTAACGTCTTCACCTTGACCATTTGATACTTTGATTTGATACATTCCAGACTGTTCTCTTGCGGGCTTTTTGATTTTAAAAGTAATTTCTTCTTCGCGTACTATTACTTCAACTTCTTTCAACGGAAGAACTTTTCCGTCTTTGACAAGTTTTGCTTCCACCTGTGTTTGCCTAGTTCCAGTAACTGTAAAGGGAATTAAATACTACACACAAGACGGCACAAAAAATTACCTTTGTATGGTACTTGGAACGTGATTGGTCGATTTGCAGGTGCTTCAAATGTGTCAGGGAAGTCAATCATTGGTTTACTTTCACCTTTTTTGACAGTAAGTTTCATAGACGAGGTCAGTTTTCCTGATTCGCACATAATTTCACCATCATCTTCCATTTCAAGGCGATTGAAGACCAGCTGGTGTTTACCACCACCAAGATTTTTGATTTCAATTCTCTCAGAAGGCTCAATTGGTTTTCCATTGAAAGTCCAAACAGCTGGTGCAGTTTGATCTTGGAGCTCAATATCCAAAACTAATTTTTCTCGTTCTACAGCTTCCGTATCCTTTAATTTTTTATTGAAACGGTTCAAATAATTGACAACTAATTCGGCTTCAGTTTTATCGGCATTAGAAACACAAGAGTACATTCCAGCGTCTGTAACTTTTGCGTCCTTGATGACCATTTTGCATTTACGTCCATCTTTAATAATGTTAATTCTTTTGTCAGGTTTGATTTCTTGTTCGCCTTTGAACCATTTTACGTCACCACCTGCATCGTCAAGTTCACATACAAAAGTGATGTTTTCTTTTTCAACGTGTTGTTGGTGTTTAAGGACTTTGACGAATTTGTAGGGATACTCAACAATGTTAACATTGGTGGTGGTCTTGTCTGTTTGTTTTTCGAGTTTACAGGAATATTCTCCAGCGTCGACAAAGTCAGCGTTTTTGATTGTCAAACGACAGTTTCCGCTGATGTCTTTTGAAATGACATATTTTTCATCGTCTTCGAGTTTTGTTGTTCCTTTGTACCATCCTACTATAGCCAGACTGTTGCTGACTGCACATTCGAGTTGAACTTCGTGTTTAGTGAATCCATCGTATTTCTTTTTAAGTTGTTTTGTGAAAGTGTAAGAAGGATCTGGTTCGTCAACGTTGAGGAAAGCCGTACATGATACTCCACCAATTTCAATGCTGTATTTTCCGCTATCTTCCACTTTGGGGTTCATGATAATCAATTGATAAATTTCGTTTTCATTTTTAAACTTATATTTAGCACCTTGGAAAAGCTCCTAGAATTGGGGTAATTACGATTTTTCTGATAAGAGGGTAGTTGTCTTACGTCTTTTCTGAATAACCATTTTGGTTTGCAGTTTGGTTTCGAAAAGCCTGCTTCAAATACGACTTTTTTATCTTTTCCTTCTTTGGCATATTTGTCAACAAGAGGTTTTAGGAACGATTCTTGTTTCTATAATAGAAAGAAAATGGCAAGTGAGTATTTATTTAAGAAGTTTTGGTTATATACATCGAGAAAAATATTTTACACGTTGAGACTGCTCTCAAAAATTGAAGTCGCTTGTCAAAAAGTGCGCTGTAAAAATTGAAGACTCAAAATCGAAAAAACGTCGATAAAAATCAAAATAAGTATGTACACAAAATAAATTAGAATCAAGATCATATCCCACGATGCAAAACAACATCTAATTTGGAGTATTAGAATCAGGCAAGACGTTAATCTCTAAAGGAGACTAAAGGATGGTGTATGGTGTGGAACACAACGTGCAACACATCTAAGAAAAACATCAAAGAGAGAGACGTTTCTGTCATCCAACCTCCTTTTTCTCAAAGTGATGTAAAATGGGCCAGTCTGGTATTAATTCAGCCAATGAAGGCCTTCTGGAGGATACAGGGTTCTATAAAGAAAAACTTTCAGTTTACGCCTAAACCTAACATCGGAACCATTCATTCTCACCTTTCATTCTGACAAAAAAGCATGCAAAAGTAGGAAGAGCTGAAATAAAGCTGAGCATAGATATTTAATAGAAGTAAGCGATAGTGTAGCTGTGTTTAGTCAAAATAAATCACATTTTAAGTTGTCTGATAAAGCGTGTAAATTAATTGGCAGAAAACCTCAAACTAATTTAATGCCAACCTTTATTTTTTCACGAACCACTAGTTTCGGCCAATCGTCTACAATTTCTACTAGCGACGGTCGCCGCTGAATTAGAAAAAGTTCCTAAAAAGCAGTACAACCTGAGCCATCAAGCATATCTACAGCACATTGAGTATTTCTACTAGTTATTTGAAAGAGAAAGAAAATTGAAAATAGTCAAATTTAGTAATCTACGATCATAAATTAATCACTACAATAAAATTAATTGTTAGTCAAGGATGATAGTATAGAGAAAGAAGAGAGGATAGAAAATCTAAACTACAAATGAGTTTGGAAGCTATAGAGATGCGTCTCCAAAGAAGCAAAGCCTGCTAAATAAAATAAGAATATAAAAGACAAAGATCACATCTAGAAAAAAGAATTTTTAAACATGCTAAAACCTCTCTTTTCTTGAGCTTAGGCCAATCTGGAATAGATCCCGCCAAAGAAAACCGTGTTTTGCAGTTTGAAAAGGCATTCTGTGAAATGAAGATATAGTAAAGCATAGTCAAGAGAAGAAGCAGAAGGCAAATAAATGAAAAAGCTCATTTACTCACTCGACTAAACACAGACAACCACAAGGACAAAAACAAGACGATACACAATCAGATAAACTCCTCTGGCTGGCCAAAACTGAAAAATAAAATTATAGCCCTAAAAAACGATCGATATGGAGACACATCTTTATAACACATCGCCTGTAAAAATCAGTTTTGGCTAAAGGTTGTCGACAGGATCGGTTCGGGCCGATTGTGGGATTGTTATAAAAATTTTAAACAAAACTGGAGTTATTTTCATAAATCCAGAGTTGAAAAGGACATGTTTGAGGCCGGGCTTTTGGTGATTGGTGAGGGCTCGTGGGGAGAAACTAGCCGAACCTTTAACCAACTCCAATTGTCAGTCCCAATTTTATCAGCTGGCGCTTCTGCAATTAATGTTCCTTCGAGATAAACAGTAACAATTCCACCCTCTTCAAACCATCCGGTGATTTTTTCACCTTGGGGCTATAAATGTTAAAAATTCAGCACGCAAAATTCGAAAAAATCATTTGCCAAAACCATAAAAATGAGGAGTGTACAAAAATAATTTTACTATCTTAGAATCGATCAAATAGATAATCAACCTGACCTTTTCGACTTTTTTCAAGACTGGCATTGGCTTTTCAACTTCTTTGAGCTCGCCCCAATCTGGATCTTCCTTGTTTTCGCCCCATTTGGCATACTTTCTCTTTTTCAACATTGCACGGAAGTCCATACCGCTGGAATCTGTCCGAAAAGTTAAGCCCAAGCCAAAACAATAGCAAAGCGGCACGTACCCGAGACATATAACTGCATATCAGCAGAATCTTCACCGTGGATATTAGAAACAACAATTCTGTATTGACCTTCATCATTAGGTTTTACTTTGCGGATGCAGAGAGTTATGGTATTTGTTTCTCCGTCCGTGAGGAACTTAAATCTACCTCCCTCAATAATTTCAGTCATGCCTTTGTAGAATTTGAAGGTTGGTGGAGGATTACCCTCAACTTGTACAAAGAGGTACGCGATTTGATCTAAAAATTCTTCTTTAGAATCGCGATTTTGCATTCCGAGAGTTAAGCACCTTCAACAGCCGAGTAAGTCTCTTGCACATCTACAATACTCGGGGGTCCTCCTGGTCCCACAGGTTTAAGGGGTGTTGAAGGTTTATTAATCATATCTTCCATGTCGGCAATACTAGGCCTTCGGACGTCGGAACTGGGGCGGCGACGCTAAATTATATCATTAATTATCATCTTCATTCTCTTTAAAGAGCTTTTGTTATGTTGTCACAAAGAAAGCTTAGTTGTAGCGTTAATTGTAGCATAGCTGTATTAAGTAGCGAGTATGTACACTAAATTATACATAGATACGCTCTATTCTTCTTCTACGAGGCGCAATTTTTAATTACAAAAAAAACACAAATTAGCCACAATTTATACGGAAAAGTTAGAGACTAAACTAAAGCAGCTTTGTTTTAGTCAGTCTCTAAGAAACATAAAATGAAAATAATAAGAAAAAATAAAAAAGAAAAGAAAAATATTTAATCTCGAACATGGATCTCCTTGGAAAATTAGACACTTCTCTATACTAAACATAGATTAATTACAGGTTTTTGAAATCCGACACGTAAAAGACTTCTATACTATTCGAGGATTCTAAAAATCGTTAGACACAAACATAAATTTATTTGGACTGTTCTAAACTACTCTCTCCGCGCTAACCTGTTTTTCGTTCGGATCTTGCAACTGTCCCGGTCGTTTACTTTTCGGCTTTAAATAAAAAAAACAAACTAAATAAAATTGTAAGAAGCAAAATAAAAATTAATATTAAAAATGGTGTTAAGTCTGTTTGGCACTGTTTCTGGTGCCAAACCCAAGGTCAGTTTTGTGTTTTCGAACACAAACCTCACCTTAGTATCGAGTACTTCACCGGGACGCAATTTTCCTCCCTGTTGGCATAACGCAATAATTTAAAGAATTGTTTATACAGATTGTACATATAAAAAATTTGGGCACATACTCGACGATCTGCAAATGGTCATGGCCTGCTGGTGAGCTGTAATTGCCTTTTTGCACGTGTGATAGTACATCATGCGCTTGGACATAACAAAGATCATCGATCATTAACATTGCAACGAAACCTAGTTAAAATTGTGCAGCGCTGTTGCTGAGTGTTGTAAATAAATCGATTTCACATTTTCGACTCATGCGTGGGAAAATGTGAAAAACTCAAAGCGTACAAAACGGCACTGCGTTTCCATTTGATTGTTGATTAGATGAGGCAGGCGTACGATCATTGATCGAAAGACGGTTACCTTTTTCTCCTCCAGAACCTCTCCCGGTCGAAGTTTCCTATGTTCCTATGAGAAAAAATCAAGACATTTACAAGGGAAACTACTACTACCACGTTTCCTGTCTCCGGGGGCTAAAAAAGGAAAGGAAAATCATTTGCAAAAAGTATACCTCGTCTGATATGATGAGACTGGCTCTCCGGGTCATAGCCTCTGGAGGAATCAACGAGCCACGTCGGCTTGGCGGCCCGCTGGGCTCTAAAGACTGTTTTCGTGGTTCCGGAGTTTTCTCTTTAACAACAGCGATTTTTGGTGCTTCTGGTGTTTTGATTTGGGGAAGACTCGGCTTGTCCTGCACAAACGAAAAGCTTCAAGCAACTGACGATTTATTACTAACTGCTGAAGCTTCAGGAAAAAATATGAAAGCGAGCCAAAATCAAACTAAAGCCTCTTTTATAAAATGTAGTTATAAATGCTTTTATTTTGCATCAACAGATGATCAAATGATTGCCAAGAATATATAGGGTGCTGTTAATTAGTATCCCTACATTCCACTTGATTCATATTTAGCACTAGGAATTCATAATTAGCGACGCTTTTCCATTTATAGGTCCAAGGAGAATTATATTTGCGAAAGCTCCCAAATCTCACCTTACTCAATTTCGTTTTCTCTCTACCAGCATATTCTGGATGTTCGCCTGGCTCGTATTTCTCAAGAACCGGTCTTTCATAATCGGGAATATTTTGCCAAGCTTCGATATCCTCATCTTTGCTTGCTGTTGATTTCTTGGCAACCGTTTTGGTTTTTGATTTTTCTCCGGTTTTCTAATAAAACGAATACAAAACCTCAATTTCCACAGTACAAAAAGCACAGAAAAGACACATTTTTATGTACAAAAGATTCTATGAAAGTTATAGATACCAAGAGAAAGAGTACAGAAAGCCGATTTAATAATGCGAAGAACATAGACGTTCCAAGCACGATTTTAGACACATGAGAAAGGAGTAGAGATAGAATAGAGTACGGATAAGTTTACATGAGCTTCCTGTTACCTTCAACTCAACTTCTAGTTTTGCCTTTTCAGCTTCTTTGGCTTCTTTAGTTACAGGTTTCAACTGTATATTCAAAAAACTATCTGTTTTGACCTCAGTTTTAGGAGGAATTTTTTTCTTTACTTTCTCATCAGTTTGCTACATAAATTATATATTTATAGTTCCTTCCCCGTTTTTATTTAAATTGTAAAAATAAAACTAAATAAAACATAACTCACCTTTAATTCAACTTTCTCGTTCCCTTTTGCTTCATTCTGCACATGGAACACATGGAACATAAAATTTGGTATTAGAACAATGAATAAGACAGTGTCGAACATCGAACATATTTTTTTTATAAGAGGGGGTTGGGGTTAAATCAAGTGTGCCAAAGTAGTGCGAGTAAATAAGTTGCGTGCAGTGTGATTTATGAATGGATGATCAAAATCATTTCAGAAAAAATGTCTAATGAGAAATATTTTGACCATTGATATATAACATTGATAATAACATTTTACCAAGTTTAATTAATCAGGAAAGTTGATTGTTGTGCTAATTCTAATTTCCTTGTCCTCAACATATTTCATAGGGTCGTATCTAGGTACCCTTAATAATTATTTGATAAGTGTGTAAGTCTAACAATTGGTGTTTGTGCAAAACAGCTGTGTGCTTATGGTGCGTATTTACTAGAAATTTAAAAATGTTAAGTATCTACAGTTTTAATTTGTATGGTCAAAATAGTAAAGAGGTTATTCTAAAAATATTCAGTAAATATTTTGACCATGAATTATTTTTAAACCAAATCTACTGTATTTGTCACTTTTTATTACCACAGGCTTTTGGTGCACTTCAGGTGTGGTAGGTACGTCGTCATCCGGAATGAATTTCATTGGATCGTATTTCCGAACCTTAAATAAGGTTTTAATAAAAATACTATCGAATATACAAAATTCATTGCGTTAGGTGCAAAGTGCGACAAATTTAGCTGTGCTTTCGTGGACAAAACACATTCTTTAAATAATATACTTAAACTTATTTATCCCTCTTTTAAGTGCATGTGTGGTCGTGTAACTTTGCTTTTACAATATTTTGTGTAATTTTGGTGCATTTTAATTGAACTTTTCTGATTACCGGTTTGGCTTGAGGACTGGGAGTTGAAGTTTCGTCCACTTTTTTGTCTTCGACAAATTTCATTGGGTCATACTTAGGTACCTAATTGAAATCAATTTAAAGAAGTGGTTGATCACAATGGTACGAAATTTTGCTGTGCACAAAATCTTAATGACTGACAGCGATTCATGTTAATGTATTAGTGTCAAAAGTGTGCAATTGCGAAAAAATGCGGTGCGATATAGTGTTGTTGTGATGTATGGTCAAAATGTTTTTGGAGTTTGGGATTTGAATATTGGTACAGTAAAATATTTTGACCATTTTTTGCTAATCAAATTTTCTACCGAAATGGCCAATTCAAAATTTTACCACGGGCGTTTGAGGAGCTGCTGGTATTTCCTTGTCTTCGACAAATTTCAAAGGATCGTATTTAGGCTAAAGTTAAAAGAATTGATGGTTATTTTTGCAATAGAGAAAGAAATGTTTTGTAATTTCATTGAATTTGGTGTACCTTAATAGGACGTCGTTCGGCTTCTTCAGGAACGATAATTTCGGGTGTTTTAAGCTCAGGAGTTTTGGCGTTGGGTGTTTTGGGTTTTTCTGGTTCTGTTTTTTTAGTTTCGGTTACCTTTTTCGTAAGATCTGCTCTTGTTTTGAGTTCAGGTTTCTTTTCAGGTTCGGGTTCTGCCTTTTTAAGGGCAGATTTCTTTTCAGGTTCAGTCTTTTTCAATTGGGGTTTTGTGTCAACTTTTTCAGGTTCTTTTGAAGGTTCTTTCGCGGGTGCAAGTTTTTGTTCTGTTTTTTTAGTGTCAAATGATTTTTCTTCAATGTTGTTTGTTGGTGTCAACTGTATACACAATGGAAGAGTTGTATTAATCATATTTGTGGGATAAGACAACAACTAGGAAACATATTTTTGCAATTTATGATACTTACCGCTTCAGCTGTTGTTTCCAATTTTTTGGTTTGTACCTAATAAAACATAAAATTAGATTTTATGCACAAGTGAAAATTATAAGCAAAGATTTGCTAAAGAAAGAGCGAGAAAATACCTTTTTCTTTTTCTCGTCTGCAATTGAGGATTTTCTAGATTGACTTCTAGTTTCCTCTTCAATCTAAGAAAAATAACACGAATTTAAAATATGACGAATTAAAAGAACCATATTGCTAACTCTACCTGTGTTACGGAAGATCTACGACTAGAAACTTTGTCACCGTCTTGAACGATCTACAAATATTTTCGTAAATGACAAGGGACACAACGAAAATACAAATGAAATGTACCTGTTCTCTAGTTTCAACAATAGAACTTCTACGAGATTCACTACGAGATTCACTTTTGAATTCTTCGATCTAGACAGACACAAACATGTATTATCATACAATTTTTTTTTTGTATTCGGTTACCTTTTGTACTGATGTCTTTCTTTCAGATTTTTTAGTTGCTGCTTTGGTTTCCTAAATTATCGAAAACATTCATTTAAAACGGACAAAACTTTGAATTTTAACTTACCTCAATTTTTTCAACAGCATTTTTACCAACATCGTTAACTTTTTTAGCTTCCTCCTAATTACATTACAACGAGAGTTAAAACATTAAAGGATAACATATAGAACATGATAATTATTACTAATTATTACCTTCTTTTCGACTTTCTTGGCTTCTTCTTTCTTCTCAACCTTTTTCTCTTCTTTTTTCTCCTCTTTCTTTTCGACTTTCTTCTCTTCTTTCTTTTTAATCTCCTCTTCTTCCTTCTAAGAAAAATCAATTAGTACAAATACAATAACAAGAAACAATTATTCGTGTATTGTGGAGTGTGGCATACCTTAGGTTTTACATCGTCTTTACGTGTAATTTGTTTAATGTCGGTATCTTCTTCTTCCTCTTCGTCTTCTTCGTCTTCTGTCTCAATTTCCTGTTTCTCTTCTTTTTGTTTCTTTGTGTACAAAATAGTGTAAATGTGTCATTGTGCGTATTGTAAAGAGAAACACTTACCTTTTCTTCTTTCTTTTCCGTAACTGTCAGAACAGCTGAAGCTTCATCTTCTCCGAATTCGTTCTTAGCTACGACTTTGTAAGTAGCAGAATGTGACACTTTGCAAGTTGTAATACTGAGGTGAGCTGTGGAACCATCGAATGTAATTTTGACATCGGACGATTCTCTGATAACTGTCGAATTTTTATACCAAGTGATTGTAACTGATTTGTCGCTGACTTTGAGTGAAGAAATGAAATCAGCTGATTTGCCTTCTTCAACGTTCTAGAATCATTTGAGTTATAAGGAAATCAAAACGATTAAAATTTTGCGACGTACGACATTGGTCAATTTTGTGAGTTTTGGTTTTTCACCTTTTGGTTTCTCTTCCGGAGGTAATTCTGTTACCTCGACCGTTTGTGAAGTAGCTTCGCCTTTCTCATTCTTTGCTACTAATTTATACAAACCTTTATCTGTTTTGCTAACTTCAGAAATTTCCAATTTAATTGCAAATTCGCCCTAAAATTATCACCTGCGTAAATTTAAAAGTTTTTTGTTTTCTTTAACTTACATCTTTAACTTGTTCTACTAAAACTTTATGTCTAGCATCTTCTTTAACGGCAGTTGCCTCTTTAAACCAAGTGCAGTCAGGTGCAAATTTACTCTGAACTTTGCACTCAACAATAACAGTTCGTTTTTTGATAATTTTGATAACTTTCGGTTTTTCTTTTATGACTGGGATAATTTCAATATTGAGGGTTAAATTGGCATTTAGTTCACCTAGAGTGTTTTTAATATTACATTTGTAAAGCCCAGAATCTTCAATTCCGGGATCTTTAAGTTCAAGTTTAATATAATAGACGTCTTCTTCGACCTTTTCGAAGCTTATTTTTATTTTTGACGATTCGGTCACTTGTTTACCTTCACGGTACCAAACAATGGTTGGTTTTGGATTAGCACGTACTTTACATTCCATAATAACAAGTTTTCCGCCTTGGTGTGAAGTTATTCTTGGTTTTTCTACAAATGTAGGTCCGTCTCCTTCTGGTTCTGGTTCAGCCTCAATGTTCAGGTTGAGATTGGCATTGCTTTCTCCAAATTCGTTCTTGACATGACATCTGTAGGTACCACCGTCAGCTCCAGCAGGATCCTTTAATAAATTTCGTAATTATTTGAGTTGTGGTTTTGTTTTTTTTTATACCTTGATTTCTAAAGAAAGTTCGTAAATATCTTCCTCTACATCAAGCGTTTTAATTTTAATTTTAGATGATTCTTTAACGACAGTGGTTCCACGGAACCAAGTCACGTCAGGTTTAGGTTTCGCTTTACATTTACATTTCATGGTAATAAGTGTTCCGCTTTCGTTTGGAATAATTTTGGGTTTTTCGATGAAGGAAGGTGCAAAACCGGCGGCATTGTCTCCACCTGGAAACATAAGAAGTTACGAGGTGCTAGAGACAAGGCTTTTGGTTTAAGGCCATGCTCATGCAAAAGTTATTGTAATGGTCGTATTGATCTGGTATTGGCTGAAACAGATTTGAGGAGGATAAATAACATCGAAACGTCGACAATTCACAGACATAGAGGGAGACTCTTCATGCCTACTCGGCATACCTTGGAAATTTAGCGCTATGTTTGCATTGCTTTCACCGTAAACATTGAAAGCGTTACATCTATAATTCCCCCCGTCTTGGCGTGTAGGGTTTGATATTTCTAAAGTAAGCAGATATGTGTCTTTGCCGGTTGTTTTCCGAAGCATGCGTACTCTCGAACTGTCTGCAATACTATTTTCGCCTTGATACCATGTAATATCTGGATCTGGATTGGCTTCTAGAAGACATTCCATCACTAGGACATCTCCGTCTTGTCTTATGGTCGGTTTCTTAGGGAATCGTGGTGGTTTTCCGTCTGGAATTCTGCGAAAGGAACCATTTTTATGGTATCAAGACGAGTAGAGTCTTTCTCTTACTTGGGCTTAGCGGCCCCCTCAAAATTAAGATTGATGGTGGCAACTCCCTGGCCGTATATGTTTTTCGCTATGGCCCGGTATTCGCCTTTATCGGTGCTTTTAACGTTGTTGATCTCTAGTCGCGCTATAAAATAAAGTTTTTGGTCCTCTACCATGGAAATAACGTATCGACTATTCTCCTGAATTTCTTCTCTGCCGTGGAACCTATGATTATTTTTTTACATTTGTCTGTTTGTATCGATGGTCGAGAAATACCTACCATTGGATAACAGGTTTGGGATCTCCGACGCATCTGCATTCGAAGGTAATCTTGGTACCATCATCAGTCTGTCGGATAACAGGTCGCTCTGTGAACGTCGGTTTGATGCCATTGTCTGGCACGGGAGCCTCATCGCCTGTGCATAAACTCTTCTAAACTGGCTATCATTATACAAGGACAGCCAGCAACACTCGCGCAACTTAACAATGATCACCGAAAAAGCTCAGCTTTTAATAGTTACGTCTAACAGTGTTAAAATGATATACAGTGTGGTACGACTCTGAAATACAAGTGTCACATTTGCAAGAACATGGCCTTTGATATGATCAAAAATGGTTAAAATTAACAAGTGTCCAAGAAGAATCTCACAGGGGGGGCTAAAAATTAAAATAAAATCATCTTGCCACCGGCGTACTATCCAGCTATAGCAGACAAGTGGCTCTGGGGGAAAGAGCTAGCCTGATTTCTATTCTAAGCTTTTTAGGTAATAAATCACACAAAAATTCCTCGTCAATTGCAATGTACACTGATTAGAATTGGATATGTTAAAAAACTGCAAATTAAAAGCTGAGCTGAGATTAAGCTTCGGTTAGTCCATTGTACTGTGCACGAGTGCTGACTTACTTGGCCCCAAGAGTGGCTGCTAACTATCGGAGTATTTACAATGAGTAAGTATTATTAAACAGTGGCAGTGTTTGTGAGGAAGTATTATGTGTAAGAGAAATAGAGTCGTTGTAAGGACTTGTGTAATTTGTATTCTTCCTTCCGCCAAGAAAAATAATAAAACTGCAAAGAAGCTATGAGAGAGCGATAATAAGCTCAAGTTGGTAAAGCTTTGATTTGTTAAATTAAAGTCGTTATCATTTTTTAGATTACTATAACGCCCATTCACTGAAGCTTTTTTGCACCAACGATACAAAGCACAAAAATTTACACAACTTACTATCGAAGTTGAGGCTGATCGTCGCGTTGCTTTCGCCCAACTCATTCTTTGCAGTCACCTTGTATTTGCCAGCATCCTCAACCGTGACATTTTTTATTTCAAGGGTTGCAAAATACGAGTGGCCATCTTTATCTATCCTCAACTGAAACGCAACCAAATTCACGTTACTAATCCACGCGATTATTTTGCTACGTTAGTCACAAAGAATTACGAACTAATTATTTATCAACTTTCGTTCTCTCACGATGTTATTTATATACTCATTCATCGATCGATTTCCATCCATTTATTTATAACTTAACATTAACGACAATACTTAAGTCATGTTAGTACACAAGTAAGGACCATTAGAAGATGGTTCTTCGTCTTTGATCATTCTTGAGAAGTTGGCTTTAGCGATATTGTTTCACAACCACTGCCTATGAAAATTTTTAGTGGTAGAGACAATACTGGTATTAATTGGTAAAAGTTGCTGCGTATGTGCAAGAACGTGCAAAGGGAAAAACAGCAGGTGTCATATGTAGATGTGATGCATGCAAAAATAGAACGCACATGTTGCCAAGATGTAAGCGTATAAATTGTCTATGAAAATAGTCGTTTAAAGTGAAAAAATGCTTGCATGAGAACGGTGTCAGGGTTTGCGGAGTAGGGTAAGAATTTAGGTACCTTGTGTCGTGGCGTTTCATGTACGGGGTTGGCATTGTGGAACCAACTGACAGTAGGGCGTGGATCTGCTTGAATTCTACATTCGAAAAGAAGTCTTTTTCCATCTTCCTCCTGTCGAATACTCGGCTTCTTCGCGAATGTTGGTGCAAGACCGTCGATTTGTCTGTGCAAAATTGCATAAATTTATGAGATTTTTACTTCAAGCTATAGAACAAAGTTAATTTTAACTATTGACAATGTTGTGGTAAGTTAAAATCGAAACATGACCCGTGACGTAAACGTTACGTATCCAAGAGAGGTGAGTAATTGTGGAGGCCAAATTTTGGCAAAAGTTTGTTATTTCATGCGTAGGTAGAATCATCTTTCTGCATGACCAAAACTATTTCGAAATATTTTTTTTTAATTTACTTACTTCTCTTTCGGTTCATCCATAGCTGAAAAAGAAAAATGTTGTCATCATTTTGTTGGTGGAGCAAAGGAGAATTTGTTAGACCAAATAATAACCTTTGAATTAATTTTGATGAACTAGGCTATAATTTGATCTAGAAGTGAGAATTTAGGTCACTTACGACTGAAGTTGAGATTGATCGAAGCTGCAACTTCTCCCATTTTGTTCTTTGCTTTGACCTTGTAAAGGCCGGCATCTGTTTCGATAACATCGTCAAGCTCAAGAACCACAAGAAATTTGTTTGTTCCTATTGACTGTATTTTGATATTGGTTCTACTGTCTTCTGACAGTAGTGTATCGCTTCGGAACCATTGAATATCTGGTTTTGGGTTTGACAATAGTTGACATTCGAAAATAAGTTTATTGCCGTCATCTTCTTGTCTTAACTGTGGTTTCTGGGTGAAGCTGGGAGCGAAATCTTCTGCCACTCCCATGCTTTCTGTATTTTGATTATCCCGAAATCGAGGACATTAACCCGGCCCTAAAACCCGTTTAAGCAACTTATTTTTAAGACCTAGAACTGATCTAAATTATAATAATGTGTCACGTGCTGCAACTTCTTCCAATGAAGTTGTTATAGCTACTACAACTACCGAATCTACTGGACCCGCGGCTTTAACCCAGATAACTTGAGCACCAGGAGGTGTCCCAATTCAAATCAAAAGATCGCGTATTCCCTTTTGTGTATCCTGGAGCACACAACACTTCAGCACTCACTCAACTTACTTCTTGAAAATGGTGCAGAAGCTCAACAGCTCAGCACTTCACTTCACCACACACAGTTCGCGTTTTCGCGTGTACACTTGGGTCGTCCCGTCGCACAAACGCGTCGTCGATTCGTTCGTCTTTCTTAGAGGTTGCTTCGTGGCCTCCAAAGCACTGACTAAAGGAGTGTAATGTGTACCCCGAATCTAAACCAGAGCATGACGATGCCCCCGCCAAGCGTCGCATTAGCCCCCACTCTAAATCGGAGCGTCGAGACGCTTTCCCTCAGCCTCGACAGCCTCCAGATCGACGGTTTTCAGCCACCTCCACCATCCTGTAATGACTAATCGAAACCGCCACTTCATCAATCACCTCATACAGGAATTCCTATACCTTCACTCCCCAACACCTGGATACGTGGTGTTAGGCGCCAATGCAAAAATAATAATGACGAAAATGGGCTTCATATTGCTATATTTATTCGAGTGCATCAGAAAAATGCATGACTAGTCCCTTTGGTAAAGCCAGGTGGAGGTCCAAACGCATTCCTCCAACGCTAGTCATTGTTGATTCATTGCTTATTAGGCTCAAGTCACGTTTCAGCTTTACAAGGAACAATTTGCTATTTTTATTGCGAAACAAAACAGAACTTTACAAGTGCGACAAACATGTCGTTGTTTAGACTGAAGTGGTGTAATCAAACCACCGATATTAAAGTCCAGTTGGAAGTGATATGGGATTCTCATTATAAGAAAACATATATACAATTCTCTCGAAATAACCGTGGGCTCAAGTATTTTTAGAAGAGAGCAAAGAAAAAGAGATGTAATCTTATACATAGGCGAGAGTCATGCCAAGCCATATAGGGCGGCACGGCTCGAGTATGAACGACAGTAGCCGTTCAAGCGACGACTTAAGCTTAGGCGCTCGGCGTCGGAGTACCGCCCCACGACGCTGCATCGTATCTACTGGGAGACCGACGCCTGCATCTCCGACGCTGGCGCCCCACACTCCCTTTAGCTAATTGACCAGAATCAACACTGTTTACATTAATAGTATTTTAACGGCTTAGAAACCTACATTTACCCAGAACTAATACGCTTGCAAAAATACATCTTTCACCAGTCTTATACTCCCTTTAATAAGACTTCAACGCGGCTTCTTTCTTATTCCAAAATTATAAACATTCCAACAGATTGTTTTCGAAACTTCTATTTTTTTTATTTCTATTTTTGGATCAAACATACGCATGAATTAAAATTTGTATTTTTGGAAATAGTCGTATAACCAAAGTATTAATACCAGTCAGCTGGAGCCATTTAGCAAGTTATCAAACACTTCTAAATACTTTAATACTTTGTAAGTGTCAAAGAGGACTATTTTAAATCTAATGAGTAATGAGTTAAAACTATAAAAACAAAAAAATGTAGATATACCAGTTATTTATTTAAAATTACATTACAATACTACAATAATATTTACAAGAATTTTCAGAGAATCACAAGATGCTGTACGTCCTAGAGGTAGATCAGATATACATCTAAAATGTTTTTTGGCACACATTAAAAGATACATGTTTTTCAAATATTTTTAATTCAAAGTTATGTTTTCTGAGTAGAATTCTCGAGTAAAATCAGGTTTCTACTGCGCTACAAACAAATCGTGATTCTATAATAATTACTAAAAAAACAAGAAATTTTGCTAAATTCCTAAACTTCTCAAATGAATAGTTTAAGAAAAGTAAACGTACAAAAGTCTAACTAATTTTAAACTAGTATTTATAGCTTAAGTAAGAACAACAACAACAGGGGCTTAATTTAGTAAAAAGTCAAATTAAAAAAAAGTTATACTTATGTCAATCAGAAACAACGCTTTGTGTGCAAATTTGAAATATCGTTGCAGGTCGAGGATTCGATTCTTAGGTAACTAAATTAATTATCTTCACCTGTTGACGATAGACTCTTGAGATATAAAAATTTAAAGTGCCAATTTTTGTCGGTTATTATTGGTGTCATATTTTTGGATGGCTTAGTCGTTCGTGATGTCCCAATGGCTCGTTTGTTGAGTTTGGGGTATAAATAAAGCGAGAGCCATTAAATTGTTTCTCATTTGTTGACGAGTCGATATTTTAGAATAATAAAGTTTAATTTGTTTAGTTTTTGGCCTGTGGGGTTCTTAGGATTTTTTTGTAATGAGAAGGTCCCGGATTGAGTTTGAAAATGTAAAAATATTTGTATCTGTCAAGATGCGTGTTATTGTTGGAAGGATTTCGTAAATTATTAGTATCAGGAAAAAAGTTTTGTTATTAAAAGACGAAAAAGCACTTTTATGAATATTTATTTTCTTATTCTAAATTTATATTAAGTTTTGAGTAAAAACATGCATGTTGTTTGTTAGAGCCGTTCATCAGAGAGCTCAAATATTTTTCTAACCTGCCTAAATGAACCAGTTCCTGTAGGTGTTGTGTTTATTTATTTATAAAACTATTTATAACAGTATTGAGTAGCAAATTTAATGAGCCAAATGTTTTTCCTTAGTATCATTACCACTGTCATTACTTGTTTAAAAATAATTTCGACATGAGGTTTCGTCTTTCCTTACAAATCATTATATTAGTTCGTCTATTTTTTAATCGTTTTCTAACTTTAAAATCATTTGCTTGCCAAATTTTGCTTATATTTTTATTTTTTATATCTCATTTCATACATTCCAACAAATATGAGCTATTTTAATTCGCGACTTTTAAACTTTTTAAGAAAGAGACGTAACATTACAAATTTGCGCTGATGTGAGTGCGTCCAGTGGCGTGCATAGTGCGCAGCTGACACTGGCACTCATATTTTGTTCAAATGTGTTAAACAAAGTTGTCAAGAAATATTGGTATCCTCGATTTGAGGAGGAGAACGTCAGTTTAAGAGGGCGTGTGTTAGATATTTCAGTAGGACGATGTGTTCCTCAAATTAGCACACGGTCTATATTTAACCTGGCCACTATGTTAGAAGTTTGCAAAAGACTTTGGCAACATTGCTTTCGTAAATAATATTTTTTAGACTTAATCATATCGCATTTTTTTCAGCGCTTCCATTACGATTAAAATAGTTTTTTAATAAATGTTTTACTATATTTCGATCGACTAGTGAAAAGTCCGGTTAAATATAACAGCAATTTCCGAAAACAATTTTTCATTTCGGTTCAAACAGCGAAATTAGAGTGGAATGCCATCACCACGATAAATTTAAACGGGATATAAAATAATCTGGGTGATACGTTTGTCGTACCAGTAAACTCATTTTGATTTGAAAGATGCCATTGCAACATAAACTTTAGCTTTATTTCACCCAGCAATATGTTTTCTTAAAATAAATGTAGGACACAAATGCAGGGGTAATTATAGACGGTTTTTTCGTTTCAATTGTTAGAAACCAAAAACCGAAAGATTTCACATTTGTCGAAAGTAGATCAGATATATCTGGTATTTTTCTGGAGATATTAATAAATCGTGTTGAAAATAGTGTCCACTTTGCCATTGCTAGACATTTCCATGTTATTTTGCAACATTACTGCAATGTTTCTTGAAATTACATAAAAAACAAAGCATAAAGAATACTGAAAGCTTTTAGTTGTCAGGAAAAAAATCATACAAAATCATGGCAAAATTTTCATATGTGCAAAAGTAATATTTCGTAAGCTTTAAATTATTATTGTAATGCTAACGTACTAACTCTACCATTTCACATTTTGGCACACAATCTGAGCTTTTTATAAATGAAAGCTGAATTAAATTATCTAATAAAACTGAGAATATGTTGAGGGTCACGAATATTACTCTCAAAATAAGATCGTTGCTGTTTTGACAGCTGCTTCATTACCGAAAAATAGAACCATTTTCATATCTTTTTTTTATACTTTATGGGAGACTTGTAAGCTTGTTTGCTAAAGAAAATAATGTTGAGGTTTATAGCTTATAAATAAGCGGATGAAATTGGAACACGTTACAAAAAAATGGTTGAAATTGTGTTGTTTTTAGTTATTTGTAATTGAAGGAAACTGTTTCTTTCTCAATTTTTTAAATTAAATTTATATTTACATATTTCAAAATTATCATCTAACAATCTTAATAGTACAAACACTCCAAAAAATAACTATCTGTACTTATTTTAATTAACGAAAATCTAAATTTTTAAAGTAGCTTTAAACAACTTTAAGACAAACAGTATTACTATAATTTTTTCCTTATTCTGACGTAAATAAAGTTTTCTAAGTTGATTAGACAGCTGCAAGGGAAAGTGAAAGATGCCGGGCACTTGATGATGTAAAATTACTATTTGTCTAACTTCCACAAATATTTAGCGGAATATTTTCATTATTTTTTATTTCATAAATGGGACTGAGGTTGAAATTTTCATTTATTCTTCAGTTTCCACAACCTTGATGCCTATACCGACCAGAGTTTGAAAGGATATTTCAGTATGTTTGATCTTTTCAAAATGTAAGTCCATAAAGAAAGCATTTTCACTTATTTTTTCTGCATCTTTCATTGCACACAATTTCACAGGGTAAATACAATGCACCGAGCGAATGATTTAAAATAACTTTCTAAAATTAAAAGTTTATACAATTTGCTATCAACAATATACAGGATGATTTTAATAATTGTGCAGAAATTTTTAGGAGTGAAAGTAGATGACAAACGATGCGAAAATAACTCAACTTGATTCGGCCAAATCTTTTAGGGTTTTAGTCGTCGAATGAATTTCAATTTGAAGCGCAGCCTTAAACTTCACCAACAAAAAATTGTAAACAAATATAGAATCTCTGATGTTAGTTCTTCAAAATCTATTACATTATTTAAAAAAATTAGTTCAAAGCAGAAAAACAGCCACAAACGTGTCCAGGAATTTTAAAAAATAAAAATTTTGGATCAAAATTTCTTGTCAAAGATACCTACTACATCAAATGTCACCGACTTAGCAATATAAACTTTGAAGTAAGTAAAAGATAAAAGCTTTATTTATATTACGTTTTTTTGACGAATATTTCAACGTTAAAATCGAGATTGCACTATATCACCGAGACTACAAGTTTATGGTGTTTCGGATGAGGCAAGTTTAGTTATTTTGACTTTTTTAGACCTTACACTGTCACCTCTTAAAATTTCTGCACAACTATTAAAATCACTCTGTATTAAAAAAAAAATAAAATTAAAGTATTAGTCTTTGCTTTAGTCAATCTATACCTCGGGACTTTTCTATTGCCACACTCGCAACGTTGCAACGGCCTTTTTTAAAGTGAAATAGGTCACAAATATTTGATTTCTGTCTTAAAGAAGAATCTGTGACAGGTTGGCAATTTTATTATTTTTCATATTTTAGCAGTAGTATCAGTATTAACATTGGTTAGGGCGCTACGATATATACTATGTAAAAGTGCATTATTTCAAAAGTGTTTCACCTTCATTGCATTCACATTTTTAATTTTATTTTGACATGGTTACAAAAAATATGGTGGATGCGCCGGGTAATAAGATCTGTCACACCGATCTCAGCACATAAAAAATCTAGTAATGCAAAGGCGGTAGCATTTGCTTCAACCAGCAATACCTCTGTTTTTATGTGTCTATATTTTACATGGCCTTGAAATACAGATATCCGGAAAGACGCGCACCTCCTTGAAAGGGAATAATTGGGTAGTCTCTCAGAGTACTAAAAAACTGTTTAAAAAATTCTGTCAAAAAATTTTGACATTTATTTTTTGACATTTGACATTTTTTTATGTCTACTTAATGATACTGATGATTTTGTATATGCTTTTTTTATAATTATTTAGTAAAGGTACAAAAATTTTGTCAATAGAAACCACAAATAACATTAAACAGAGTTACAATTTAGGATGTAGCTTCTATGTTTCCTCTTCTGCCTATATCAAAACAAAATTGTAAAATTATTTTCCAACAGAAAAAAATAAGTCATAATGTAAAATTTAAACTCCCATAACTTCGAAATTTTTCTAGATAGATTTTTTAAACATTTTTCTTGTTGTTTAGGGCACCGTCCGATGACACAGTGCCACGGAGGTGCGCGACTTTCCGGACACCCTGTGTGTTTTATCAGTTATATGTGGTAAGATAGGTATTGTTTTATTGTTTTTATTTAAAAATCAACATTTTTGTTAGTCGTTATTTTTTTATTGTAAAATCTGTCTCCGTATTTTGTTTCACGAATTTTATAAACTCCGTTTATCTTCAGATGTGGACGGATGTTACGTACTTACCGGGTGTTTCAATTCTTTGCTGAAATTTGTTTAGGAAGGAATTATGAGTGGGTAAAATTAAAATAGCTATTAATATAACGAGAATATTATGCGATTTATAATAATCGAGGACGAGGCGTAGCCGAGTCACCTGCGCAACGTCCATGGTGGTTTAAATCGCTAATCGAGTTATATTTCAAGCTTTATCGTATCATTTACTTACCTTGTTAAACGCCTGTGGAGACATTTTCAATTTGCAAGAATTGGGTTGATGGGAGCCAAACAAGGTTGCCAGAGGATACGTAGAAAAACACCTGGATAAGAAGGTTTCAATTGGGCAGAACATCCAGGGAACGTTTCAATAGCCAATGTGTCAAACTCGGTATCAAAAACTCAGAGATCAATGAAATATCACTACGAGTTTGTATCTAACGTATTATAATTGTATTGAAGGTATTATGTTTGTAATATTATGGTCTCCATAATTATCAATAAATGTATAACATTAAACGATCTTAATAGATAATGATACGAAAAACAATTTAATTTAAATTGGTCTATTAAATAATTGATATTAACAAAAAATGTTTAAAAGTGAACTTTACAATAAATAACGAAAGAACAAATTATACATTTATGAACATTTATACCCATAAGACCAATAAAAATATTTAAAATCACCACACTAGAACGAAAGGTTTATACAGCAAATTAAACTAACGGTGTCAACAATTAACAAAAAATAACCCCATAAAACAAAGGTGACAGTCTTTGTTTCAATCAACAATATTCCCTACTCAGTAAGACTTCTTATTAATTTTGATGACATTGTCAAAGATATTGAAATACAAATGACTGACTAATGTTATCCCTTCCTACAAAAACTGAACCAAATAAATAACAAGAAAATATTTTTTCACTAGCCGAAATATTTCGGATTATATGTATAATTAATTCAAGGGTTTGATACAAAATTTGTCATCAATTTTGAAATACATTGGCATATAATCGTGATTGTGGAAGGAAAAGTCAAGTGATTTTGAAATAATTGCTCTTTAAACTATTGACCGTCTTTACTGGAACCCTCATCATTGCGTTTCTGGGGGTCTGGCCCTGGAGCTGGAGCGTTGTTAGGATCGAAGTGTCTTCTCAAATTTTCAACAAATCGGGGATCTTGGTCTTGCATCCTGCTGGCTAAGTTCTGCCCACTAAACAAAAAAATCAATACTAAATTTGGATTTCCCCATTTTGACTTACGCTTGAAAAAGAGCCTCAAAGTTGGTATCTCCGGACTGACTCATTGCCATTATACCAGACATACTGTAAATTGAATAATTTCACTAATTCTTTGATGTTTGCGACACTTACATATTTTGAAAGTCCGGATTCGCCATCATTTCCCTCGCCATGGTCAAAAATTGCTCGTTGTTAATAAATTGTGTTATATCAAGTGGGCGATGTTGTGGAGGTGCTGCATTTTCTGAAACTTAGATTTCATTTTTATATCGGATTTTTTTTCTCATACCCATCGACTCAAATAGTCGCTCTCTTGCTAACGTTAGGTTGGTTTGGTAACTGGCGTTGTGTGGGTCATATTTGAGAGAGGATTCATAGGCACGCACCGCATCAGCCCACTGATTTAAATTCGAATACGCGATACCTAATCTACCGTAGGCTTTGCCGTAAGTCGGATCTAGAATCAAAGCTTGTTTGCAATCTTTGATAGCTTCTTCATTGTTTTCTAAGCGACTATAGGCGGCAGCCCTGTTGCAAAAATACACGGGATTTGTAGGGTTTGCTTCAATAGCCCTGTAAGTAACCTCTAAATGTGATGTTTCAATAATTCGCTTATCACTTACATTGAGTAATAACGCACAGCCTCTTCATATTCGCCATTTTTCATCGCTGTGTTACCCAAATTTTTATGGCGTTCTGCTTCTAGGGCCTGTTCTTGTTGGACACCCTAAAAGAATGCTTTTAAACAAACCAAAAACAATCTTGTGAGATTCTCACCGCGTCATTTAGTCGTATTTGAGCCAGGAGGTCTACTTTCTTTAAATTTTGACGATCGTCGCTTGAAATCTCATAAGCGGTTTCTAGACATTGAATTGCCACCTCAATTGATTCCTTTCGTTCCTCAGAGAGGTCGGAAGCCCCGACCTCACCTGATAAGAATTCCAGGACATTGAAGATTAAAGTCTTTTTGCGAAGACTTAAATTTTCCATTTTGGAAAAGGAATGGAGTGAAAATGGTTACAGGCGACGTGTTGTACACCAGGAACCACTGTGAAGCCACTTTTATGAGAATTCTTCAGGTTTAACAAAAGGTACTTACAAAAAGACAGGGGATTACAAAAAACAGGTTTTCAAAAGAATGTTGCGATAAATAAACAGAAATTCAAGGCAAAGGTAATCGGCGATTGCAAAAATCATTAATGTTTCTACATTCAACTCTATGAAAATATTCTAAATTTGTTAGAATTAAATTCTTGAAAATTTAGTTGAGGTTAAAAACCTTTCGTCTTGTAATTGCCGGCAAAACCGGATTCTGATATACCGACCCAAAAATTCGCACTGACGCACAGACCAAATCGAGTAGTGGCCAATCTGCTGATTGTCTCAATCTCGAAATAAACAAAAATTATATTTTGGTGGAATCAACAGCCGAAAGTTTGGAAATTGACGACTGTTTCCTGAAGGAATATATTTTTGTGGATTATTGAGAATGCTCATCAAGTGAACAAAGTGAAAACATTCAAGAATTATGCACATAAACAAAAATATACATTTTTAGGATTGATTTTTTTATTCAACTACCTCTTAAATTAATATTGCCGATAAAATCAGAAATCTTTGCTTTAAAATACTTACCAAAAAATACGAACTAATCTACAGACAGACTAATGCGCATATAATCCAAATCTCTTAATGGCCAAATTTGAATATTTTTAATAAAATACACAAAACCGTAATATTTATACAAAACAAATTTAACAAATCACCACAAAACCAGATTTAACATTTTCATTTGCAGATGGAAAAAAAATATGTACAGCCAGAGGAATTTTAGTTGAGTTTGAGAAAACGTAAGTCGGTGGCTTTTTTACAAAAACTATTAGCTTCATAATTGACTGGGTAGTATCAGCGACCTGCTTTGATATAAATGAACAGATATATCATTTTTTAAGCGCTTTAGGGGATTTGAATTCGTAAGTAAAATGAACAATAGTTTTAATTTTGTAACCGTTGTTTTATTTATCCAGTGATTTATCAAGTCATGATGAAAGTTTCTTTGCATAGAGGATTTTTTAAGATAGAAAAAATAAATTGTTAACTTCAGAGTTTAATACATATGATTTATAATGATGAGGGTCTTTGTTTTAAAACTTTTGATAATAAAAAATTGCTTGTAGTCGCAAAAACCCGCTTATTTGATTTTAAAAAATCTTGCTTGATGTGCTTGAGGTTTCAAATTCCGATTTTGTGTATAATTGATTGCATAAATAACAGTTTTTTTAGGTTAAATAAAGTTTCAATCATAACCAGCTAAGTTATTAGTTAATAAAATTGTCTAATTTTAAAAAATACGCGCCGAAATATAATTTTTGTCTAACGGTGACGGTATAAGCAACGTTTTTATTTTTATATAAATAGAGCTAAATAACCATGCTTTGTATCGGTTTCGCATGGGTTTTATTTATCAATTATGAGTAGTGTGTAGCCTTGATTAAAATGAATTTAACGTTAGAAAAAACCTCCAAAAAAATTGAAAACTTTCATTCTCTCAGAGCAGATGAATGATGAATTACTCGCGGATCTGTCTGATCCCATTATTTGTTTTGAGTTAAAGGTTATTAAATCTCAAAAAAAGTCCAATACATAGGAATTTTCCAAAAATCTTTCTTAGTACACCCCTACAGTATTATGAGGCATATAGTTGGCCCTGTAGACAATACAGCCACAGGTCCCTAAATAAATCTACAGCCACAGGTCTGTAGATAGATCTACAGATGACAGATGCAAGTGTGTAGACAGATTTACAGGTCTGTAGATAGATCTGTAGATACACGTGCGCCAGAACTCGCGCCCCAGAGAAAAATACCAGGATAATAAGATAATAATAATAAGATACCAGAAACATGGAAAAACTGTTAAAAAAATCTATCTATAAAAATTAATAAAAAAAAGTTATGAGAGTTTAAATCTTGCACCTTGACTTTATTTATTTTTGTTGGGAAAATAATAATAAACAAGTTTTTTTATTAGAAGAGGAAACAAGGAAGCTGTGTCTTAAATTGTATCTCCGTTTAATGTTATTTGTAGCTTTTATTAGCAAAATTTTTGTACCTTTACTAAATAATTATAAAAAAAACATATACAAGATCATCAGTATCATTAAATAGACATAAAAAAAATGTCAAACGTCAAAAAATAAATGTCAAATGTTTTGACACATAAAATTTTTGAAACATTTTTTACATGTTCCTGGTATCTTATCTAACTTGAAATTTTTCTCTGGGGCGTAAGTTCTGGCGAACACTGTATATCTACAGCTACAGGTCTGTAGATTAATCTACAGATAGATCACCAGCTACAGGTCTGTAGAAAAATCTACAGGTTTGTAGATAGATCTATTGTTAGCTCTACAGGTCTGTACATAGATCTACAGGACTGTAGATAGATCTTCAGGTCTGTAGATAGATCTACAGGTCTGTAGATAGATCTATAGGTCTGTAGATGGATATACCGGTCCGTAGATAGATCTACAGGTCTGTAGATAGAACTACAGGTCTGTAGATAGAACTACAGATAGATCTACAGAACTGTAGATAGATCTACAGATAGATCTACAGAACCGAAGATAGATCCACAGATAGATCTCCAGATGATCTACAGGCCTGTAGATATATCTATAGACAGATCTACAGACAGATCTACAGGTCTGTAGATAGATCTACAGAACTGTAGATAGATCTACAGATAGATCGCCAGATGATCTACAGGCCTGTAGATATCTATAGACAGATCTACAGAAAGAGGGATCTACAGATAAATTTACAGAAAGATCTACAGGTCTGTAGATAAATCTACAGTTCTGTCGAGAAATTTACAGATAGATCTACAGATAAATTTACAGAAAGATCTACAGGTCTGTAGATAAATCTACAGTTCTGTAGAGAAATTTACAGATAGATCTACAGGTCTGTAGATACAGATAGTACTACAGTTTTGTATATAGATCTACAGATCTGTAGATTATAAATAATAAAAATCCATTGTCAAGTAATTGAAGGTATTTGACCCGAAAATCTGTCAAAATATTTATTTTGATATTTATTTTTTGACATTTGACATTTTTTTATGTCTATTTAATGATATTGATGATCTTTTATATGTTTTTTTTACAATTATTTAGTAAAGGTACAAAAATTTTGCCAATAAAAGCCACAAATAAAATTGAACAGAGTTACAATTTAGGATACAGCTTCTTTGTTTTCTCTTCTAATAGACTGATGTAGCCTGCTTGGTTCTAATTTCTAATGACACAATTGAGGAGACTTTCAAAAAGCAGTTTGTCCAAATTTGCATTTTTGCAGGAGAGAGCAAAAACTGTTCTTCTTTTAAGAAATAATAATTTTAATGTTTTATACCAGTGCCAATAAATGTGAAAAAATATGTACAAGTTGTACACTAATTTTAGGGCTGGAGTACTTAGGCATTTTACAAATATGTCTTGGACATAGTTTGATTGTCAAAGGGGGACTTAATTAATGGGTCAAAAAAACTTTATTTTGGTATTTACCAGGTGAATAAAAAGTATGGAACCAAACGTTTTTTGCTTAAACTATTTATTTTTTGAAAAAACTAATTGATGAGTGATAAAGTACTATAAAAATGTGATAATTTAACAAGAATAAATTTTTTCGAAATTTCCTTTTGTTTTTGAGTTCTACAAAAAATTTAATTTTTTTAAATGGCAATCCACTATAAAATCAGTTTTCTCATAAAAGCTATACTTTAAGGATTACAACTATATACTTTATATTTAATAATTTGTAATTTTGACAAAAAAAATCGCATAACTCAAAAACAAAACAAAATTTCGTTCTGAAAATACGATCACATTTTTTATATTACTTTAATTTATATTAATTATTATTTTCTGGAGGCAAATGATTAAAAATAAAACCGCTTGGTTCCATACTTTATATTCACTCTGTATACAGGATGGGCAAGAACTCGCGCCCCAGAGAAAAATTTTAAGTAAGATAAGACACCAGGAACATGAAAAAAATGTTGAAAAAAATCTATCTGTCAAAAAATTTTGACATTTATTTTTTGACATTTGACATTTTTTATGTCTATTTAATGATACCATATATATATAATACTCCTATATTGCGGGTTAGGTCTGGAAAGAGTATTATATATATGAATGATACTGATGATTTTGTATATGTTTTTTTACAGCTATTTAGTAAAGGTAGCAAAATTTTGCCTATAAAAGCGAGAAATAACATTGAACAGAGTTACAATTTTGGATAGAGCTTCCTTGTTTCCTCTTATAATAGCCTATAGCAAAAAAAAATGATAAATTATTTTTCCAAGAGAAATAAATAGAGTCAAAGAGCAAAGTTTAATCTCTCATAACTTCGAAATTTTTATAGATAATTTTTTTTTAACATTTTTTCCATGTTCCTGGTATCTTACTTTATATGGCATTTTTCTCTGGGGCGCGAGTTCTGGCGCCCCTATATATAAACAAATTTGTAGGTACATGTTGTACCTCATACACATCTGCACATGCGCATTTTTCCTCGTCTTCTTCATCGGTTTTAATGAGTACTTGGTTGGTGGTGTGACTTCTTTTGAGTAAAAATTCTTTTGGCAGCGCTTATTTCTGTTATTTTTTTTTAAGTGTTGTAGTGCGTCAATTGTCAAACAAATTGCATTTAGTCCAAAATTGACGGACAAAAACCAACAAAAACTCGTTTTGTTTGAGTCAACACATAGGACTAAATGCAGTATGAATCTCCAGGCAACTTTCATAATTTTTTTAGAATAGGACAAAATGCGATTTGAACCTTCAGGAAAAGTTCATTGGAAAGACAATTTCATATAGCCTGTAGCGCCACTTCTATCTCAATTCATAAAAAAATTGGAAAAACTGCATTTTGAAAGTCTGCTCCTCAAATTTTAGTTTTGAAAAATTAAGTATGCCTAGCAAATTAAAACAAAAACAACAATTTTTCTGTGGAGTTAGATTTTCGGAAAATCCCTTCTTATTGTACCTATGAGGTGTAAAAGTAGTGCTTTTCATTTGGGTATATTAGGCTCACTTCAATATATTTTTTTTTTATATATCGAAATATTTGACTGCTTTTAGAAACAACTCATGTCAAAGAAGGGTCCTTTAAGATTGTACAGAAAAATTACCAACTATGTTGCTTCTCTAAGAATTGTTTACTGTGTGAAGTAGAAATACATAATTTTAGGCAACCAGATATACTTCAGCACGGTCCTGTTATTATACGACGGCAACTAATTGCAGCCGATTTTGCCGTTTTTTTTTCGACTTGTCATTTTTTTGTCGTTTCACATGTAGTTGTGAGTTCGAAAACAGACATACGTTTTCGGGTCGCAATAAAGTTTTCGAATATCCGGTCATTTCTTTAGAAATTTTAAAACCTAAATTCGTTACGCCTTCTAGAGGGTGTCGAGCCAAGGCCACACGTGTGTTTCTTCGAAATACACAAATGCACAAATGATTATTTCTTTAGACTTAGAATAATTAGAATAAGTGAAATGTTATTTTTTGAAAAGTTTCTAACTTTGGTTGGGATTGATCTTTCTAAAATAAAAACGGGCAGGACCGGATTGCGGCGATGGTCAAATTATTAATCCTTGGTCAAAAAGGTCTCAAAAAAGGTGACGACCGCGTTGCGGCGCTAAAGGCAGGTAGCAGAATTTTCATTACTTAAAATTTTTGCAAAAACGATTTAGAAGTTGAGTTAAAATTTAATGTAAAACCCATCAAATGGGATGAAATGGCTCGTCAAAATTAGAGGTCAAAATATTATAAAAAAAAAATTATCGCATTTTGCACAACGCTATACAGAAAAGTTGAGTATCTTGGCTGTTAAAAATTTTAATAAATGTTGTCTTAGGCACTTTTATCTTTTTTCATATTTTAGAAGAACCGTCTTTGCAGCTTTAATCACTTTTTATTTAGATACCAGAAACATGGAAAAAATGTTAAAAAATTCTATCTATAAAAATTTCGAAGTTATGAGAGTTTGAATTTTGCACTTTGACTCTATTTGTTTTTGTTGGAAAAATGATTTTCCAAGTTTTTTTGCTACAGGCTATTAGAAGAGGAAACAAGGAAGCTGTATCCTAAATTATAACTTCGTTTAATGTTATTTGTTTCTTTTAATGGCAATATTTTTTTACATTTACTAAATAACTATGAAGAAAATAAATACAAGATCCTCAGTATTATTAAATAGACATAAAAAAAATGTCAAATGTCGAAAAATAAATGTCAACATTTTATGACAGATAGAATTTTTTAAACATTTTCCATATTCTTCCGTATCTTATCTTACCTGAAATTTTTTGCTGGGGCGCAATTTCTGACACCCCGTATAATATAGGCCCTAAAAGAATCACCTTGTATAGCTGTCAGTTTTAGGCAACCAACTATGCGATGTTATAATTTTTTTTAAATTAGGTAAATCAGCAAAAAAATATTTTACTTTATAATTATTTTGAAAGAAATAATAATTGATTTAAATGCGTTGTGGTAATTTATTATAGGTACTCTTTTTTTATTTTTTGTATTAATTTGTACCTTTTTATTGACCTTTTTTTCTATCTACTATCTGATATTTTCCCAGCGTATATTTTAAAACGTCAAATTCTGCTGTATTTAACTAAACAAATGTTGAAAATGTTACCTGAACAGGAGAATTTCGTTTATCAACATTTTGTTGAGTTAGTGAGGGACCACAATTTAGTAGATCTAATGAAGAGTCTCTCCACAAAATATCCACAAGTCAACAATATAATGGTCAATATTAACACTGTAGGTTCGTATTATTCTAATAAACATATTTGATATCTAAAAATATTGTAGGATGATGATTATCGACATAACAACAGAATAATTTTATTCAGTTTGTTAAAGTCGGAATCTGAGACAATTTTTTACGACTTTATTGAATCTCTTAAACAATATGAACATTCAGATTTGGCAAACAAAAGTGGTATCAAGGAGACAGTACATGACGGCATGTTTCTTTATAAATATGGAGATATAATATAATTATGACTCTAATTTTAGGATCAGATCAAAAATCAGTAGCTACGATTATTGTGAATCTTCTTATGGTATTGTTTATGAAAATTTTTCCACCAATGTTCTAATTTTTTTTAATTGGTGTCTTTTAATTTCTAACATGGGTTGGGGTAACAAATTTTTTTCATGTCAATTTAAGTTGAGAAACTATTAACAAACTAACATTAATCTGTTCACCTAAGAACCATGTTTAATTAATCATTTCTCAACTATTTTTACCTTGCCTTAATTATACTTACCACGTTATCAAAATTGTATGAAAATTATGGTTAATAAAAATTGTTGTTGGTTAATGTATAGCTATTTTAACAGCAATTTTTTTTTAATCTGTCCGGTATGAAGGTAAATAAAATAAAAAAGAAAGTTACAAATATAAATTTATTTAGTTACAAATGGGAAGGTCTATAATATAGAAAACCCTGAATAATTCGTGTTTGATAATTGGTCAAATGTTTATTTACAAAATAAAAAGTTTGGCCAAAAACAAACAGTCATTATATAGGACATACACATCACTAACAATTCACAACTAAGGTTAATTAATTACTTGCTATAAATAACCTGCTAAAAATTTAGTCTTTATTGATCCCTTAGAAACAAAATATACAAAACATTAATTAGCTGTTGTTTTTCGAATTTAAAATTATTAAAAAAATAAGTTACAATATAACTGAATTACTGAAAGGCTATGTACAAAAATAATTTTGGTTTTTAAAACTACATATTTACATTACTGTATAAACAAATTAATAATTAAAACCGATACTTGTTTAAAATAAAAGAAAAACAACAGAGCATTAAAAATTAGTTTTAAAATAAGTTAAAATAATTTAGCGTCGATTTGTCAGTCTGAAATTTATTGCAGCGTAGTGGAAATGGTGAAGGTAATGTCATACCCTAATTTAACAAAGCACTAATTACATGTTAAATTACTCGAATAAAACATCTCATCTTAAATAAATTATCTAATACTGTAACACAGCTTAATGAAATCTAAATTTAAAACAGGCTACTTATGGTGAACAAAAAATGAAAAAAAAAACCGGGAAATTGTTAACCGCCTGAAACAATATGGACAAAAATTAATTTACATTCAAATAGACCAGGTTTAGATATTAACGTTCTAGGTATATAATTTAATAAGTAATGGTACTTTGTATAAAAATAACACTTTAGAAATAATAATTATTCACAAACCGAAAGCGACAGCTTTCCTTCTCATCTAAGAAAAGTAAATAAATAATGAGTGGCCTTCTCAATCCTATTGCGTTTACAAAATTAATAAGACAGACTAATTTACAAGTCTAAAGTACAAAAGCTGCTAGTTTCTATCTGTTCCTTTAGCCTAAATGAATGATCAACAGACAAGAGTGAATCTTATTTACTTGCCTGTGCGGTTTGAAACAACCGTAAAATGAGCTTTCCTTCACAATCTCACTGTGTTCTAAGACATTAAAAAAATAAATACGAGAATTGCACACAATGAAGTAACACCATGTTACTCCCAACCACTCAAAACACTTTTAATTATATTAATAATATTAACATTACAATTAATTACTAATTCCATCATTAATATTTATAATATAGCTCGATATACAAAGAACGCAATAAATATGACATAAAAAATTAGGAAACTTTTGATTATTTTTGCTAATACATGAATGGCTGCAATCGTAAACAAACGTATGATAAAAGCAACATTAGATATGTGAATGCTGACTTTAGTATACTTACAAAATGCAGTGTGGAAGCTCACTTAACGGATTTTCTTGAATCCCCTGATTTCTGTCGATAGTTGATGTATAAACAAACTATACAAACTTTTTACAAAGATCTTCACATTCAATATACAGCTCTATCATATTTATAATAACAGATGTGACGAACTCTGCAAACTTTGATGAAGAAATAAGACACCACATCTGATGCAAAAAAATCTAATTGTTCCGACACACTATTTATTAGTCAAATGAACGCATCCTACATATAAAAACCTTTTTTTGAAATGCTAATGTCTGTAAAAACTCTTTAAAATTGAAATTATTTCGCTGCAAATTACACTCAAACTCACTGTACACTGCACTTGTTCATAATAGCACAGCTAGGCCAAAAAATCCGGGTCACTGTAGTCATTTTCACTTTCGTCACCCGATGAACTAACAAACTTCCGTCGCTTCTTTTTGTGTCTATGTTTTTTAAGTTTTTCGGATGTTCTTTGAGAACGAGGCGTACGTTTCGTATCACTATCCAACCTCCGACTCGAAATCACCAATTTGGGCACTTTTGGCGGTGAAGTATCCTAGAAAAAAAAAACAAAAAAAACAAGTTACAACTAATCAACAGTGTCATTCCAAACCACCTTATAATTTTCCAAAGCTACTTGATCGGCCTCGGTCAAAATTGACGTAGCTGCTCCTGAAGGATGCGCCCCGGAAACGTTGCCCGAACTCAAGGCCGACAACACCTTAGAATTCTCCTCGTCGTCCGGATCATCAGGATCCAGCTTCAGCATCAACTGCTTGAACTAAAAATGCACACCTCACATTTAAACATTATCCCAAATCACGAAACAACTACCAAGCGAGCAAAAAATTGACCACCAATGTCAAAATTTTCATTCTAGAACTGTTATGACGATAACGACTATTTTTACTCTCACTGGTAGATAATACGATACAGGGTGTTTACAATTTGCGCTTCGTCATGGCGATTAGAGATATGAAGATATGAAAGATTTATATTTTATAGTTTTGCTTCACATTTTTTCTTATCCCAAACAATAGTTGACAAATCAGAGCTAATTCTCTGTTTTCGTGTTAGAAAAAAAATAATTATTCGAGAAAACTTTTCAATGATTCACATGTACAAACAACAAATATTATATTACACTGCAAGAGAAAATAATTAAAAATTTGATTAATTGGAAATATTTTTGTTAAGTAATTGAAGTGTTTACATACCCAGAGCTTGATCAGGATATATTAATATAAAATTTCAATAAAAAGTTAAAATCAAATCTTTCAATAAGGATGAAATTTTTTACGTCATTAATCGAAATGATATGGCATACTTGACATTTTTCAGTTGTAACTTTATTCTTTTATTCCATAAATAACTATATTCACTAACACCTGTGCAATGTATTTATTGTCTGTCGGTTTTTTAATTTACAATTTTTTTTAATTTCCCGAGTTTACTATTTATTTGAATCACCAAAAACATGAGATTCTGAGAAATTTCCGACTCAAGGTTTGTAAACAACATTCGAAAAAAATGCTTATCCCTTTGTTCACCGTAATTTGATTCATCGGATTTATTCTATAAAGAAATTTGTGGTAGATATGGTAGATGTTTTAAATTTGTTTTTTTTTTTTTGTTTGAGTATCGGCAATATTTCTAAGAAAGTTTTAGTCGCTCATCGGCAGACGTGGGGATGCGCGTTGTTAGTAGTGCAGTAGAGCCTTCTTTCTTCAGTTTTAACTATGAGATTGCGGTGTTAGTATTTACGTTTCGTGTTACATTGGGTTAAAACTTAAAACCAATGTGTGATTAATATTGTACAATGTTAAATTGCGGTGAAAATGATGGCATATTATATCCCTTCTGTTATGCCCGTTAAGTTAGCGACTTTGTAATTTCACAGTACTAGATCCTGCGTTATGAATAGAATTTGCAACGATTCTTGCTTATTTTTGGGAGTTTCAAACGATGTAAAAAGTGTAGTTGTGTGTATAGTGCATCCTTGGATCCCCGTGTAGTGAATGTCAGTGCTAGTAGTACCAGTGTTTTTGTACTCCGTGCTTAAAATATAAGGTTGTCTTTGTTAAAAAGTGTAGTTTTTGGAAAATCTTCATCATTTTGTTTTGTGTTAACTTTTTGGATTATTTTACAACAGATGGTAAGTTTTAGAAGTAATTTCTAAGGTGTATAGAACTGTTAACGCAACCGAATTTGTTGACAAGTCTTGGTCAAGTCAGGTCATACCATATCATTACACTTTATGTTAGCTTTATGCGGTTTTTGATAATTGACAAACAACGAAAATTAACAAATCAAGTCTCTGATCTTTAGCCAATCAATTTTCGCGGAATACAGGTGTTCCGTTTTTCTTGTTACAAATTTAAACAGGTGATAGAATATTCAAATTTAAGATAAAAGTTTCCTATAAACATTTTTTCCAATATTTCAGAAACTATTGTAAATAAAATTACAAAATTTGGTACAACTAATAACCTTTATACACCCAAACGAATTGAAAGATAAAATGTACGAAATTTTTACTCAGTAACGTCCTAAACTAGGGAATTTAGGGTAAAAAATACCCTAACTATTTTGGCTGTTGGCTCTTGTCAATTCAGCCACAAAATTCTAAATTTCATAGTTTTTCACAAAAAAGAGGTCTCTTCCGTTTTTTCGATACAACTTACCGTTATTGAGTGAAATCAGTTTACAATTTGTCTTACAGACCATAAGCGGATAAAAATTAAAAATTAAATTCGTTTTACCGTTCAAAACGCCCGTGATTAAAAATTTTGACAACTGATCTTTGAATGAGTGGTTTATCAATTGTACCCACTTTTGTAATTTTATCTATTCTGCAATAGTGGGAAAACCTCATTAAAAAATGCATATCTTTCAGGGGGTGTACACAACATTTTTTGATACATGTTTATAGGAAACTTTTGTCTTAAAATTAAATATTCTATCACCTGTTTAAATTTGTAACAATATATACGGAACACCCTGTATAAATGACTACTGTTATGTAAACGGCAAAAATAGAAAAAATAAAACGTCGGATGTCTCAGCCAAAGGTTTCTCTCTCTACTATTAATAAACAAAAAGTAATTTTTTCACGTATTTGAGGTGGGATGTCTCAAAAATATAAAATAAGTACCTCTTTCACCATATCGTTCTTTTTTGTTCTTTTTTACGGTTAGTATTTTTTCTTATCAATACTAAAAATAAATTTCCCACTTGTTTCTATTCTGCATTTACATACTATTTTGCATTTTGTATACTTATTTTTTTAAATATCTGACAGAGAGATGACTATTCTTAATCCATCAAAATATAATTAATTAACTAATTAATTTTTAATAGAGCACACAACTATTAAAGGTATTTTAAAGTCAAACGCGTGTTTAAGATATTTTTTTTTTAATTTCGTTATACTCACATCTAGATATTGCCGAATGAGGTCTCTCCTGCCCTCCTCATCCAAATACTCAGGCGGATTGCCCTCCTTCAATTTTTGTATTGTACATTTGGGATTAAATAATGCGTTGATACGTCGCGAAGCATTTTTCTCGTACACCTTTGCAGCTTCTGATGGAGAATATTGTTGTATTTTACTGCAAAACCGTCTAATTAGATAAACAAATTTAAATCGCGTTCACATACCTATCGCTAAGGCCATAAATATCCTTCAAATGTTGCTTCAACATGAGCAAAAGTAAACAACCCTGTGCAGTAGTAAGATAAGCTTGTAATTGTCTTGTATCTTCCGGAACTCTACTAACTAGAGCATCTTCATCGTCGTCATCTTCATCGAGGGCGGACACTACGTTTTGGACGCTGTTGTCATTTCCGGACTCCAGGGCCATTCGTTGAGCTTCAGTCATGATCAAACCCTAAATAAAACACTTGAAAAGCGACTCAAAAAATATATGATTAAATACCTCTCTAAACGATTGGAGTAGATTCGTTCCGGATACTGAGATCATAATGTCAATATGATGGACAATGAAAAGCGGCTCGTCTTGCACCATGTACGGAAAATACGCCAAATTGTCAGCCAAGTACAACATATATGATAGACTCGTCCGCTGAGAAACAGAAAATTTAAGAAAAAAACCAGAATGGTTGGATAGAAACATACCACTTGTTCATCAAATTGTTTCAAAATATTTAAGATTAAGGCACGTCTTTGTTGTCTAGAATTGCGTAATATCGAATACAAATAACCGTTTAAGGACGAAGGATATTCGCCAGGTTCGCGAACACGTGACCCTCGTACAATCACATTCCCTTGTAATATTTTTTGTAATTGGTAAGACAACGCTATTCCGAGTGAAGATTTCGTATGAATAAAACCAGGATACTTCTTCTCAATTTCGAGTAATTGTTTATCGGCACTATGAGATACTAATTTTTCAGAGTCAGTACTCATACAAATCAAATACGGGACGATCTGAAAAAATCCTAGTGTAAGACGCGGGAGACACTTTTATCAAGTTTTGTACCTGCACAGGATGAACCAAACCTTGTTGCAATACCAACTGGATAACTCTCAAAGCGGCTTGTCTAACTGATAAATCGCTGTGTAGATACGATTGCAAGATTTCTTTCAAATATAACTGGATAACTGTACTTGCCATACCAGAACTGACATCACCCATTTCTTTCAAATTTTCTTCTTTCGACCGTTTTGACCCTACAATTGACAAATTAAAAAAAAAAAAAAAACGCACACAATATTAACTCACATTCAAGATCTTGTTGTATCATCCTGTTTTCTTCTTCAACTAAATAACTTTCAATATTGATAAGAACCTCGACTCTCATTTTTAACTGTGTATCCTCCGATGTTAAAAATTTGTGATAGAAAATTTTCAATTCTTTCTCTAACATAAATTCGTAATGCCTGATACAAATACAACCAATTGCTTTTAATGTGTTAGCTTGGATGTCAAGATCCTCACGATGCAAAAAGTATATCATTGATTGGTATACTTGATCTTTAATATCCATCTAAAAAAATATCTAAGTCAAGTCAGGTCACAAAAACATATTTCGACCTTACCGGCAGGTCACCAATGACATCAGGATCTTTGAAATCAAAGTACCGCAATAATAACCCAACTGTGAAAAGTGCCCTCCTAAAGTACTGTCTATACTTAGGATCCCTGATGCACTTCACATTTTCAGCCTCTAACCAACCTTTGAAACGTATCATATAATTATTGTATCGTTTAAAACAATCTCTAATCAACTGATAATTCCGCGTAACTTTATTAATAATCGCTCCGAGACAAGACAGACAGCTGCTAACAATAGGTCTTTGTTGTTGCAACACTAATTTCATTGCGTCTTCTTCCAATTGAGCCAAAAACGATTCACTCGGATGATCCATTAGAGGAACAACAAGTTCAAGCATTTTTGCTACACTACTAATTATCTGTATGTCCCCACTTGATTGACATTTCAACCCGAGATACGGTTGGAGAGTACTTGCGTGTTTGACAAGTAATTGCGGCCTTATTTTAGCAAATAAGTAAAGTGTGGTGAGGCAAGCAACCAAGCGCTGAGACGACCCCGTACTATCATTTGTTTCCTCCAATCTGAGCACATTCTCAATCAAACAATCGACGATCTGACGACATGCCAACAGTAGTGCTTTTGGAGGCTCAGTCTGAACTTTTGTAGAGTCATCTTTGTCTTCTTTCGGCTTAAATAACTAAACAAAAACAATAGAATCGAATCTAAAATCGTGTATATACTTACACTGAGTAGAAGTTGCTCAAACCATTCCAGGCCTATTTCTTTGGAAGAGGCTACGACATCAGTAATGTTCATAACTTTACGCAACAAAGACGTGTCCTTAGTTGGCGTGAACCACATATTTTGAAACACTTCCATTACTAACTTTCTAATACCTTCCTCGTCGTTCACTCGCCGAATCATTTTAACACAAATTTCCGGTATTTTCGGAAACTCGGGACATTCGATACAAATATCTTTGAGAATTTTTATGACTCGTTTTCGGACACTAACACCGGTGTCTAAAATTCGCGCCGAAAGCATTTCGTAGTACTTATCAATCAGTTCAGGACGGCTCAAGACGAATTTTCCTACTAGATCGACAGCTGCTTCACGTACCGAAGTCGAATGATCGAGAAAGGAATGATTTACGCCCATTTGCATGTCATGGCGGCCTAAAACCGACGGATCGGCTTCCACGATCATTGTTAGACATTTCATAGCTTTGGTTCTTATCGCTATTGAAGTTTCCTTCAAAACAATAAGTATCTGGAAAGACGTCGGTCAGATTTGTCATACTGTCACGTGATCACACTTACCGCTTTCAGGTACATGTCAAAACTTTGCGAAAAGTAGCGTTTTGAGGCCAAATATTGCGCGATTAGTTCGGCACTGTTGTAGTCGATGTAAGTTTGAAAAATCTGGACGCGGTTTCCTGATGATATCGTTTCTTGAAACGGTCGTATTCTTTGTATTAGAAATTTCTTCTTGTCTTCGATTGCTTTGAATTTATCGGCGTGATCTTGCTCTTGATCTTTCTTTTCCTCTTCACTATCTGAACCTTCATCACTCTCTCTGTTGTGCCGCTTAGCTCGATGATTGTCTCTGGAGTATTTTTTGCTATCTTTAGCCCCTGATGCCAATTGAGACTTTTCAGAAACCGCGTCTCTGTACCACTGAGCGATGTAAAAATGTCGTGCGTATTTATAAGCTTCGTCATTTTGAGCATTAACAGCCAAGAAATCCAAAAGGACACGTTGTAAAAATTGCGTCCTCTCTTCATCGGTGTTTGCTCCCAAATTCTTCTTCTTTGTTTGTTCATCACTATCTTTCATTTCTTCAGATTTGATATCTTTTATCATTTGATCGATGGTGTCTAATTTACATCGTGACAAAACACTATCGCGTCGTAATCGTGCCGCTACTACACCTAAATACTCTAAACTTGCGACTCTGAGTGACATATCGCTGGATTTATTTGAAAAAGTGTGGACAAGCATTCGGCCTAAAAAACTCAAAAGCACTTCAGTGGCCGGCCATTCAGGCTTATTCACAGTTGATAACAAATCCTGTACGAAATTTTCAAACAACGGCCTATAATCGATATCTTCAGATTTACTACCGCATTTATTCAAGAACACACCAAGAAATGTCGTTGCTGTTGAAACCGCCTTGTCATATTTACTACTAATTAAAATATCCTTGTCCACCTACAAAAACCCCCTTAAATGTTGTATCATTTCTAATTAAAACAAAAAACTTACAACTTTTACGTTTACACTTTGTGTACTATCATGAAAATTTTTATTCGCTAGATTATCAGGCAATGCAACAACACACTGGATTAATTGTAAAACCAAAGCTGTTAACATTTGGATATGCTCTTCGCTATTTAGCCTATAGGTTCGTAAACTACGTTTTGTACTAGGAAGACGAGCGATAGAAGCCAAGATATCATCTAACAATAGTCTTCGATGTGTTTCATAACGCGTGAAAATCTAAAAGAATAATTCGGAGTAATTATCTTTTCACCGCTTCGAAATCTAAGCTTAGCCTCATAAAACCCCTTCATATTACTTAAAGTACTTACCGTTGTCACAAGTTTGAGGCAGGCCAACTGCAGTTCGCTCACATTTTCCACAAAAAAGGGCGAAACTCCCATTGATGACGCGTGTAGAACAGATGTGTCAGTTAAAATTTGGATGTTCAACAATTCGGCTAATAGATTAACTAATTCAGAAATTTTCGTATACAAAACTAATATACTCTTCTCTGAAACTGGTGTTGCTTTCTTCTTTCTCCCGTCTTTCTTTTTATTATCTAATCTATACGTTGAATCAAAAGATGGAAAAATTGTATTGCGTAAATGATATTTGATATAAAGCACCACACGATCAATGACTTCTTCTAAATAGACTCGTTTAGGCATATTGGGAGACGTCATTATGTAGAGACATATTAGACATGCATCCGCAGCCCCCATTACGCGCTCCATGGTGCTTTCAAGCCATAACTGACGAAGACTTTCGTTATCCTCCTGTAACAAAACCGTTGTACAAAAATTAATCAAGAAATTAATTTTTCAAAAATTACATCAAGTATTGGCGATACCCTGTCTCCACCTCTTACATTTATTTCTAAAACGTTCAACAACCTGACTAATTTATCAGTAGGTATCATTTCCATTGCGCCTAATATTTTCAATTTAGCGGCTTCAGTACACAGTTCTTGCATTACTACTCGACTCATAAGATATTCTTCTTGAATAATCCCATCTTCGGCTGAAATCAAAACGTGGAACTTTTCAAAAAATAAAAATAAAAAGTAAAATATACCAATTTCGTTAATATCAATATCTTCCGCCGATTTAAGAACGTGTTCAATAGACTTATTAAACCTTAAATATGTATTGGTTTCCATAAGTTCTTCTTGTGATAATTTTTCCAAAACCGGTACAAATTTTTTTTCGACTCGTCTTAATTTGGGTTTGACAACAATCGGTTCCGGTTTTTCTTCTTTATGTACAACTTTCCTCTTTTTATTGCTTCCGACTAAGGCTGAAAACGTATCCGGAACGAACTCGTCATCGCTTTCGTTGTGGTTTCGTTTCTTCTCTTTCTTCCGTTTCGGCTTATCGGACCCTTCCTCACCGTCCGATTCCGAATCTGATTCTTCTTTCTCGTCCTTTGAAAGTACAATACCTAATTCTTTCGCCATCTTCGGTCGCGTTTCAACAAATTTCGATAAACTTTTCTGCATTAGTAATTGATCTTCGACGGATAGTCTATCTAATTTTACAATTGGTTGTTTTATTACGGTTTGATGAGAATTCTCAGGTTCCGAATTTGTTTCTGACACAGCCATACATTCGGGTTTTACATCGCTTGATTCGATTGGGGGCTTACGAGAGTCCGAACCTTCAGACTCTTGCGCCTTTTGAGAAGTGTCGTTCGTCTGACTCGGCGAAAAACCTACAAGAGGTCACGTCAATATCACAGAGAACTTATCACTCGCATTGTTAGAAAATTTATACTGTAATTTGTTTTTACGACTATAAAGTTTATTTCAACGCTGCAAATATTGAAGGTCATTCAACGAGATTTTAAGAATGTACCAAAAAAACCGGAAATTATAACCTACAGCTTATACAAAACGTAAACAAAACCATGTTTTTATAGAAATAGTGAGAAAAAAAAAATAAAAGAATTATTAGTTATTTGGCAATATATTTTGTGGCGCAATCAAAAATATTAAAAACCATTTATCCTCTGATTTAATAGATATTTCTGTGATTATGTAACACGTTAATAAAACGTTTTATCGGTTTGTAATAATTGTTTATTATAGTTTCCTTTTTTTGTGAAAACATACGAAGTTGTACCTTTGGGTGGTTTTCTCAATTGTCTAAGTTGTTCAGCAGTTCCGGTTTCTTTGTGGGCTTCTTCCTGATCGTTGAGAACTGCATTATTAGATATGTGAGTGCTGTTGCAATTAACAACAGGAATTGTTTTTTGTTCGGTAATGACGGAAGGCCTGGGTAGTCTCGTAGCTGGTGAAATTGGACTTCCCTGAGGTGACTGCTGGTTGTAAGTTGAAGGTGATTCCTTCACTGGTATCGTCGGTTGACCTGTGTGATTCCATTGTTGTGTAGATGACGAAGTTGCTGCTTCTTATAAAAAAAAAAACAATTAAACTACGAACTGTTGAAATGAAATGAAATCTTACTTGCGGAGCCGCTAAACACGTTCGGATTACGATCAAGCATCGCGCGCAGTAATTCAGGCATACTTTCTTGTTGGTCAACCTTTGTTTCAGTACTGGCATAGTTATCTTTAACTTCTCTAAAGGGGTAAAATCGTGATTTAGTTCGGGTTTATTAGATTTGTTTCAGTCTTACATATGTTCCGCTGAAGTTTGTACTAACGAATGTACTAACTGGGGAACTAGAACTTCGTCCCGGACTCCAAGCAAATTTTGTGCCTCTTCTGCCACTCTCGGGTGAAATAGCAGAGACTTGTTGCTGAGAGTTTGAGGGGATGGGGTGGGTAGTGGCATTTCAGGCAGCACTAAACAGAAGTTACAACTATAGCGACCTTAAATTTTCAATATTCTGCATAATAAATCACTTGTGTATATTATAGTAGTTTCAATTGACCGTCGGATGATAATGCTACGTGTGTTGTTTACGGTATTTCATGAATGAAAAATGTGTTATTTTTATGTGAGAAAAAATGTTTTCTTTTATTTATTACTTACAGTCTGTTAGACTTGCCACCCCCGCCAAGGTGGTGATGGGAACACTCGGAATTTCCCGATCCATCACAAATAAGTGTGCTCCTCAGCCAAATACCATTTTAAAGAATTCTGCAATTAGGTTACTGGTATAATAAATGTAGTGGCTTTGTAATGTTTCTTGTCTACAAAACGCTTAACCTAACCTAACACTTTTACAAATTTAGCAACAATAAACAAATATTTTGTTTGATTTTTCAAGTAATGTTAATCACTGTTTACATGATCACTTTAAACAAAATATACGTTCTTTTTGCCTGAAAAGCACTGCAAGTGACATAACTGTCAACACCATTTTAGATGACATTTGACATAGAGAAATAAATGGAAAAATAATCAACAAATATCATTTTTGGGCACTCACTGACGGTTTTAACTCGTTTTGCACTGATTTGTACACTTTTTCTTCTTGTAAATATGATTACTTGACGGATGCATTATCGAAGTATATGGATTTGTTTGTGAATGCTTTACGAACGATTCCATCCGAATGTGAGTTTATGGCTTAGGCATAGCTACAAAGAAGTTCGGTACATCGCTGATGCCTACATGTTTGCCCGAATATATCACTCGCACACAATTTTAACACTCATTTTCATATTAAATAAAATGCCATCGAATGGCGACGTTCTAAACAGACAGTTGATTGGGGAGGCAAACTCCAGTTAACCAGTCCTTCTCTCTCATTCGGTATATTTCAGGTATTATCCATCAGATGACACTACTTTCCCGCCTGTGCTCATCCTCTTTAAACATGGAATTCCGAGAATAACAACGCTTTTCCCACAACTTACCGATTTCTATTCACAAAAACATTGTAGCTGTAACACACCTGTTCCTATTTATTTTCAAAGAAACCAATTTTAACACAACGTCTTGCAATTTTACTAAATGAGAAACAATTGAAAATCAAAACACGTGTTGCCACCCCCAAGAAAAATAAAACAAAAGGTTCTAGCTATTTGAAATTTTTATTTATGTTTAAAAATATTTCACTTTGCTGATCGGCAAAAAAAGAAAAATTGTTTATCACAAAACATTATATTTAATTAACTATCATTAATTACAATGCCATGCCAAGTGTGCAGAAAAATGTTAATTGTCAATACCCGAGTTCGCGCATACACAGTGATCACAAAAAAAAACTCCAAATATTTAATGTAATAAAATACGCAAAAGTCATTTTTTAAATTAAATATAAAAAATGCTATTTTAATTTTTAACAGAGATAAACTCTAAAAACCACTAAAGAGAAATAAACCATCCCCACTATTGCAGTTGTTGGAACAACAAACCCAAACGCCTTGCTGTCTACTAGCAATGCAGTGACGTCACAAGCGATCGCAACTTTGTAAAACAATAACATCAATATTTTTCATTTAAGGGAACGTTTATTTTTTATATGAAAAATTAAAATGTTTTGTACTGTGAATATGTTTTGTAATATGAATAATTAATGAAAATGTTTAGTTTTCTTGATTGTTATACAACCAACATTACGCGAACATGTAATAATTAATATACGTTGACACTGCCTATAGGATTTTTTTTTTAGTTCAATCAAGTCAGATTTTTTTTAACAATCAATATAGATATTGATAAAAAACTAATGTTGAGTGATCGTAAATGAAAATTGTATAATTTGCTATTTTTTTAGTAGTTATTCCAACGACAATGAAAAAAATACACGATCCTGCTTCCATTATGTATTATTCTCAGAAAAACGTCTTGCCGTCGCAGACGGGTGTTCCAGCGAGACACCGAATGAAAATTTCTATTGGTGTTGTTATTTTATATTATGACGTATTGTACGTTTATTTATTTATTTTTTTAATTACTTTTCATACTTACCTTTATAAAACTGATTAAAACTGGTTGGTAATGTGATGTGTGAATTAAAATAATTGAACACATTTAGTTACTTGTAAAAAATAGAAAACAGTAGATGTATAAATAAATAAATTTGTATTTATTTATTTATAATAATAAAGGACAGTGTATAAGCTGAGAGGTACTTAAAGGACTATAAATAATGAGTTAATGTTTTTACAAGGACCATTGATGATTGTAAAAAGACATGTAAGAAGAAATAAAAAATAAAATCGAATAGTCGTAAATGTATCAGATCTATTTTATACATACGATATATTACAAAATCGAAATAGTAGATAGTAACTTTGAAGGGAATGATTAGAACCCAATGTAAATGTAGCTTTTATACTTTATTGTATTGAGTTTTGTCAACATGGAAAAGTACAAATATTGCATTACACCGACTTCTAGCCTGGAATACACAATAACATTGTGTGTAATATTAAGAGTTGTCCTGACTGCAACGCAATGGCGATGCGATTACACTTGCATACTTAGTATTTGCCAGTGTCCAGTGCCAGTGTACTTATTATTTTAGCCTACTGTTCGCACTATCCGATGACCTGGTTCCCAGCTTCCACAGCCTTCTCGTAAAGAAACCCAATCGAATGTGAATCTGAACCGAATCGAAGCAAACCCGAAACAAGCTAATCGACATCAATCAATCAAATAACTAAACACTGCACGGAGATCGTTTGCCGTCTGCTGAATACAATTCCCGAATCTCTACGGCGATTCAACTAATACTCAATATCTAATATCAATTACTGATACAATAAATAGGTATAGATTACAAATAACCACCAAATGACAATAATACACACAAATGCAGCATGTGACACTGGACAATAAGCAATAAAAGACAATGAACAGTTTAATATTAAGTATAATAATAAGTAAACGTAACTAAAAGTTGGAAACACAGAGATCTGACCTTTGTTGGTAGTAAGTAGGTGTAGTCTGCGATCCTCGCCGCGGCTTCCTACTACTACTATTACTAGTACGATGTTTTGGTAAATTGTTTTTAAAATTATTGTTATTTTTTTCATTATGTGATGTACGACTACTAGAACGGTTGCTCGGCTATTAAATTAGTTTTCGGTAATATTTATTAGTGAATCAGTTCAGTTCCATCAGCAGGGCTTGATGGGTGCACCGTATCGGGAGTCGGTCTGTTGATATGTCGTCATCGTCACTTGAATACTTCTTGACTTGATCACTTCACCTTCCATCCTTGCCGGGATCCGACAGCACAACGCTAGTTGCTAGCTGCTAGCTGACTCCACAGTCCTTAGTTGTCCTTTTTTAGAAGACTCGCGGCACCAGGAGGGAAGACGGACGGCCGAGCCGAACGCGCAACGCGTCCGCGCCAGCGCGACCCTCCGCCGCAAGGTAGTAGAGAGCAAAAGATCTTACAAACCTCGCCTCTTATTCTAAAGCTAAGTATATTGTAATAAGAACTTTCTTATAATAAGTTATTGCATGAATTACAGTTTATGAGGTACTGTACTTCCTAATAATATAACCTCTGTACATATAACTTTTGCACTCGATATTTATAATAATAATAACCACCATTTTATCAAAACAGATAGAATATAAGTATGAGTATATAATATATGTATATATCAATCAGTGGTTTTTTAATAATGGAATGCATCTCGTCACAACAATATTTGAGCTATAGCCCTGCTTGGCGCCGGGCGGGATTGGGCGAACCCGCATCCAGGGCGAGCGTCTCGGCGTTGGCGTTACGGCGCCCATTTCGCCGGGTCGCCCGCCCGCAACACAACAGCTACACACATAGAGAAAGTAACCAATAGGAATATGTACTATGTTACACTTACGCTAGAGATCTACACAACACACAAAGAGATAACCCTTATGTAGAGAGATACGTAATAGTGATATACGTAATCCATAATAATTAATAATCAATCATGACCATAATAGAATATCTCGTAATAAGTAATAATACATAATAATCAGAATAATATCAATTTAATATACAATGATTAAAAAAGTTAAGCGGTATATTTAGCAAATGGCTAGCCAAATAGAAGCTAAGAATGGTAAACAAGCATTGCTGATAGACATATAATATCATTTGAAATAGATCGTTGTTCTGTAAATGGAATTAGTCTACACGAGTTTCGATTTAGGCCAGAGTAACCAATAACATCACCTACGTCACTAGTTTGTGCTCGGAACACTAACTGTTTACTGACTTAGACTGTATACAATATAAGATTGTACGTCGACCCGTACGCGTTTGCAGTGGAGTATGGAGTTCGCGGCGATGGTCGCGGTCTTTTTCCGGTCCGCCTATATATATATATATAACATCAGACCGCGCCCGATTGGACCTCGGGAGCCCCCCGCAAATAGGCCCGGCTATCACAAACGAGGGGCATTTGTCTCATTCTTATCCCGATTATTATTTTTTTTACTTTTCAAACCGACTCAAAATTCCAACCACAAAACCGAAAACACGCGATTTACGCAACGACCTCAAAAACACTTTTCCCAATTGTGCGTTTTTTTATTGACGAAAATGATATGTTTGAAATATTTAAGCAAATCCTGGCGTTTTGTGGTCCCGTGAAGCAGTTTTGTACAGAAAATGATTGAATTGTTTTGGTGTTAATTTTTTGAATTGTCACGCGCAATGATTTAATCAGTTAGTCGAGGTACTCACCATGGAAATGTGGCAAAGATGAGTAGTAGTGGTTCGTTGTCTCAAGCCAAAAAAAAGCGAATTTTTCCTTTAAATATGTACTTAAATAAATTAAAAGTCGAATAATAGTCAGCCAAAATTGTGCGAAACAATGTCATAGTTTCGGTTCGTTTTATTATTGATTAAAGCGTATAGTTTACACACAAGTGTATCGAATTTCATTCGGCGGTTTGAGTTGCTAATAATCAAAACTGCTTACAAAGAGAACCCGCAGTGTCATTGAGGTGGTTACGTAATATCGTTAATAAAAATAAATGAAAAAATTGGTGCATTCTAAAGCGGCGTTGTTTCGGCGTATAGTTTCGGAACAGTGCATCATCTGGCACCGCTTTAGAACGCGCTTCTGCTACTTCTTATAATATTAATAGTACGTACGTGTTAAGTATGTCAGCGTATTATTATTGGGGTTGCGTCGTTTTTCGAGTTTGGTTCGTGTGTTCGGTTTTGAGTTCCAAATTGTCGATAGAGGTCCGTTTAAAATTTTTCTACTGGTACTAGTTAGTATAGTAATAAGTCCGCTGCACTCCCTCGCCTGGTTGCTAATCGTTAGTTTCGATTGCCCCTCAATAAAGCTACAAGTCTCGCCTTATAATTGTACTTATTTGCCTAGTTCGATCAAACTTATAATTTCTATGTACATGTTCGTATTCTGCGCTGCCGGGCGGGCGTGTGCGTTTCGCTTATTTATCAAACCGACGATACATGCAATACGTAAACGTATAATGAAGTGGCAATGGTCCAGATCAAAATGCCAAAACACAATCTGCCATTGTTAATAGCATGCTCTATAAAATAGTATGTATCGATATACTCATTATTATCCGATCTCAAGGTACGAGTGTTTTATAAAAATAAAGTGATTCTTTAGTGGAAGTGGCTGGTTAGTCTGTAGGTGGTTAGAGGCGGCGCGACCTCCGCGATCGATATCCTCGCGGTAGTCGCGTCGCTTGTGCAATGCGTAGTAGCAAGTTGCATCGACGTCAGCGAACACCGTGAGACATCACAACAGAGGAAATGTAATTGTAATGAAACCAAAAATTAAAACAAAATCAAAAGTAAATTTTAATCGGTTTATATTGAAAATAAAGAAATGAACCAAGTCGTTAAAATAATCAAAAACTAAATTAACAAACTATAAGTCAAAACCGGTACGAAACGTCCGTTTCGTCCTCAAAACCAAAAATAAAATAAATCATAAATAAATAATAAATTAATGGGACAGTTGTGGTCTCGCTAAAGCATTGCCGTCGCTTACTTGATGGCATTTCAAAGCAAAACCACGCAAATTCTTCCTATCAGAAAGCTGAGGTGGTTAGAAATCCGGTAAACGTGAAACTAAACACAACACACAATAAGAATGTACGGAGCACCGATGCGGTGAGGGTGTGACTGATTTTCAGTCGTCCATGCCGCGTCTGCGTCCGCGTCTAGTCAGTCACGCTTTTCAGCATAGTCCGATATAAAATGTCTAACTGGTGGTGAAACCGTAAAACCTATAATTTTATTAACATGTAGTTTGGTGCCCATCACCTATCACATGCAGACATAACTAATCAATTATATATATATATTTATATTTCTATGTAATTTATTTATTTATAGTCAACCCTCGCCGCGACGGCCGTCCGTGAACACAAATTACAAATACAACGGTACAACGCCACCAAACTCCAAACTCATTTTGAGAGCGTGCGTAGCCGTTGATGCGACTAGTCTCAATTTAAGAAATACACAAAACACTACATATAAATACATAAATTATACTAACCAATTACATTTTGAAAGTAATTACGAAATTATACAATAATAAATACTATATGTAAATATATATTGTTTAGCTATTATGAATCTTTGGGCGAGTTCCCAACATGTCAATTAACGGTGATGGCACAAATTTCATAGACATTAAATAAAAAACATCAGACCGTAGAAATCTTTGCTATTAGGAAACGCGAATGCACTTCTGACTAGCTTCGTATCTTTTTATAAGTACTAAGTTATTAAATAGGGAGGTGCGCTTTTGGCGGGCGCCCCCGTTCCTGCCGATCGCTGTCGCACACCATCGTATTAAATTACCTATATAGAGCCCGTATAATTTACACGAACAGTGAACAATAAATAATAAATAATGTTTAAATATTGGCGACGTATGCGCAGCGTCCGGCAAGTGCGCTGGTGTTGACTAAACGTCGCTCTATGTAGTTTTACTTTTATTCGTTTTAAAGCTGACCTGCAGGACACGGTTACCCAGCGTGTAACCGTTTAGCGACTGGATGGCTACCACGGCTTCGTCATAATTGGTCATCGTGACAAAGCCGAAACCTTTACATTTGTTCGTCTGCAGGTCACGGATCACTTTGACGCTCTGGACGGCTCCGAACGGGCCAAACAACTGCCAGAGAACATTCTCTTCTGTTTCTGGAGCGAGGTTATATACGAAAATGCACCAACCGGAACCGTTCATAGCGTTTCCGGGTAGCATGGAGTTGGCCAGCAGGTCTCCGGCCAGCGGAGAATACCTGAAAACAAAACACGATCAACGTTACCGATGGGTTATCCTTCTAGAAGAGTTTCGCTATCCAACCTGAATCGTCCCGTTGGGTGGTGGATAGGGCCAGCGAAACGGCGAGTGGCTTGGGGAGTTAGATAAGCTGCCAATGGAGGAATGGCTTTGTTGTTGTTACTCGGGTTGTTGGCAAATTTCACTGTTATAGGTTCGGTGGAGCCTTTAGGAATGGTACCATTGAGTTCTTGAATTGCTCGTTCTGCTTCTAAACGTTGGTCAAAACGGATGAAACCTACTCCTTTCGACAGGCCTGAATTGGAAATATCAATATTTTCATAAATTTACCGACACTCGCAACTAGATAAAAATCAGATCGCTTTTTTTATATTTACTAGTAAAGACAATATCAACGATCTAATTTTTAATATCGATACGAGCAAGCCGTTTATGAAAGTCTCCTTCAAACATCAACTGGAATACTGAAAGGTATAATCAAAAATCAAATTATTGACCAAGTGCAGTAAAGGTAATCATGCATCATTGTTACATCAACTGAAAACCTTCAAGCACATTCGTAAACAGCCTCTCGTAGTGTATAAAGGTTCGGAAAAAGCAACGACAATTGCAGATTTTAAATAAAACATGTCGTCATATCGTCGTCACTTTTTGGCATGTGTTGTGTCATGTATGTTATGTGTGTTGTATGAATGTAAATGTATAACGTGTTGGGTAGTGTGATTGCTCTGCTCTTTTTTAAATACAAAATAAACGAAAAAACGAAAAAAAATCAGCAAATCAAAATTAACATGCCACGATGCAAAATAAAGAAAATTAAAACAATAACAACAAAATAATAAAAATAAAAGCAAAATGAATTTTTCCAAACTGAATGAACCAAGAGTGATTAATTAAATTTAGAATTAGACTCTGTCAATTGATATGGGGGGAGGGGTGCATCGTTCAGCTTCTCCAGAACATTGGTGTACTTTAAGACACGAACGTTCAAGCAACTAAACATTTACAATGCAGTTTCGTTAGCGTTCTGGTTAACTCGCCATCTTGAATTTTGACTTGTTGAAACTTCTAGATAGATAGTATGATCGCGCCCGAAACAGAACAACCAAAGAGTGGATTTGGTGGTTGTGGGTGGTGTTCATTTGGGTGTTATGGTAGAGAGAGAGAGAGGTACGTACCAGGCAAATTCTCTCCGGCCCCCGTGACAAATTGACGTACTAGGGAAGAGAAGAGAAAAACGCAAAATATAGGTACAGTAAGACAAATAATTTGTGAATTAACAGCAACCGGGTGGGACCCACCTCGGACTGCCGCTGGTTTTATTCAGATATGAGAGCCAAATTTCAACAGTAACTCTGAATTAAATCATATTAATAATTAAATCAAAGCTACCACATCCAATAAAAATAATAAAAACTAAATATTTACTGATTATAATAATCAATAAACAAACTGCAAGTATGTTGATGTATTCTGTATGTATGTTACTGTGATTGTGGCATCAACTCCACCGGCAAACATCCCTGGACCTGGTTCACTCTCACACACGCAACTAAAAATTCAAACTAGCAATTTAGGCTCGAGTGTACCTCTTTTGCCCACGAATCTTCGCGGCGAAGAACTGCAACCTTGATTGTTGCAAAGCTGATGCGATCAAACACTCTGTGGTGTGTGTCTGAGTCTGGTTATCGGCAGTGTACATATACTATCGCAGAGTGTACGATCGCAGGTTGTTGTTTATACAAAAAATGACGTTACGACAGACTCTTACCGGTTATGTTGTCACATAAAATGCGCGATGTTATTATACGACCATACGGACTAAACAGAGATTCCAAGTCTTGTTGGGTCATGTTCTTCGGTAATCCGGAAACGTACAGGTTTGCACCCTTGATTGCTTCGGAACTTGGCCGCGCATATGACACCTGAAAGAAAACCACATCCTGCTACAGATCCGATGCCAAAATCATCGCACTTTGCCAACTCCAATAATTCCAAACATCTAAGTCGACGATTTATGCTTATGACCCTGTCGTTCGCGAATTCGGCCCGCGATCTTTTAAACGATTAACACTTGTGTCCTCACCTTAATTGTCTTGTTCTGCAATCTTAATCCGTTCAGTGTATTAATTGCTTTTTCTGCATCTTCTGGTCTGTGGTAGTTTACGAAACCATAACCAAGTGATTGCCCTGTAAGCAATGGACTAGTGATAACCCCAGGCACTGCAGGAAACCAAATTACGAAAAAATACGTGTTAATAAAAAAAAACTAAACAAAAATCAAAGCAAGCAACTTTATTACAACCATAAACTACATAAACAAAAAGTGTTAAAAACTATAAACGTGCCCTAAAATAAACGGCCACAACTCCCTATTCCATTCAGAAAATCAAACTCCGGTCTCATTCATAGTGAATCCCACTGCCGATCGATAACATGACATATCAACCTTATAAATGAATTTTTATAATAAAGAACTCCAAGATAAATATTTGCTTAATGTTCAACCAAATTAAAGCAAATACATTTTTAACAACCTGCCTTTCTTAATAGATAAGACACAAATATTATCTAAGTGTAGTTTCGGGTAAAATCGTTACAGACACCGTAACGGGATGCAGATATAAATACACAGACAATTGAATGAAGCTTTGTAAAAAGCATATGACACTCGCGTCCCCCTTGAGCACATATGCGTGAGGGTACAATACACGTGCCAATGACTCATTTTCATTGACAAAGGGGAAGCAAAGAAATTTGGGAAGCTAATAAAAACGAGAACGATTTTCAAAAAAGAAATCATCATGATATTTATCACACTACCACAGAATTTGTGCTATTCTTCCACAAGCGAGTGGTATGTTTAATTCTAAACAGTGCCCAATTTAATCATGTTACAGGAAGCTTGAAGCCACCAGTGGCAGAGCGTCGTAACTTTATCAAGTGAATTGTTTTTAAAATTTGAGATCTACGCAAACATTAAACAATGTTCGCGTGCCATTATCACGATAAATAATAATGAAAATAAAATTCCATTTTGTAAAGGTAGTCCAAATTTACAAATGTCTACCCTTAGTTCAAAAAAACAATCATTGTACACTGACATAATTTACAATGTATGATAACAAAATAGTGATGAGTATGTATACAATTCGCATATTAATTACTGTCAAACGCAAACGACATGAAATGTGTAAACTTTTATCGTTTTGGTTCTTTATGTGATTTTTCTTTCATGTTGTTTACATTTATCGAATTGAATTAATGGTAACGTGGAAATCTCAAAATGTAAGAAAATCGATTACAGTTTATAATAATACTTTGGCACTGTTACAAGTTTTATAAGTCCTATAAATAACTACATTGCGTGGATTACTGTTTAACTATGAACGACATTTAGGTTAAAACCATGTTTCATTTATAAAATTGTCCAAGTTTGTTAACTTATAGTGGCGTAAAAACAAACTGGTTAAATATAGACAGCAGCGTTTTTAATTTATGGAGTAACAATTTCGAAAAAAATACGACTTTTGGATCGTCTAACATAACTAGAATTACATAATCACACACTGCATACCTGTAACTTTATCACGAATTAATTTGCAACTTTCGACTTCTCCAATACTGGAAAATAAAGATCGGATTTCTTCTTGTGTCATGGTTTGGGGTAGGTAATTAACGATGAGATTCGTTTTGGATTCTTCTTGACCCCCACCGACTTGGCCCCCGCTGCCTCCATTCTGTTGTCCAACAACCCCCGAGTCTAATCCGTTGGACATCATGTTCTCGTCGCTGAACTCAAAATCGTAATCTAGAACTTCCTCAATGGTGGCGGCTGTTTTGTCTTCTTGCGAAGAACTTCTTTACATTAAAATCAACTTGTTTAATTCACTAATCGAGTATAAAAACAATACGAAATTTCTAACACGTTTTGGTTTGCTTTTTCAACTTTTTTTTGAACTCTGTTACAATCTTCTTCGTATTAAAGGGGTAGAAAAATTCCCTATTCTACAATCTGAAAGAGAAGAAAAACGAGATTAATCAAAACGACAAGGCACTCGAGGGTTTTCATCGAGGAAATGGACCGGAAAGAAGGAAACAATTATTGTCTAGGTAAGCAAACACCGGAAGCCATATTGGTGACATCACCAACAAAGAACTAATTAGATTAACTCGATTATCCCGAGCAGACACTCGGAATTACACTGTTTTGCATTTTACAACAATTCATTATCACTTTTGTTTGTGACTCCATACTCAAACCAAATTATTCACACAACTCCAACCAGCTGATAACACTAACACTGGTATTTTATCGGTTTGTCCCACGTACTCTACCAGACGATTATTACAGATTTGTAAAAATTTCAGTTACTACAATCAGTACATTTTTATTAACTCAATCAATTCGCAGATTTTACGACCAAAACCAAACGTGAATCAAACATCTATTAACTACAAGGGGCGTTTTATGTTACCTTGCCTTGACCAAACAAAAAAATCAAACCTATAGTTTCTGATATTAAAGAACATACCTACATTACGACGTACAACTCACAAACATATTACGCTTATTTTCTGTGTGTCTATGTCTATGAAGGTCAAAACAACCCTCAGAACTCAGGCTATGTGGACTGCTCATAAATAAATGACTTTAAGTTGCTTTACATTGTTTTATATTCATTTATATTTATTTTAACTTTGAGTTATAGATACATTATTTGTTTTTTTTTTTTTTAATATTTGTAGTTTAATAACTGGGTGTGAACCCGCTGTAAATAAGATGATTATTATTAAGTTGATTATTTTTTATATAAGTAACTTCCTACTTCACGAGCACATGAATTTGATTTTGGTGGTATTTATAGAAGCTGATCTATTTTCGGATAAAGAAGCATATACAAATCGTAGAAAATTTTGAAGAATTTCTAGTGTACTTTATAGCTGAAAATCGTATACAGCAATTTATTTTCTTATTTTTTTGGTCAAAACTCGCATTACCTGGAATTGACCAGCAGCCTATCAACCGGTTTATGAAAATATAGCTGAGAAATCACATTACAATAATGTCTGGTAATGCATTTGGCATGGTTGTTAGTCAATTATTTGATAAGGTAAAGGAGGTGTAACGTTTGGAAAAGCGCTCAAGTGATTGGTTTAAGACACGTGCGTTACAACTATTCTTCCGTCTGATTCTCTAATAACAAATCCAAAAATAAAATTTCGACAAAAAAGGAGGCCGCGTTTTCGAACAAAACTGTTTCAACAATGTTTTGTGTGTTAGGAAAAAGACAAATAAAAAATTGCGATAAGGGAAAGGTAAATTATTGATTATTTCGAGTTGACAGTAGGCGGTGATAACTTACCTAAAATTCAGAAAATCACATTTGCGTGAAGTCATAGTGATATTCAAATTTCGGGCTGCGTTCACTAATTAACAGAAACGGAAAAAAAATGAAAAACGAAACAAAAATAAAAAACTAAAATAAAAAATGAAACAGCTTCTACGCGTTCAGAACTGTTACTGCAATTAACGCCGGTACGGTACAGTGGGGGCTTTCAACTAGGTATCGCGAGTTTAATGCACATGCGCAAGTATAAATTTCTATTCTATTTTTAATTTTTAGCAAATTTTTACTAAAACTGAAATAGAATATTTACTCCAATAACACGAAAATACACATTTCCGATAGAATGAAATTGTGAAATCAGACATTCGAGTCGACTTTACGCCGTTCTTTGCCGCACTCGCCCCTTGTTATCATCGGCGATAAAAATTTAACACACTTGCAAATGAACGCATCCCTGATGATAACATAAATGGCACAAGCGAAACTGGTTTGGTTTTTTGTAGCACGTGCGGCATATGGCAAATTAAAAGAGGGTAAGTTAGCTTCTAAAAAGAGACGCCTTGAACCACCCTTAAAGTAACACACGTTGAATATATTTGATATAGCTCTATCTCAGTCTAGATTTAATAACAAGGGGGAAGGGTGCACCTAATCAGTGGGTACTGAACAGCTGATGGCATACAAAGAGGCCCTTTCGCCCCTAGTCTAACTTATTCCCAGACTGGAGGCCGTTCACCCGCAACTCTAGTTTTAAGAGAGATTTATTTAGGGGCACTTATTAATTTTTCAGCAGGATTTTAATGACATCTGGAGTGATTACGATCGCGTTTGAACTTTGAATTATTTATAAATTCAAGTCGCGTGTTTTGGAAATTTTGGTATGTCCATATGGTACCAAACTGGCCAGGTGTCGGCTGTGACCTGACCTATTAAGGGCGAGATTAGATCATATCCAGATTGGGTCCCGTCAATGAATATTCACGCACGTGAAACGCTTGAATTTTTATCAGATAAGCAAAAAGAATTTTGAGGCTAGTTTTATTTCGGTTTGTATAAACGCAAGTAATGGTGTGTGTTTTGAGAATCAATAAAACTATTTATAAATGTCATATTTTTGATGAAAATACAAAAATACGCCAAGTTCACAAGCTGGTACAAAGCCGGTATTTGGGCAGTTCCGGAGCAATCTTCGGTTTAAATCCGGGGGTGGAAAATGCTCAAAATCACCCGAAATCTAGTCGAGATTGCAAATCGACATCGCGTGGGTGACATGGAATACAGGAATAATGGTAATCGAGGCACGGGCTTTGGCCAGGCCGGCTGTAGTATTGATCGTCGACAACTCCCTTCCCACAGTCGCAACCCCCGCGACTCTCAGCTCAAACTACCGGCATCGCGCTAATCATTACAACTCACGTAAATTGTTTTGCGAATTTTAAGAATGGACTAGCGACAGGTTGAGATTTTTAATCTGGTGGGTCACAGGTGGGGGTTTTAACTACTCAAAAAAAGCTACTTACCCTTTGACGTTGGTGTTGAATCCCAAGATTGTAGCACAAATTATTGTAAAACGTTTAAACGATTGAAACTGTATTACGTATCCACTAACAGTGCGAGATTGAAGAGAAATGGTAATGATGGAAGAAATGTATGAGTATTGTACAATGACGGGAGTGAACAGTAGTTAAAACAGGCGTTAAAAAGGATTGCACTTATTTTTAAAGATGATTAAATATAATAATTTTCTAACGATGCAAGGTTATTAAGCCAACCTAGAGTACAATAATTAACCGAACTATGAAACTTTCAATAAATATTTAAATAATTTATATATTTATACTATTGATTAAATATAGACAATAGTAGTAGGAATTATTAGTAATAAGTAATTATGCAAGGAATGATATTATTACATAACGTACACTACCAAACGTAACACAAGTGTTATTCAGAGAGTGCAATAACTAAATGGTGTTGCATGGCGCTGGTGAGGAGGGTGTCGGCCAGGGGTTGCAAACGGTCGATATTCTGCGCGCGCTTTCACCCCTGGCCCGGGGCCGACGCTGGCGACGCCGCCCCCATTCATGCGCTGCTACTCTTCCTGCAATTCACCTGCCTCCGGCCGCCAGACGTTTGCAGGCGCTCCGCCAAGGATAACGCGCTCCTTGCTCCTTCCCCATGCGCTGCTTGCATCCCCGTTCTCCGTACGCGAAATACGTCATCCTTACGCACGCTTAATTGCCCATTCATCTTACTTAGACTGATCACATCATTCTAATCATCTTCTTCCTGGCGCACCCCAAAAACACCGCTCAAAAACACCCAATCGATATACAATCACAAAAACTTGCTTTTTTCACCACAAAAACCTACCCTAATGGTCAGTTTTCCGTCAACAAGATTAAATTAAATAGGGGATGAATTAAACACCAATATCAAGCGCCACTCGCATTTTTCAATTTAAAAGTACGATTGCTTATTGATCTTTTCAAGAATAAAATTTCACAAGATTATTGTTCAAACATTTTTTAGCCACATTTTTATACGATCCAATTATAGGATGTAAATTAAGCACTGATTAAATGTCAGTACAGTATGCGTGTAATATAGGTATATTATATATAGTCTATAACATTCCCGTATTAAAAATTGTTGCACTTCACTGAATTTTGCTAGACGTCCACCAAAAACCCAGACGGTCTTACTACATTTTTTATTCGTTGCAGGAACAACTTTATAAAGCTCCTTAAATTTTTGATAACTGAATCCTGTTCGTAACACATCTTGTAAAATTTTATTTTGTAGTCTATTATTTTAAATGTAATTTCAAATTCGTCTTTTTAACTTATGTTTGCAAACGTTATCTTACCAGTTATAAATGAATGTTTTTCGTATGATTTTTGCTGAATGTGCGTTAGCATAATGGAATAAATTACATGTAAAAGCCATAACGGCAGCACACTTTATAAAGCTTCGACCTTTCCCTGATAAAGCTCGACTTCAGCGAGAAGCCAACTGGAAGATGGTTCGATAAACCTGTTTCATACATTACCTTTCTCTTAACTAGGTTAAGAGGGATCTAATTTTAAGATGTATTCTCAATTTTAGTCTGGCTGTTCCATATGGTAATTAAATGTTTTATACAACCAAATACGCACAATTGCATTGCACGTTGTGTTTTCCGGTCATCGACCTTTTCGAATGCACATGATGATTATGATAATGTGATGATAGAATAATTTACGACTTTACGAGGTGCGTCCAATAATGCCTATTTTTCGGGGTACGATACCGTGCCTACCAAAAGTTGAATGATTCGAAGAGTGGGGGTAATAATTGCGTTGTGCCTAGTGGCGTCTAGGCGAATATGAGGTTAATAACCAAATTTCCCGCAACAAAATACTTATAATTAGGACGAAATAAGTTTTCGGGGAGTCAAGGCATGCAATAGCGTATATTGATCAAACTTTGAGCTTAAAAATTGTCAACATTGACAGCGGAAGTCAGTCATAAGACAAATTCGGAAGGTGGCGGTCTGATGTCGGAAACTGCCAAATGATGCAAAAACCAATCGATTATTGGTTTGTTCTAAATTTGTAGCATTGCGTGTTAATACTTAAATTGGAGTGTCTGCTTTGACGGCTGTCGGGCAGAATAATGGGCGATTTTGGAGAAGGTATGTAACAGCCCTAATTAAGAAAAGTTAAATCATTAGTCGATTAGTTTCAAGTTTGAAATCGATATATTGGGCTGGTTGGTAGCAATTGGAAAGGGTTTTTTTTCGATGTTATGACAAACACACAAATTGAGACAGTTTTGACACAAATTGCTCTTTTTTTAGACACACTTCCCCAATCCAATTAAATTAGAGCCGCTGGTTTCCACCTTTCTGCTGGAAATAACACTTTTCCATAAAGTTTAATTATGAGCCTATTAGTTTAGTTCCATGCAATGTTTAAAAGCTTTAGATTCCGTGTTTATCTGATTCTATTTCTGATAACACTACACGGTTAACGCTTTGCAAGCTTTTAAACCTCGAGGGTAGTTGCAGTACAAGTTTACACAACCTAGTGTTAATAGATAACCTACACAATTAAATATTTTCTTTAATTTTTTTAAATGTTGAGATGGCAGTTGCATGTGATCCACTACAGCACACTAGTATTTACCATCGCAAGGAAGGTAATTTTTTTCTTTATAATTTCCATGTTTATCTCACGAACTACATGATATTGTCATATATTTTACACGATGTTTCATACCCCCAACCCCTACATACATTAACGATCATTATTATGCAGCAAAACCCTTCGAAACATCACCACATGCTTCCGTTATTTTAATAAATATATGTCTAAGTAAAAACAAGAACTTTTTCGGGGTGTTTGCCAGTTCCCCCACGCCAGTGGGGGGTTCGAAAATCCCTATGGTCAGTTCCACCACGGGTTGCAAAATTTGGAATTAAAGAATTAAAGTGCAATGTTGGGAATAAAATCATGGGTGGGATTTTTATTATCTATTTTGAACACTTCGACAGAGTGATTAAAAAGTGTTGGACCAACTCTCGAATGGTGCTAATAATAAAAATAAATTTATATTTTTTAGAATGTTCAGTGTTGCAAAATCTGCCGTTTCCGCTAACTAGACTCAAAATTACATGATCTAAACGGCCAAAAACTTAACATAAAGTCGAACGTTTGGAGAGCTGTATCTCGTGAAAAAAGGTTTAAACAATTTTTTGTCATGCGAACTTTTAACTTGGATGTCCTTTATCACACCCCAAGAAATGGTCCGACACTTTTAAATCATCCTGTATAATTATAATTTGTGAAAATGAAAATTTAGACAATACCTAACTCTTTAAATATCTGACACTACCATAATTACTTAATCACCTTTTTAGATAATGGGTGGTAAATATTCGTGGTGGAACTGAAGACTCCCCTTAATCTCTAAACACGTAAAATCTATATTCCCGGAAACGTATTTCTACATATCTTAAATAACTGAAAATCTATGGAAAAATAACACAACTGTGAGAAAATACCTACTGTTTACTTAAAGGTTGCTTCTCCGCATTAAAAATTCAAGCAAGTAAATTGATTGATTGACAACAAACGAAACGAGTCTATTCATTTGAAGATAATGACTGCTAGTTAGGACTGAAGGACAAAAAATATAAAAAAAAAATAGTAATTTGTTGCAAATCGATTATATTTTTCAATTAAATATGTTGGCCTAACAATGAAGATTTCTTTGATTTTAGAGATACAAAAAATATGTCATTGACACTTAATTTTGTCCGATATACTGTGTACACAACTGTACAATAAATCAATAAATAAAGTTGCAATGTTGCAAGAACTCATTGCAGTATACATATGTATTATACTCGTACTTGAATTACAAATTGGAGTGCTGTAATTAATAAATCACTAATAAACTAAGAGTAAGCGTTGAGAACAAATAGTTTCTTTTTTAAAGCAAAAATTGCATAAAAAGCTAAGGGATACATTCTTTCTTTAAATGTGAAACAAAAAATGCCAGTTTTTATTACATATAATAATTTTGTTTTAATTTTTGGATACCTACAATTTTTAGAAATTATTGTTTTTCTTATAAGTTGACATTATTTTTATTATATGATAAAAAAAAACATGAAAGACTAACTACACTGACGACTAAATCTAATTGAATGTTGGAATGTGGCAAAGTGCAATCACATAAGAGGGATAAGAAGCGGATTTGTATCGACAAAATTGCCACCTTTTGGCTTCTTTTAAAATGACTAGCGTGTTACTCAGGAATATTTACTCTCCTATAAACTGTTTTATTTTACTCATTTTCTTGAAAAATTAATGACACTCTAAGGTGTACTTTTCGCACAGCAAACCTGCATGTGGCACCCTTCCAACGGTATGGATAATCTTGAAGTTATACGAATCGAGCAAATAATTTGATAGAGATATCAAATAGCAAAACGTTTTGACATGGTATCAAATAATTTTTCAACGTTCTTGCATTTCTTAATAAAGTGTAATGTTCAAAGCAAAATTTAAATAATTTCAAAAAATTTTAATTAAAAACTCCTTTTAATAAAAGGTTTAAATTAAGAAATGCTCATTAACAAAAAAATATGCACGGAAAACTAAAACTGGACAAAATTTTTTCAACAAAATGTCTCCAAGCAAAACGGGAAAGCGTTCGAAAACAAAATCGTGCTACCAGGAGCACAGCAGTGCAAAGTGGCGAAGGCATAAACGTCTACGCATCAAACTGACTGATCACCATTCGCGCACTGCTTCCAGCCCTTGCTAATAACTCTTGCACAGAGACCCTTGCTGATATCCTAAAAACTGAGTCTGGAAATGTGACGTCTGAGACTGGGCGTGTTAAGTACCTCCTTTCGCGTCTTTGAACCTGTTACTCAGTTTTTGATTTTGAACATTTTAGCATTGAGATTTTTATATTTATTTTGCTTTTATTTTATTTTGTTTTAAACATGTTTTAGCAAATTGCTAAATAGCATTGTTTAATACGTATTTTGGACTTAAATATTTTATGAACATTGAACCAGCCTTCACTTTGTGTAAAAGTGTTTTTATTTCTGTTCGAATACATACATACCAGGTGAATAAAAAGTGTGGAACCAAACATTTTTTGCTTAAACTATTTATTTTTTGAAAAAACTAATTGATGAGTGATAAAGTACTATAAAAATGTGATAATTTAACAAGAATAAATTTTTTCGAAATTTCCTTTTGTTTTTGAGTTCTACAAAAAAAATAATTTTTTTAAATGGTAACCCACTATAAAATCATTGTTCTCATAAAAGCTATACTCTAAGGATTACAACTATCCGCTTTATATTTAATTTTTTCAAAAAAAATTTTACACATAAATTGCAAATTTTGACAAAAAAAATCGCATAACTCAAAAACAAAACAAAATTTCGTTCTGAAAATACGATCACATTTTTTATATTACTTTAATTTAAATTAATTATTATTTGCTGGAGGCAAATGATTAAAAATAAAACCGCTAGGTTCCGTACTTTAGATTCACCCTGTATATTAATAACATTAGAAAAATCTTTTTTCACGCTTCTATTTTTAGAGCACCGGGTTTACTTTCATAATTCAAACTTGTGTGCCACTGCACACATTTTTCTGAAGGAATCAATCAATGAAATATCTGCTGTTAATGCTGTGATCTCATGTATATATGCAATTTAAATAAAACACCCTCAAATTTTTAAATCTCGTTCGTTGCTTGTTTCTAAATGAAATGTCAATTTTTTACAGATAGCGACGACAGTGATGGAGAGGGTGGTTTAGGTAATGTAAATCGAATTATAATGAGACCGCCAGGCCACAGTGGTAAAGCAAAACGAGGTCATTTGTGTTTTGATGCTTCTTTCGAATCTGGAAATTTAGGTAGAGTCGATTTAGTCAACGAATATGAGTATGATTTATTCATCCGTCCTGATACCTGTAGCCCTCGAATTAGGTTTTGGTTTAATTTTACAGTCGATAACGTTAAACAAGATCAGGTAAACAGAATTTGTCATTGTGACAGCTTCAATTAAATGGCAAAAAATTACAGAGAGTCATTTTCAACATTGTAAACATTAGCAAAAATCGAAATTTATTCAATGACAATCTAACTCCTTTAGTTAAGTCTTCAAGCCGACAAAAATGGTAAGTTCGCTCAACTGTTGGAAGTATAGTAATTAGAACTTTTAGGCAAAGAATCCCAAAACAACATGTTTACTATCACAAATCATTGGCTCATCAAGGTCATTATGTGTTAAGTTTCTCGTTCGGTTTTGACCGAGAAGACGAAGTCTTCCAGTTTGCGTTATCTCCACCTTTTACTTATTCTAAACTTCAAATGTTCTTATCTATATTAGAATCGAAAGGATCGTATTTGAATGAATCGTTTCAGAGAGAACTTTTAGGAAATAGTGTGGTAACTTGCAGCACCACTTTGCTAACATTTAAGTAATCAAAGGTTTTAGCAAAAACGAAGGTTAGACTTAATCACAATCGGTTCTTTAGACCGATCTAAACCTAATTCAAAACGACGAGTTATTGCGATAATGGCGCGAGTGCATCCTGGTGAATCACCGGCTAGTTTTGTATGTCAAGGTAGTAAACTTACATAAAATGTGTTTTAAATTTGATGAAAACATTATTAGGGCTTTTGGAACTGTTGATAAGTTCAAATGCTATAGCGAGTACGTTGCGAGACCATGTTATTTTTAAAATAATTCCAATGTTGAATCCTGATGGAGTATTTTTGGGGAATTACCGGAGTACAGTGATGGGAGTTGATTTAAATCGATCATGGCATTTAACCACGCCTTGGAGCCACCCAACTTTAAAGGCAGCAACAGAAATGTTACTAACTTTAGACAAGAATAAGGTACAAATAAAATATTTCGGTGGTTAACTCGACTTAATTTAATATGTCAGGAATTTCAATTAGATTTTGTAATCGATATCCATGCCCATTCGAGCCTAAAAGGTTGTTTCATTTATGGCAACACTTACGAAGATGTTTACAGGTAATAGAAAAAAAAATTGTAATAAAAATAATATGTGTCGTATAGGTATGAGAGGCATATTCTATTTCCGAAACTACTAGCGACAACTGCCGACGATTATTTAACCGAAAATGCAATGTTCAACGCCGACCCGAAGAAAATTGGCACTGCTAGAAGATACCTATGCCAACTTTTAAGCGACCGCGTCAACTGTTACACATTTGAAGTGTCATTTTTTGGATACAAACTCAAAGGGTCTGACGTCACAGTTCCTTATACGGAAGACAGTTGTATCCTTTTAAGTATTTTTAGCACGATTTTTAAAACTATATAATCGATGACGCGCCTGACTTCTATGCAACTATCTGTTGACGGTCACGTGACCACGTTTTCTTAACGTAAAAAGATATGAGATGTGGTCGCAATTTAGTTAAAACTTTTCTTGAATACTACCACAGTACTGGGGCAATTCCGATTGAGTTGGCAATGGAAGTTCAAAACAAAAAACGCAGGCCTAGGACTCATCATTCGAGATCAACGACACGAAATTCTTACAGACAGCGACCTCACACGACGAAAACTCAAGCACTTCTTCACTTCAAAGATCTGAATATTAATTACGAGAGTGATACTTCGATTGATGATACGTATAGGAAACCGGAAACGAGCCGTTTTTTTGAAAAATTTACACATTACATGAAAAAGACAAACGTGACATATTCAACGAAGTCCGAACGGATTGGCTCACCACCTCCTACTACAATTGTAGTAATCCCAGAGCCCAGTCTTTCCATAATTGATTTCAATTTAATAACAAGAAATGATATTGAGAAGGCTTCCAGAAAAAATAAACGAGTTACATAATAATTATTTATTCAACTTGTGAACGAAACGCCATAATTGTTATAAAACAAAATAAAAACTAATTATTAACATGTTCGGATGAAAAAAGAAGAAACCAATTTACACTAATTGGCACTTTACAAAGTGTGAAACAATTGAATGACCTGATTAGTTTTCCTTTTCTGTTAATTCCTGGTAACGTGCATACATCATTTTCTTAACACAGTCTTTGTACGACTCTCCTGCTAGAGCTGTATATCCTGCGACTTTATTTCCTAGCCCAACGGTACTTGTGTGTTGTTCCGCCTATACAAAGGACGATAAAAAATCAATATCATAATGTATAAAAATAAATTACCTGAATAATTGTAGTTCTTCCTTGATTTTGTTTCCCTAAACCTTGACCCTCGGTCCAGCCCATTTTTTGTAGTAATCTATTGCCTACATTCTCGGCACCTATCGGTTCCGAAACCGATGCTGCAGCGACAGGTACTTCAGCTAATTCTCGCGACTTCAAATATTTTTCTTTGAGTTTGCTGGGTTGGGGCTCATCCGGATCGCCGTATTTCATTCTTCTTTCCTTAGCCCGGTCTCTGTAGACGACTTTTTCTTTAGTACCTTCAAGCTTTTTCGTTTTCTTTCGCGCTTCCAGGTTCTGCTTGTGCAAGGCGGATAATTTGGCGTGTTTAGTTAAAGCTTCAGCGGATCCTAATTGACGTTTGCAAAGGTTACAGATGAGTTTAGCGTAATCTAAAAGTTCAATCTCGTCGATGTCTTCTTCCCCTGAAGAATCGCTTTCGCCACCGTAAGCTGCAACGAGAGGAGCGGCGGCTGCAGGAATGGATTCATCAGAATCATTTTTATAAAAACCTGGAACCAATTGACTCGTGTTTTTCTTTTCCAGTACGGAAAAGCCGACATCAGCTGACGCACTACCACTACTACTGGCGCCCATCTCCGAATTAGCACGCGCAAAAGACATCTCCTTTTTCTGATTTAGCGTCTTTGCCCATCTTTCCATATCTTTGGCGATCTTCTTCGCGACTTTGACTTTATCTTGTTTTTCCGTTTTCGGTTTTTTCGCTTCCGGTTCTTGTGACCCGGTTGAAGCGGCCATGGCTTGCTGACCCGTGTAACTTTCATAAGTCATGGGTGCTAAAACGTATGTCATTTTTTCTTGGTCCCAGTAAAGGTACTTTTGAATAACGCTATTCCAGTAGTAGTTTGAATTCGGGTCGTAATACAGACCGGTACTTGCGTCATATTGATATCCGGTGGTTTTGTCGTAAGTGTATTTTGAAACGTCAGGAACAGCTATAAAAAAATCCAATTACAAATAATCATTTCGAATGTTAGGTTCGCAACTTACGATATCTCTTGCCATCGGTTCCATTTGGAATTGACATGTGGGTAGTATCGTAGAAATTTTTATTAGCATGCATTTGTTGGATGGCTGATTGGGCTACAGCAGCTGCAGCGTTTGCTGCATCCATTTGGTTTTCTTGATGTAGGGTAATCGAGTTACCAGCACTGATTTGTTGGGTGAAGTAGTTTCGGTAATATTCAATGTAATGCATGTATTCGCTCGGGGTTTTAGCGTAACGTCTTGCAGCATATTCTGCTAGACTCTCCACATCAGTCATTGCGTAAGTGCTCGGGACGGATGCGTTGGGAAAAGCAACATTATCAGCCTGAGAATAGGCTTTCTTATTGTCACCCATGTTGTACTTACAATACGACAGAATCACTAAAAAAGTCAGTACTAGAATCTTCTCAAATGTTATAATTATCAACGACGCTACTTAAAGACAGCTGTTGTTTAAAATAATATTTTACATTACAGAAATTGAAACAGTAAAAAAAAAATATAAAAAAATAATGAAGTTACGTACTACGTTACGTTATTTTGTGCGCGCGTGACTTTAACCTCAATGTTTTGTAAGAAAAGAGTTGACTAATTTTTGCTTTCTAGCCTTATTTTTGTGTATTTTATTTTGTTGGTAAAAATTAATTCTAATTGGATATGTGATAAATAAGTGATATAAATAAATGTTTGAAAAACGAACCTGTTTTTCCGTCAATTGTGAGGGGGCTGGATAAATTGCTTAAAGCTCCGTAAATGGCCAAAGCGTCGATCGTGCTTTCTGTTCCAAGGTAACAAATACCTCGAGAAGTTGAAGTCAAAGGGTCACGACCAATACAAACTGCTGATATTGACTTGACTAAATCAGGAATGACAGTATTGAGAACTGACATAACAGAGTCTTCCGTTGTCAAGGCGTCTAGATTTCGTATCATGATAGCTGCAACAAATAACAATTGACACCTTGTGACGTCAGTCAAGACCTACTCACTTTTGGTGGTGTAAGTGCATATTTCATCACTTCCGCTACCACCTTCTTCACTCTCCATTCTTGAAGCGTGACATTTGAAACAATTATCTCGTCTTTTGAAGTTCTGGGCGCCACACTGTTAACAAATTAAAATTGTCGTTTTTTAAAGTGTTGTTACACGATCTTACTTTTATGCAAAACCAGTCAGCTGAAGCTTTATGACTTGGTGGTTTTTCTGAATTCGCGCAGACGTCTTTTGGAATGCTATACTGCATTATAGCACGATATTGTTCTTGAAGCATTAAAACACCCTGTGAACAAAAATAGGGTAACATTAGAAACAAGTTGCTGGTAACTACTACCCCTCTTATTAAGAGACCTTGCGCTCTAGAAAATTATTTTGATGGAGTAGAAAAAAAATTGACTTGATTTTCTTTTTTTTTTGATTAATTTTGAAGAAAACTTATGTAAATAATAAAAATCATACTTATCGAGCCTTTAAAAAACTAGGAAAACAATTGTTTACAATCTCTTCTGTAAGCTAAGATACCTGTTTCATGTCCATCCACCGAATGGCCTCACCAAGTGTTGAAAACTCGACAAAGGCGAAACCACGTGAAGTACCTAAACAGCACAATAGACACCAATGGAATTACCCGGCCTTACGAGGAAATAATGCACAAATACGGCCCAAGGACAAATTATACTAATACTATTCTAAAGTAAGTACCTGTGTCTTTTTTTCTGATGAGACGAATATCCTTCGGCATCAAACCGCAGTGGATAATATCTTGACGAATCTAAATACAACACATTTCACTTGCATCAAATTCATACTGAGTAACTGAGTGGCTCTTACATCGTTTTCGGAGATGTGCTGCGCAAGTCCACGAATCATGATGGTGTTGTTGGGAGGTTGACTTTTGTAGCCTATTATTTCAGATCCGCTAGCTCCAATAACAGCTCCGTTAGGGCTACGTTCACTGTTAAAATTACAACAGGCATAAGTAGACAATTCAAACTGATTTTATAACCACTCCACTTTCCCACGATGGGTCATACCTATCCACACTGTCCCTATCATCGTCGCGATATGACCTGTCTCGATCACGTGTTTTTCTATCTTCTGATCTTCGTTCCCATCGTGAACCACTTCGCGATCTTTTCCCTCTAGACCTATGGTGATCCCTATCCCTATCCCTGTCCCTACTTCTGTAATGTTTACTTCTTTCCCGATCTCTAGAATATTCCGGGGTTCTTGATCGACTTCTCCGGTCACCATCCCAAGAGGACTCTCTTCTGTATTCACGATCACTCTCATAGTCACTACCATTTTTTCCTCTTTCGTCCGAATATTCATGATGAACTATAACAAAGTAATACCACATTAAACATAAATCTCTTACTTTCTCCGAAATAATTTTACAAGACCGCCTTCTACGATGTCTTACATGAGACACATCTCCTCTGTAAATATGTATTTCTATTAAGACTCCTACTCAAACCATATCTTCTTATTCTACCAGGAGTTTTAGTTCTATCGTTTCTTTTAATTTTATCATCCCTTTTAATTCCATCACGTCTTTTACTTCTATAACCTTTGCTTTTGTCATCTTTTGTCCTTTTTGTATTTCTATTTTTGTCATCCCTTTTACTTCTATCATCCCTTTTAGTTTTATCATCCCTTTTAGTTGTTTTATCATCCCTTTTGCTTCTATCATCCTTTTTAGTGTTATCATCCCTTTTACTTCTCCCATCACGTTTAGTTTTATTATATTTTCTATTTCTATCATCATTTTCAGTTTTATCACCTCTTCTACTCTCTTCTTCATCACTTTTAGTTATATTATTTCTTTTAGTTCTTTTATCTTTTAAACTTGTATCATTTTTTCTATTTTTACGTTTGCCCGATTTATTTTTTTCATGATAAATCATGGTCGAGTACAACATTTTTGGTTAACGAATTTATGCACACATACCACTCAAGACATGTAGAAGAACTGAAGCAGTAGAGTAGAGTAGAGTAGGTAGTGTATCCTTGGTAGGGATAGCGCCTCGCAAGGATTCTCCGAATTCAGCTGTAGCTGCGTAATAATAGGGTACGAATAGAGAATTATTTATCAGTGTGTCAATGTATTCGAGCGAGTGCTGTGTTATTCTGTTACAAAGTTAGAAAAATTAACTCGTAGTCATATTCACATACCTACAGAGCTTTAAACAAAATATGTTAAGTGTTTTTGTATTTAAAGGTTTGTGAATGTTAACCTTTACTAAAAACAGTGGATATGAACATTTTGTTAAATAATTTTAATTAGTGATTAGTGGAAACTAGTGTGAATGATAATCATTCAAAACTTTAGTCACTGTAATTCCCAGTTTGCACCTGTTTGGTTGGATTGATGTTTACCAAACAGTGGGAACACAAGAAATCCATTCAGTTTTTGGGATAGACAAAACAATAAGTGCAGATTCAGGTGTGTTAGTCTTAAGTCTGTAGTTTTATGGGATCGTATTGCGCAATTAATTGTACAAAAATGTGATTACACATAATATTAATACCTTATTTATTGTTTGTTACATTACAAGATAAAACAAAAATGTTTGACGTCGTCTGAACTCCACGTAAGACACAAACATTAATTGTTTTATGATTTACTAGTGTTTTAGTTTCGGCTATCAAAAATTTTACATGTCATACATGTCTCGTCGACTTTTTTAAATCTAAAACAGACAATTTTTATAATACATACAATGTAATACTTTCTTTTCATTTATAAATACCAACTTAATTTATTTCTTCCGGTCCCTTTTCAATAACTTCCAGTTACCAACAATATAATTTAAATAAAAATTGAAAAAAAAATGTACTGTTAATATTATTTCGTAAAGTTTTAATTTAAGAAAAAAGTCGTTTTATTTCATTTAATAAAAATTAATCAAATTTAAATAAAAACTACTCAATATCCCAGCCTCACAACTAATTGTGTAATATATGTAAACATAATACAATATAATTGTTTTTCTAGTGTTATTTTATTTATAAAATATCAATTCATAGTCTATTTCTTTCGATTTCTTTTAATAATATTTACATTTCAAGTGACATGACATTTTTTTAGAACTATCAGCTTGTGAAGAATACAATTTAAATAAAAAAATTAAAAAGAAAGTGTTGCACTATTAATATTGTTTAGTAAAGTTTTATTTAAGGAGAAATTCGTATTATTTATTTTTGACTTCAGAATAAAACTGTAATTAATTTAAATATGGTCGAAGTTGTGTCCAAGCCCTACAACTAATTGCTCAATAAATGATGTAAACATACGCCTAAAATATGAACTTTTTCTGATTACACACGTAATTAAAACCGTATTGTGTGATACATTACAAGATAAAACAAAAATGTTTTGCATTACTCCACATGAGGCACAAATATTATTTTACCTTATGATTTACTATAGCGATGTAAAAGGAATTTGTTTGCTAAAGTTTTTACACAGAGATATTCGTTTTATTTCAATCTGACTAGATATTAATAAAAGTTAATTATAAATTTTATTGAAAAAATATTCGTCATCAAAGTTTTGTCTAAGTCCTACAACTAATACGCATTAGATGTAAATATAAACATAAAATCAGAATATATTCCGATATGTAGTTTCAGACACAATATTTTGCCATAATTGTTTTTTGAGTGTTATGTACTTTAAGTATGCGATAAAGATAACTACTTTAACTATATTTGCCTGAATTTGTTTCCACAGAAACAAGTTTAAAACTAATTTCTTATATTCCACATTACATATTGTCTATACTAAATAATATTACATGCATTGGAACACACAACTATTTAGTATTTATTCTTTTATGTCTGTTGTTAATAGTGGGTGATCACCAGTACCTAGCAGATAATGATGTAAAGCGTAATATGCAGACTGCTTATTAATGTAGTATCGAATTGTTTAATTTTCAAATGAAAACTCACTTTTTCCTTGCCCAAACCTCGACTTACATTTTTTTGAACTGTGAAACGTGGGTGACCTATGCCCGTTGTGTCTTTTGTAATGTGGAGACCTCGACGGCGACCTGCTTTTGTAATCTGGCGATCCCTTGTACTCTGGTGATATGGACATGCTTCGTCCTCTAGGTGAATAATCTCTAGATCTTTCCATGTCTATCCGGAACAAAACAATTGTATACAACTGACACAATAAAAATGGCGGCAGGTAATGCCGTACACCAAACTTACTTAATTACCACAAATTCTGTACACATTCAGCGTTTTTGGAGTTCTTAAAGCTGGAAATTCTCAGTTCATAATTAAAATCATAAGTTCTGAAAATTGGTAAAAAATCTTCCAACGCGTCAACACTCAAAAACTAGCATCGTCACGTTGTTATTATCCTCTGTAGACGACCACTTTGACTACCTAGACAAGGATGCCAACAATTTATCCTTGAATTTCTCTCTCCAACAACAATCAGCACCAAGTGGACTTCTCCGAACGCGCACCAGAGAGCGCAAGCTTGGGCGCATGATCCCCAACCTGGAGGACCCCAATCCGTGACACCTTCCCTTAATTATCGCAAAAATAATCGAGAAAAATCAATTTCAATCCAAAACTAAAGCAGATGTTCGATGCAGGTTCCAACATTCGGTAAAAATAAACTGAGAAAAAAGCAATCTTTATTAAAAGCGCCAGTTGATCATAAAAAAGGAAGTCGGGTTCTTTTATTTAAAAGGCTTCCTGGAACGGTGACTATTTACGTTCTTTAAATTGCTTCATTGTAGCACTGCATAAAAAAACAACTATTAAACGTGTATTTTTGGTTGCATAGCTCTTGCACCATTCTAAACACGTTTTTATTTAAATTAATAAAATTATAAAAACATTTCAAATTTGGTACTACGTGGTACTACGAACTATAAGTTTCATGAAATATAAATTTGTGTAATTTAAACACCTAGAATCAACACAATTCAATAACCATAAGCTAGATATGAAAATATTTTGCTTCGCAAGTGCAATGACTTCCAGTTTTTATTTGAAGCATTTCTTTAGCTTTCTATGTATGGCAAATTTATTTAAATTTGTTTTTTTTTTTAATCTGACGAAAAAACTCTGTTATCATTCACGTTGTTTTTATTTGAGTAGGTATCCAATTGTATCCAATTATTTAAATTACTTTTTTATTTCGTGTTTGTTATGACGATCTTGTTTTTCTTTAATAAAAAAACAGTGCTACAAAATTCAACTTTGAAATACTGCTTTTGGCAACTTTTTATGCAATACTTTTGTCATCATTGACTGCATACACTGCCCTTTTTAAGTGAAAAATTGTTGTGAACCAATGTATTTCATCGAAGCTAATGTAATTTGAGCTATTTTCAAGCGATTTGAGTACCGCATACGACAAATTAATATAAAATAAATTTTAATTGCCAAATATAAAATAAATTCAATTTAAAATGCGCTTACTGGAATAACTCTAGTATTATAAAAAACACGTGTTACAACCTTTCATTGTATTGTAACACAATGAGAGTGTTTGTAACACTTGTTTTTTAGTATACTATATCAAGGTTGAATCAGTGGTATAGTAAGTGATTACCTAGTGTCACTGTAAGTGATTACCTAGTGTCACTGCTTATTATTGTAGTCCTTTACGCAGAATAAATTCTGTCTTTTTTTGTTAGAGGGAGTAAAAGTCATTTGTGAAGATTGGACAAAAGAATATTTCCAAGTCTCCATTAGTAGGTATCATAATAAAACAAGTTGGGTTTTTAAAAATTTATTTTTCTTCTTTGTATACATATGTACAGTTGAACTTAAAAATTCAGTCAAAACTTAAATGTTTAGTTACAAAGAAAAGAGTCTTGAATAATAAATATAAAATAATATCTTAAAGGTATACATATTAGTTACTTACGGTATCTAGTATATCACAAAAGTTTGATTAGTAGATATCACTATGTATCTTTTGGAAATAGTAATACTGCTTTTGCGACAAAATTGTATTAACTTTTGTGCATGGGAATATAGCAATTTCTTATCATGTCAGTCTTTCAAATATTTGGCAAATGTTCCACTTGATAAGGAATGACTGAGTGGCAAGAGTAGGACAAAAAGTCAAAAAGTGATCTAGGATGATCCAGGATTGGGTTTATAATTGACCGATTGTCCGTTTTTGTGCCTCGAGTTTGGTGAATTATTCGAAAACTGCTTAGACTCCGAGAAAACGACACTGGATTTAACAATTCTAAACAGTTTTGAATATGCTGATCTATACTGTCGATTGCTAGCCGCATATATAAATGGATTTATGACACTGGAAGCCCATGCTAAAATAGATGCCAATACGTGCAAAACTGGATACTTGACGTCGTCATCAAAAACGTTAACTAACATTAACGGTAAAAAACACAATACGAAACAAATAAATATAATTAACATGAGTTTAGTGAGCCGGCTATCGTCTCGCTCTCGCCGGTTATTTCGTTTTTCTTTTTTTGTCGCTTGCCTGTAAAATAAGATCGATTAGTGTTTGTTATTGATGAATATAATGTTTCAAAATAAACATTAAGGCAGGGTTCCACGAAAATTAGCCAACCAAAGGTCAATAGATGGCACTGCCAATAACCTAGGTGGCTATAATTAAATTATATTCCTGTTCAGCTCGGTTTAGATGAAATTAAATAAACATAATTAGCATTTTAATTTCTATTAATACATCTAAGGAAATCGATTTATTTTAAAGGACAAAGTAGCTAGAAAAGTTGAACCAGACGCAACAAATTTATTAATAGAACAAGAGATATGACAGAAACTCTTCACACTAATCTCTGCTCTATTTATTTATAAAATCAAATCGCACTTTTAAAATTGACAATGTGAAAAAAATTTATTATATACTCACTGATGTGCTTTTAATTTTCGGCGTGATTTCTGTACACGCCAAAATATACACGAGTACGAAGAAATTATAACGACGCATGGCAATACAAAAGCTATAAGAAAAAGAATCTTCTTTGGCGATTTGCCGTCTTTTTCCAAAATCGTACAAGAAAAGGTCGACGGATTAAGGCCCAGCTGTCCCCAAACTCCCAAAAGTGATGGCAACTAAAAGCAAAACTATTTATCATAACGGGAACCCCAACCGATATGACAGTTGGCCATGTAGTGCCAAAAAGCTGGTAAACTTACCATTATTAAGAAAGCAAAACCCCAAGTACAAAGCAGCTGCAACCATATCGAGACTTTCGAATACAATTGATTGTAATATTGATGGTACGAAATCAGAACGTATCTAAAATGCAATTTGCACTCAATTAGGTAATTGCATAACTTTAATTGTTAATGTTAACCCAATATAATTTAGTTTTATTGCTAACGACTCGTTTATTGATCGTTACATTATATAATCAACTAATGACATGATGTCACACATTTATCCGCTCTTACGAAATTAAATCAACATAAAAAAACAACTTCCGCTTTTACAATTACAGATATTTTATCAAAATTTCACATCTATGATATTTGCATCATATTTACACAAAAACATTTCAAATGTTTCTTAGATTTGAACGAGGCCCTACCTGTATGAGTCATACGATGTAGGAACAATAAATTTTATTTCCTGCAATCTTTATCTAATCATTGAATGTTTTGTTTCTAAGCATGATGGTACTGATTCGGTGACTAAAATTTACGAGGTAAATTAATCATCTTCACACTTGTTGACATTTGACATTGACACACATTAAAAAATTAAAATGTAATGTTATAACTCCCCCAAGTTTAAATGATTCAATTGGGAACGGTGTTTTCCTCGTTTTTTAACTCTTAAGTACAGTCTGCTCTTTATCGCACACACCGATTACTTCCTTTTGAATATAAAGCATATGTTGTGTTAAGTTTAATAAAGAATCTTGTGTCTTTGATAAGGGCGATGTCCTAATTAATTTAGCATTGTAATAAAAATCAAAAATGGTCAAAAAACGTGTTAACGCGCTGTTAACAATTCATTAAAATTTATACTGACTGAATCGTGAAAGAAGTTTTGCAAGCGATAAATCCGATTGACGTATTTTACAAGATTTGTAAGAAAACAGCTTCCTTTGTTATTTTTCCTACGATAAAGAAACAGTTTAAATGACATAGTCCACAGTAAATTATAGAGGTTAAAAGTCAAACGTCACTTTAATTTAAAGACAAAGCTGTAGTTATTTTGTATTACTCATACCAGAGGCGATACTTCTGAGGGAATTTACGAATGATCGCACCAAAATTATGCAATGTGTAAGAAATAAAAAAGAAAGATTAAAATGTAATTCGATCCTAAAACCATGTGTACTCAATGACGACAGCTAATTCTTGTAGTGCGTCTAAAATTGTAATAAATGATACGAAATTTGTAACATAAAAATAAGCGGCAATATTTTTTAATTAGTGTCGGTAAATAAAGCAGTTGATGAGCATTTAAGCACAGGAAAGAACCTTGAAACACTAAATAAAAATACCATTTGAATAACAATTGGCGCTCAACAAGATATCACTGACAATTAAATATTAACATTTACCTGTTTAATGTAATCGCGACCATATTGAGAAGAGAAACGGCCACATTTCCGTAAAACAAAACCGGAAACAATTTGCAGAGAGCATCCCCAAGAGTCCAGGCCTCGTGTATGTACCTGGAGGCAGTCAAGGGAAGATTTACTGAACAAAACAAAAGATCGGATATACACAGTGACAAAACAAACGCAGTTGTGGCATGCGTTCGTAATTTCGGGCACCGAATTAGCGCCACTACTGTTACTAGATTTCCTGAAAATTTCATTTTGCGAATGGCACTTTTCCCAATTTTTTTCCGACTTACCGACAACTCCTACTATACAAAATAAAATGGCACAAACCGACGCGAAAATGGTGGCTTCGCGAGGGTATTTTATTACTATGTTTTGAGTAACATTAGTCATGATTTTGACAGTTTTTCCATTGAGGTTTTATTAAATAAATGCACGACGATTTTCTGATGAACATGTCACATAACCGCTCGGCTATCGGACGCGCACTGTTTTTAAAACTTGCTTGCCGCAGGCATCGTAGGGCGTAGGGTGGGGAAGATTGCCGAAATTTGAGATAAACGACGGGAGTCCTGACACGCGCCAGGGTGGTTTTTGCCCGTGTTATACAATTTTTTACATACTTCTAATTTGTAAAATTGTGAATTGTTTACACACTTTTATCGCGGTATGTCGTGAACTTAGGATGTGATAGTCTTGGTGTAGTCGCCGAAAGAAAAAACAACTAATTGACATTTTTCTTTATTTAAACTTCCTTAAAAAAGATTGAACGTTTACATAAATATTTATATATACACATACATAAACCATTTTAGAGTTTTTCAAAATTTTGAATTTATCTTAGTTTCTATACGTAAACAACAAATTGAAGAGAGTTAGTTATACATTCTTTGGACTCAGTCGCTAATGTATCGGCAAAATTAAGTTGATCCCACCATTTAACATTAAAAAAAAACGTTTTTTACAATTAAAATTTTCATGATTAATTTTGCACGTGATAAAATGTTTACTCACAAATGTAAATACAAAAGATAAGAACTGTTGATGAATCAAGTTTATTTGATTATAAATGTCACTACGTTAAGAAATCAAATTTTTGAGATAGTGATATTTGCGTAAGAATTTTATTCGTGTTATTTATTTGCTTGTCTGTAAATTTATGACATTTTACCATTGCAAAGTTGCCGATATATTATCGAGGTTGTGCGTTTTTTCGAAATTGGATTGCGTAGAATGGGGTGCTTAAAATGTAATCAACTAATCACTGAAATAAATGAGAAGTAGGATTTATTTTATTTATAATAGTTTGACACATTTGATATTACAAAATTGTAATGACAGTTCTTAATTTGTTCTCACACCCCTTACATGGGATTTGGTAATTGGAGAAACAATCCCTTTTAAGTAAAATCCAGGTTAAAAAACTACACATTATTATTATATTTAGTCTTCTTTGGACCAGAAGAAATGAATTAGGCACTTGGTAGTGTGGCGGGAGGGTTAGGAGACCTTGAGGCTGTATGGAGGTGGGATCTGCTATAACTGTGGATGCAGAGCGTCGATCGTGGGCGCCTGCGCGTGAATGCGACGCTCCTGCTGCAAGAGCTGGTGAGCTGCTAGGTCCATCTCCTCCTGCGTCATATCTAACGCTTCCTGCATCTCCTTTGACGTATTACGCACGAAATCCGGATCGCAGTACTTGCCTAAACCTTGCTCGACAAGAATTCTCCCAACAAGGCTTTCAGCTGAACCCACCACCTCGAAAGATGTCGGTCGTCGGTCTGCTGGACTTCCAGGCAAAGAATGCGACAACCTTTCAGAACCCACATGCCCATTCGGCTCCCCAGCCGGCGCTGAAACTAACCTCTTATTAACTAAAAGAACCCAAAAAGGCTGTCACATCGCTGCCACTATAGCTAACACTACTCAACTACTCCCGGACTCCAGCCTCCCCACAAGGTTGGGAGGGGTGGAGACCGGTCTAAGCACATGCAGATAGGTCGTCGCATGCGGATCGCTAGCTGTGAGCTGGGGCTAACCTCTGCCATGGAAGGAAGCCCTGTGATTTAGGAGGGAACAACGCGCATGCCGACCGTCCCCTTCCGAATCCGAGGTCAAGGGTTGGAGTGAGCCGGGAGCGCCGAGGACGCTACACTCGTAGGGCAACGGCTCCGGCAAGAAGCCTGCAACTGCCATAGCTTGTGCTTGTGCGAGTTTCAGGCCGCTTGCTATGCGACTAAAGCTCGGTGCGTGTTGCACAGGCGATGGCGTGGCAGTCATGCAACCGCCCCCAAGGTTTCCTAGGGCGCCCAGGCCCAGACGAACGCGCCGCGGCGGAGGAGTCGGAGGCATCAGCTCAGTGTGGTCACCCTGCAGACTAGCACAAACACAACATCACCACATGACCGGTTAGCAAAAACCAAAAACCAAAACGAAAACCAACGGTTAAATCAAATCAAACCAGCACACGCTCACATCCGCTTACGCTTACCCTTGTAGTTAGGGTGGAGGAAGCCAGATTTACTGAAAATCAAAATAATATTGTAGTCACTACTGGCTCCTTCGTACCACTGACATTCCTCCCACATTCAAAACGTTAACACGAAGGAGGTTCCATACGAATTTCTTACCTACCAAACACACATTTTCCTATATTTCTTTCATCAGACTTCAACGAAAACATCCACGATGAGATTACACTCCAAGTTCCTAATAATTTGCGTCATACTATATAACCACAAAGATCTACACAGTTGACTCTTATGTATTGCATTGAATGAAAGCCAAAATAAAGTTATGAACCAAAAGTCAATGATTTTTATTTTTAGAACACTTTAAACCACTCCCAAAGGTGTTGTAAATATTAATTTTACATATTTTTACATACCTATATATTTTTGCAGTTCTTTTCTAATATGTCCTCAGCTATGTAATAAAAACTGTGTTATGTACAAATGTGCAAAAAAATTCAAAATGCATTGACTTTGGAAAAAAGTGCATTTATTGAGTGGCAATGATTTAGTTTAGAGCAACCCAAAATAGTGAACCTCCCACGTGCCGAAAAAATAGAATATAAATAAAAAAACAATGTTTGCAATGAGGAAGGGCAGAAACTTACTCGATAACTTGGAAGTTTTTCTCGGTATCTCCATTGTGGAGATTACTAAGTGACCTCAGAGGAATTTCTTCGTCTTTGAGGCCTTCTTGGTTATGTAAAGACGTAGCACTAGCTCTATTTTGCACAACATTCTTAGTCATTGACGTAATATGATTCATCCCTTCTGTAACAGTCCGGTGAATAGAGTTGTAAGGAAGAAAATCAACACTGGAAGCCGGAGTAATTTTAATTTGAGTTGAGTTTGCTTTTAAAGATTTAGCTCGATTAAAACTATGTCCTCTCCGCATAGAAGACCAAACACTACCGAAGAGGGAATGATTTCTCTGCAACGAAATTGCTATATAATCTTACAACTGCCACAAGTTTCTTCAACTCACCCGATGCATCGGTTCGGGATTGTCATCAACAAGTTCATCAAGATTGCCTGAAATTGCGCGTTTCAGTTCAGGTCCAGCCTCGTGAAGTGTGCGTAAGCCGGCCTGTAACGTCACGGTGTTATGAGTTTCTGTATCGCCCTCTTTCAGTTCTTGCTCTTTGCGTTTTTTGAATCTTCGGAAGTAGTCTTGAATGAGGAACGTCGCGTAGAACTTCCCAACGGTGACTTCATCGTCAACTCCAGGGGGAGGTACGACTTGGTCTAGTAGTTTCGGATTCGTTCGTTTCCAAATCTTTTTGATCACTGCACGCAATTCTGCATTGGCATCGTCAATATTTCCTTCTGTTTTGATACGAAGTGAAGTGCGAACGACCGCGAAAAGTGTTGCGTTGAAAAGAACAGTACCGTCACTATTTAACGGCATATTCATGGACACCAAGCGTTTGCAAGCGACACGATGAGGACATAGTTTTCCAAAACCCAAAGGAGGAGAGATTTTCCGAAGAAGAGTCACAACGTCCAGGTGTTTTATTCTGCCTTTTGCATCTGGATCGTATTCACTCCACAATCGAATAAATTCGTCTAAATGGTGTGGTCCTAGAATCGACCAGTCTCTGGTCAAATAGTCAAAATTATCCATAATAACTGCGACGAATAAATTTATAATCTGCAATAGAAATTTTAGTCGCGACTATGACTCCTTAAATGGTATTACCAAAAATGAACACAAAACGTAAAACGATATAAAATATGGATAAGCTATGTCGGAGCCACAGTAAGGGCTATCGCCCGGTTTTAATTCGACTCTTGAATCACATTTAGCGTTCTCAGTATCGGCACAAGCCAACATAATCTCTTGCCAGCCTTCACCTGCACGAAATAAATCTGTGTCAAAGTTCAAGTGCGAAAGGAAAAAGACTTACCTGTTGCTGATCTAAACAAAACTAATACTGCTTGAAAAAACGATCCGAAGTTATTGTTTCGGTTTATGTGTGTGTCAGAATCAACATTTTCAATTTTTCCAAACATCTAAAACGATTTCGAAGCGTATTCACGTGGGTGCTATTGACTGAGAACATACCTGCATTCCTATTACAGCATATATAAAAAACAACATGACAATAAGAAGAGCAACGTAAGGTAGGGCTTGAAAAGACTTGAGAAATGTCCAAAGTAAAGTTCTAATGCCTTCGCCTTTATTAAGAAGTTTTATAAGTCTCATTACTCGAAAGAGTCTAAAGAAGTTACTTGAAATTTGAAGTTTTGTTCCACGAGGCTACAAATGAAAAGGAAAGAACAATAGAGTTTGTAAATTATTGAATGAGGCTTTTGCTTACGTTTACATCTTGATAAACAATGTCGATAAAGCTCCCTAAAACAATGATAAAATCAAAAACGTTCCAGGCGTCTCCGAAATAATTCTGAAAATTAGAATCGATGTAATAAATTGTGAGGTTTATCTTGGCTTGATCTACCTTAATTCGAAAAGCTGCTAGCTTAAATACGAATTCCATTGCAAAAATTGCTGTGAATATCATATTGAGGGTGTCCAAGACAGATTCATAGGTTTTGTCTTGACCATGAAATCTCATTGCAAGAGTGATTGTGTTGGTTAAAATTAACATAAATATGGCATATTCGAAAGGCCTAGACGTTACGAACCACCATACTTTGTACTGAATGCGATGTTTGGGAATGTATCTTCGGACAGGTTTTGCTTTCAACGCAAATTCTATGCAGTTACGTTGGTTTTTGTCTAACTCGCAATTTTTATATTCTTGCTCTCCTTCATTTTGGAATGTAACAATAACAAAACCAACGAAGATGTTAACCATAAAAAAGGCGATGATGATGATATAAATGATGTAATATGCAGCTACAATGGGGCGGTAGTTATGAATAAGTCCACGATTCTCATCGTTTGAGTCAATCGAAACGTATAGTAACGCCGGCCATCCTTCAAAAGTGGACACGGTGAAGAGGGTTAACATGGCCTTAGCTACGT